GAGAAATTATTGCAACAAAGGGCTCGAACATGTAATTTTGCTAAAATCCATAAACTTCATTCAATAAATTAAAATTTTTATTGTAAATAATCATGTCACAAACTGAACTTATTCTGGTAAAAAACAGTTATAGTTACTCTTAATGCCATTATTTAATACTTTACAAAGTAAAATGTTTACCAAAAGGTGAAACACAGATACACCACTTCTCACATCATCAATAAGCATGTATGTCAAATATATAAATAATCTCCTGATTGAATTTAAAAAGGCAGAAATAATAAAGTTAAGTTGTGTGGACCATATGACAGTATATGTTTCACAAATTGCTATTCAAGCACTCTATTGGTGGACCAACATGCTGCTGCTGATGTTCCAACTTGCTCAAAAAGTCATTCAAGCTTCACAAGTAACAACTATGATGAATACAAAATATTTTGGAATCAGACGACCTTCATAGTGGCCATGCAGCATCGCTTCTGATATTTTAAAACACCTGGCAAGACAATTTTGGTGATTTGAATGTCCAGCCTAAAGTTCTTTGCAATATATAAACTAATTAGAGAATAATTTGATTTGTCACTTGTTTCAGCCACGAGCGAGATTTCAAATGTTAGAACAAATATCTTCAACTTTCTCTGCAGAATTCTTATATGATAAAATTAAAACTGACGACAAACCATATACCAACAACAGCAACAACAACAAAATTTTATTTTCACTCTTGAAGTTCTTACAACACACTATTATAAGTCCATATTACAATTTCTTCAATTTGGAGTGAGGGCCACCTATAATAACCATATATGGGCTAATCGAGACAGGTGACCTTAGAATAATATAATATGTTTAATATAATAAAGATAATATAATATAGTTATACTAATTGAAGATAGAGCCATTATTTATAAATAGTAAATAGTAACTCCATCTTTCTATGGAAAAAAATTAGTTACAATAATATTGATCAAATAACCATATTACACATTAATTAACATAGCTTGTAGATAATTGACATGCTGTTTGACATGTATAAATTGACATAAGATAAAGAATAGTAAATGCAAATTAACACGATTCGTATAAATACTGTTGTACACACGGATGTAGGGTCATAAGAAAAAATATGCAAATATACATACATGTAAGAATATATATAAATATAAATATAACAAAACTTTGAATCACACAATTCATTTGAAATCAATACTTATCAATTAATCGAAGTTTTAGTTTCTTTTTGAAATAAGAATAAGAAAAAATTTTTAGTGATTCATCAACGCTGTTACATATCTTAGTTCCAATACACCGTATATTGAATTTTCCATAATTGGTACGAACTAAAGGTAGAGAATAATTTGCCTTAGAAGCTAACCGAGTGTTGTGGCTGTGCTGCTCCACTACTAGATTAAAGAAATTATTAAATTTTTTTGGAAGTTTTGAATTGTAAAAGTTATGTAAAAACAAGGTCGTATTGAGATAGACAATATCCTGAAATTTTAGTAAATGTAGTTCCTTGAACAGAGGAGTGGTATCTTCATTAAATTTGGAGAAAGTAATTATTCCCACAGCTTTTTTTTGCAAAATAATCAATGGAGTTATAATGGATTTGTAATTATTTCCCCAAACTGCCACTGCATAAATAAGAAAAGGATAAATGATAGCTTAGTACAATTGAATTAAGGTCTTTTCTTCAACAAAATGTCTCAATTTTTATAGAATACCTATATTCCTAGCAATTTTTTTTGAAAGCTCATGTACATGATCTTTCCATTTAAGATTTCTATCAATAATAACTCCCAAATACTTAATACTTTGTTTTTCCTTAATTTGTATTCCATTTATCAAAATATTTAATTTTTTAGTACAATTTTTTGGGAAGAAGAAAAGAGAAGGTAAAATGACTTATCTACATTGAGAGATAGTTTATTAGCAGAAAGCCATTCACTAACAAAAGTCAGTTGATTATTTATTTTAATTTCCATATCTATTAAGCTTCTATCACAGCAAAGTAAATTTGAGTCATCTGCAAAAAGATGAAAATTTAGCTGAGGGGCACAGTTGCAAAAGTCAATAATATATAAAAGAAAGAGTGGAGGACCTAGTACAGAACCCTACGGAACACCACTAGGAATAAGTTTAGTGTCAGATGCAGTATTATTAATGAAAACAAATTGAGATCTGTCAGTTAAATATGAGTAGAACCATTTCAAGGCTATACCCCTAATTCCATAGTATTCCAGTTTTCTAATCAAGATATTCTGATTAACAGTGTCAAAAGCCTTAGCTAAATCTAGGAAAATACCACAAGAGAAAAGTTTATTTTCGATAGCTCCTTGAATTTTATCTATAATAAGATGAAGGGCATGGACAGTAGAATGATAGGATCGAAATCCAAATTGACCCTCAAAAAATATCTCATATTTTTGAAAGAATTCAACCAGTCTACTATACATTAGTTTTTCCATAATTTTATTAAAAACTGAAAGCAAAGAGATTGGACGATAATTACATATGTCCGCTCTGTCACCGTTCTTGTGAATGGGAATTGCTCTCGCTGTTTTTAATTTGTTTGGAACCATGCCAGTAGAAAATGAATAATTAAATAAAATCTCAAGTGGTACAGACACTAAGTACTTTAGCAATTTTAAAATATTAATTGGAATACTAAAAGGAATGTTGATTTAGAACCATTCAATATACCGAGTACGCATCTCGTCAGATACATATCTACTTTGTAAATATTCCGAATAAACCCTCATTTATCAAAACGGACGTCGAATTAATGGTAATTTGTTGAAAACTTGATGTGTTAACTGTATCCACACAAAAAATATTAAAAAAATGGCCAATCTATAGGAATATTTGGGTTTATTTGCCAAAACCCATCCTTAGAACTATATATTATATTACGATCTGGCTGCACTCATCTGGCTGGAAACATGGCCGCCGTTTAAAATACCCGGATTGTAGAACTCAAAACAGGGGACACGAACATCTAAGGCTCCGACATCGAGTGGCGCTTCTGTTACAATCCGACATCGAGTGGCGCTTCTGTGCCCTTAGTCGCGGCAAATAAATAAATTGTTATGTAAAGGAAAGATATGCCTTATAATTAATCATTGTTTTAATGTCATTCTAGTATTTTTGATCTGAATCTAAGCAAACTTAGGAATTGTGAATTTTGATTGTTTCTCTCCGTCCATTTCTTAAGTGCGTAAGTTGGATAAAATCCCATTTCTTCCAATCATCATCCATGCGCACTCAATCGCCCCGAATTCCCTGTAATTTATCAAGGCGCATGCGGGCATACCCGTTTACCTCTTTTAGTTTTCCCATAGTCTCAAGTGATTGAATGTTAAACAAAAGTTTATCATAAATGGCGTGGATCTTACCGCAGTGTGTTTTCTGTACTTTAGGTAAATCCATGATGTTCTGTACATAGGCCCTGACTATTTCACTGGTATCCGCAAACTTAGACTGTAGGATGTTCTTCGCCCGCTGATATCCTTCGATAGAAAAAGGTAACTCGTCTATGCACGATTTAATCTTGGGAAATAGTGATTCTTTCAAGTAAGAGAAATTTGTCACCGCAGGAACATCTGCTTGATCAATTTCGGCTTCAAATTGATTCCAAGATCGCATCCGATCTGTTGCTGTACCATTGAAGTTGGTGATAACTAGCCTGGGTTTGTTATCCAATAGAAAAGACCAATAGAAAGACCAATAGAAAAGATTCCATTTTCAACTCGTATTGCAACCGTTGTTCATGCTGCAACTTGTCATACTCCAATTGTTCCTTGAGTTTATCCTGGCGTAATTTGGTTACTCGTTTTTCTTCCAGCAATTCTTGTTCTTTTTGTTCTTCTTTCTCCCAATTTCCGGTGGTCTGCTTTACATCGTCCATTTCACGATCAAATCCCTCCTACTCTAAATCCATTTCATTTACCCATTTTCCAATTTCGTCATCATTATCACTTCTCTCAATTCAAAGTTCTTGAATTCTGAGTTTCAGTTGATCAATTTCTGAAGTTAGTTTGCCAACTGTAGTTTTTGGTGTTCTATAACGGTTATATTTCGCTTCCCGATTGAGAGCTTTATAGTTTCTCTTGCGTTAAAGATCAACTTGCGCTTTGTTCCAATTTGTTTCAACAACTTCTCCATTTCTCACAATCCCGTCGGAAGAGCCACTTTGTGTCGGGAACGCTATAGAAGCTAAGTTGATGGCCATCACGCTCACAAGTTTGATATATTTTATTAATCACAGTTTCACATACAGATATGTGTACTCGACTAAAGTTTCGAAATCTCTGCCCATGCCTCGCGAATATAGTCGCTAAATACCCCTTACTCACGTGATTTTACACTACTAATGATTAAATATATGATTACGTAATTCAAATTGTCCCAGTTCCCAACAAAAATAACTTAACCAGGATGGTATAGGCTATAGGGGTATGTTCATAAACCATAAAATCTGTGTTTACTTCATAGAGTATTACAGCACTTTGATATTAATAGACTTGTGATGAAAATTTTCATAAGCATACTAATATACAAAACATCTAATCAAGAATGATGACAGACCATATATGTGTTGGGACCCATGTGCCAAGGCACAATCATGCAAAGGTCAGTCCGAGCCTGACGCAAATGAAAACTTTGCAACGAACCGAATATATCGGATGTATCATATAACTATATAAGTTATTTTGTCCTGTAAATAGGCTGACCGACGACGTGGAAAACAAATGTAAGCAAACAGGGGCTAATTAAATTAAAAAAAAAAGAAAGCATTTAATGGGAAAAAGTGCCCTTTCAAAAAATGCGATTCCTCTTTGAGTCAGGGCACTGAAAATCGTACCAGACCAAAGACGTCTGCTGTTATATCAAGATGTACGTACGTAGTACAAAGGTCAAGTTAACTGATTCTTACGTGCTTCACTAAAACAGTTACAATTATAAACAACTTCACCACAATGAATATTCAAATCCATATTATATTTAAATGCAAATTAAAAATACTAAGCTGAAGGTCATAATAACATTTGAACATTCAAAGCAATTTCCATCTCTTTTCGAGTCTGTAATAACAGCTGTCGTCGGAAATGGACGAAGGTCGAAATACAAACGACAACATAATTTACACAGAAAATGGTAAAGAGCTAATCTTTGCAGAAGAAACGGCGCGTCTGAAGTCAGATGTCGATGTATACAAATGGCGATTGCAACCGAAAAATGAAAAGCTTAGGTCAGTAAGTTGAATTAAGTATTAGACGAACGAAATGAGTAGTTTGCATTATCAGACATGTTCATTAGCGAAAGTTGTGGAAATGGATAAATGCTTTGGCTTATCTGCTCAATTCAAAGTTTGAAATTGGAAACCTTTGTTCTCAAGAGCGAGCACTTGCTTGAAATATATTATGTCATTGTACTGTTAAGGATTAAGGAAGACTTGTTAGAAGAATGCTTGTTTGAGTAAAGCTTTATATTACTCCCGTTAATGCAGAAATTGACATAAAGCTACTGCACCAGTCTCGAGGCAATAAAATGTCCTGTGCCTCGACGCTATATTATTTGCAAGCGTACTGTTGTGAGAATGGCGTTTTGGATTTCCTCATTTTCACATTCATTGTAATATCACAGTTGCCTCGTACGCAATTCACAAACTTCGTACTTCGTTAGATCAAAGACGATTAATGACGAAATTGACGTCTCAAACATCAGCTTCAACACAGGATGATTATTAGTCATTGTTATATAATACTAATGTGTATGTAATGAGTATGTTTTTCGATGTTCTGTCTGTAGCACTTGGTACTTGGTGCTCCACAGTCCACTGAATACAGCACTTGTTTGCGTATGCTAGCACATTCGTCAATTTCTTTTTTCCTTTGACTTTGTCGTCGACACCTTCTTTCACAAAACTATTTATATTGCAGACATTAATATTATGTTTGCTATTGTCTTATTTACTCTATCTAAGTAAAGAATGATAATGATTTGAAAATGTACTAATAAATTTCTCAAATAAAAGAATGATAAATGGTCAGCCAATACATCTCACCAAACCCCAGCCCAGGGTTTAAAACAAATTTCAAATTAATTGTAAATATTAGCAAAGCTTTTATCATTTATGCAAAACATTAATTTTACATCGCCCGATATCTCCTGGACTTTGACTTTTGTAATTTCTTTACCAAATGTCATTAATCATTATTTTTTTAGGGGAATACTGTTCTTTGCCCATGGCTATGCAGAACACTCGCGTTGCCGGGACGAGTTTGTTAGGTTGTTATGCGCTGAATTGAACATTATTGTAATTAGTCATGACTACGGTGAGTTAGAAACTGACCCCTGCATTTTAAGACTTTTGGCAAAATATATGAAGATCTTTATTCGTGAAAATATTGAAATAATCTAAATGTGTAATTCGCAACATCAGTAAAACTCTTAGAACACTAAGAAGAGGGTGACAGGTGAGAGTTGTCCTAAACAAAAATGCTCTTGTAAATATGGGAAAAAACAACAGCTTTTTTTATTTATTACTTATGGTCAATAATAATTTTATAAAAACGTCCAATGCTTTCCCCGCTTACAAATACAAATCGATACCAATTGATATAAAAGAAAAATTCATAACTTAAGTAGTTGTTTTTCAGTTGAGACTAAAAATCAAAGTCCAAATTAAATCCACTTATGCGTATGTAGTTATAAGTACATACATACAATACCTTAAAAGTTAGCTTAAACAAATAACTATCAGTACACGCTGTCAGAGAATGTGTTTAGCTAATTCTAAGATCAAAAAGAAGACTTACTTGTAAATTGGGATTCTATCAGTCATCAGCACTGATCTCGAAATAAGACTGGATCAAGCATCTAGCACAAAAGTTGAAGACAAAAATAAAGAGCGCCGCCATTACTAAGGGACCAACTTTCGAAAATAAGGAACAAATATATTGTGGATTTATACGAGAATAATCAAGAGTTTTCAACATGTAACTGCATGAACATAACTGAGAGATAAATCAGTTTATAGAAGGGCTAAAAATACGTCTAAATATGATGATATATGATCGAAATGCAGCGATTTTTGTCAACGGTAACTCTACTGTGGTATGGAAAAACTTTGGAAAATAGCTCACAACTGCATGGAAATAATTAAAGTTGTTGGAATCGTATTTCAGAAGTACAAAGTGATTAAATAATCTCATAAACTAATCAATCCTTTAAAATTACAAGTCTTTTTTACGTGTGATTCGGAGGGAAACGAGTGTTTGAGTTTTGTTTTGTACGGCCGATTATTTTTCTACTCGCTTTACTATCGCCACAAAAGTTTTTTTTCATCTTCTGCGTTATCTTAAAGCGTGATTTGGCCATGTGTTGCTATGTTTTCCATAGTTTTTTTTTAAAAAGTCTTTTGATGTGTTGGTCCGTTAGTAATGGCGACGATGGCTTCGAAATTTGTTTATCACAAGTATATAGAGTGGCTTGATCCAATCTTTTTTCAAGATCAGTGGTCATCAGTGAGAATGTTTGCAGAAACAATTAGTATCCATAAAAACTGGTTTCACTTATCTGCAGTAACTTTTAGACATTGAAGTAAAAGATTGCTGAAAAAAATGCTCTAAAGATCCAAATCCTAGACATATGTTTTAAAAATTTCACGAAGTGGCGCCGGTTCCCGGAACATTGAGAATTGGTGATGGGGGAGGGGGGCGTGAGTATTCATACATTCCTAGTCACAGCTCGTGAAAAACAATTGATTTCAAAGGAAAGTAATAAGGCAAAACACGTATATATGAGTAGTTGCTCGTTAAAGTTTTTATTTAAGAAACAAGCGTTTATCAATTTTTGGAGCGTCATTTGGCTCATCATCTGAATAAATAAATTTACGATTTCAGTCGGCCATGGAAGATCCAAAGGGGAAAGAGTTTACATTGACACGTTTGATACCTTCGTGGAAGATATTCTTTGTCATGTCGATGAGTTCAATGCCCTGCATCCCGATCTTCCAGTATATCTCTTTGGTCATTCCATGGTAAGATAAACTATATTTATTAGCTATCTGTACACAAGCTCTGTTTCTAGAGCATTAGCTGTTTATAGAGCCTTTAGACTGCTGGCGCCGGTTGCACGAAGCCTGGATAGCGTTATTCATTGGATAGCGAAAATTTTGAAACTTGTGAAGAAGGTGTTTATATTTTTCTTACGACAAAGAAATTTGGTAATCTTCGTAACAATATTTTATTTCAGATATTGCACAGTTCAAATGGTATATTTTTCACTTATAAGAGATTTTATGAACGTTCAGAAAAATTTGCTATCATGTGGATAGCGCTATTCGTTTTCCGTGCAACTGGCCCCAGCAGTAAAGCATATATCAGGGGCGCTTACATGTGGAGCGCAAGGGAAATGGTTAGGGTTAAGAATTAATTTCTAATATTTCTATAAGACTGAATTGTTGGTAGTTGAATATTTTCATGAGCGCCATTTTGTAAGTATATGAATAAAAGTCAGAAGAAAAATGTAAAATTTTCCGCCATTTATTATGGCGCGCGGAACCCGTCATAATTCTAAACTTTATTTATTTCTTCTAAACTCCCAAATACGGCATTCCAAACTCTAAAATTCATTGCAAACACTATTTAATTCTTGCCAACCACAAATATTCTTGCTGAAATGAGTTGCTGAAACTGTAATGCAATCTATAGAGGAACGGGCGCTCACGACTTACTAACATACACTACCTTTTTGGTTTCGCTACGTAGATGACACAATCACAGCACTACATGCAGACGAGATTGATGACTTTCACACTCACATCAACAAACAGAACAGCCACATACAAATTACCAAAGATGTCGAAGAAAACAGAACTCTTCCTTTTCTCGACTGTTTGGTAAAACATGACAATCAAAAACTACGAAAACAGTTTATCGCAAGCCAACACATACTGACCGACTACCAGACCAATCATCTTATAACCCTACATCACACAAAGCCACCACAATCAGAACATTAACAAGACGTGCACAAATCATATGTGATTCACCGGACGCTCTACACAACGAAAACAACTATCTCAAACGTGTTTTTGACAAAAACAACTATAATTCTGACTTCATCTAACGCAACACTTACAAACCCAACGAAACGAACCACTCAGTGACAACAGCAACGATACCTTACATCAAAGGTACGTCTGAGACTATCTCGCGTATCTTACAACCATACAACATACGTGTCGCACATAAACCAATCACAACGTTACGACAAGTACTAACGAACATAAAGGACAAAGAACAACCCAAGGAACGACAAGGTGCAAGTTAAAAAATAAACTGCTCCGACTGCCACGCCTCCTATATCGGGGAAACTGGCAGGAACTTAAACATAAGACTTACTGAACACAAACGAGCTACAAAGAAACAAGACAAAACTAATCACATTGCCGAACATCACCGAATCACAAAGCACAACATTGACTGGGACTCGGCAAAATGCATTACTTACAGTACTGACTATAGACAACGGCTTACATTAGAAAGTTGGTATACCAACTTGGAAAAAACCCCCCTGAACAGATCACAGTAATTACCGGCACCTTACAAACGACTTATTCACAATACACACAAACGATCAACTAAAAACATTACACTTCACACTAATTCACAATAACAATACACAATTGACACCCACACATTACAACCAAAAACATGACACCTAAATCACACTTCACAACTAAAAATATTTCACTTCACACTAATTCACAATGACAATACACATTTCCTGTACACACAATACAATGACGTAAGAACCAGATAACAAATACGGCTAACATGACGTTTACTCCTCATTTGACTCTGAAGATGACTAACGCTAAGGTTGTCGAAACGTCAGTCAACAACAACAAAAACAGTCCTTCTCAGGACTATACCAACCTGGACGATCTACATTTACAAACATGTAACGATACTCCGGGCTCAAACCATTTACTTGTACTCATTTGTCATTCGCATTTTAGCTTTCTAAATTCTATTTATTCCTTCTAAACTTCAATTATTGAAGTAATTAAATTAGCATATCTAATTTATTCATGAACAACATAGCGGAAAGGGTGCAAAGTCGTAGTCAAAGTACTGATGAAAATAATCAAAATCACCGTGCTACTATGGATGGGTTAATCTCAAATGCAATCCAAAGCATTTCGCGCTTAAGAGAAAAGCAACCAGCAATCAATAATGTCGTTCAACCATCACAGCCTTCGCCAACAGATTTGCTAACTAAGAACTTGTTCGCCTGTTTCCAGCTTTTCAACATGCAACTTCAAATCTTATTCGTAATCATGGTGGAAATGGAAATTCACATCAAAGAAGATGAACTGGCAAGCGGCGTCAAGCAAGTGGACAACCTATGAAAAAAAAAATTCTTAAGAAAAAGAGGCTTGTTCACAAAGGTGTCGTGTTTATATACAATCCTTCTGTGGATAAAGTACCAACGCATCAAACTCGATTAAGTTTGGAGCAAAAAGGACGTGTGATTCACGACTTTGAGTTTGAAAGAGATTGGGTAGAATGACAAGTGCGATAGGCCATAGAAGAAGAAATGCCAATATTGCTCAACGTTGAGTATGAATTCCTAAAGGTTAGAAAAAATTTTTAGTTTTTGTATCAAATATCTTTAGTGGTGAATTGGAAGCATTAATACTCCATCAAGAGTTCAATAATTTTTCCGATTAGCAAGATATGTATGCTGCCAAGAAACCTTCATCAAAACGTGTTATCAAGCTGATTCCTGCTGGACCAAAGACCGAAAGTGAAGGGGTGTGCTTTGATCAAAACACGTTTGCAGCATTTTTACAATCTGTCACTGGCATTGATATCACCGTAGAGAAGATAGACGTTTCATTCAATACAACCAGTGGTTCTGCTCGAGTGATGTATAAAATATATTAATCCTAGCACGGTTTAATATGCACATGAAAAACATGTGACTTGGACGAGATTTGAACTCGCACCTTCGAGATACTAGTCCGCCGCTCTACCTGTTGAGCTACCAAGCCCACAGGGATTGGAGACGAGTCAAATCTCTTTTTAAACTGCGTATGGACGAGAGATTCTCGCCACTATAGCAGTTTACTGGATGGCACCGTGTTTCGACTTTATTCCAAAGCCATCATCAGAGAATATATATAATATATTAATCCTAAAACGGTTTATTAAACGGTTTAATATATTATATATATTCTGTGATGATGGCTTTGAAATACTCGAGTGATTGTGGCCCATACTTGTGCACCGATGCTAGAATTATCATCGACTAACCAGAGCTTCAACAAACTTTCAGAGAAAATGTCAAATTCATTGAGCAGCTCCTTTGCATGGTCGATCATGTTAATATAAACCGGATTAACGGGGATATAAAGTCAGACTGTGTTCCATGATGTATCATTACAAGTATATTATGTTGAAATCTGATTTAGCCAATTGGAACTTAGGCGGCCCAAAAAATCCCTTAGCTAGCTAAAGTTTAAAACAAGCGATAACTCTTCCCATTTCAACGTAACAGACCAAGCGCTCGCAAATTTTATATTAATTGATTATATATAATATTTTCCAGGAAAATCCTGGATCTAAGTGCTCCGTGTAATCACTTTTGGCATATGCTGGGTGTTAAACATTTTCATCGACTGATTGCAAATTCGAAACGCCTATAAAAACAGATTCTAGGCCGGCAAAAAAGTTTCTTAGCCCAACAGTGTTCCTCTCGTTATTTTCTGTTTTGTTCATTACACATTAATGTCAAGCAAAATTCCAATATTCCAAAGATACTATTCAGATTCCTTGAAATTCTTTGGATGCCATTTGACATTAATTCATTTCTACTAATATGGCGATTTTGATTCTTTTTGTTCGAATTTTGATATCGGCTTAAAGACGACGACTTTGCATCCTTTTCGCATGTCGTTCATGAATAAATTAGATGCATGGTTAGACTGGAAAACATGAAACAAGAGTTCAGCAAGAATATTTGTGGTTAAGAGTTAAATAGTGTTTGCAATAAATTTTTAGAGTTTGGAATGCCGTATTTGGATTTTAGAATTAATAAATAAAGTTTAGAATTATGACAGGTTCCGCGCGCCATAATTTATCACTTGCGCTCGGTGTATTTTTGTGGCCAGTGACTTGCTAAACTTTAGTAGCCCCAGGTCCAGGCCATTTAAAAAACAGGAAGTTTCTGGATTACTTTTTCTTCTCTAAAGAATCTATTGGACAAATATGAGAGTTTGTAAAGTAATTTTACTCCAATGTCTCATGCATGGAACGATATTAAAGACAAAATTCAGATAAAATTAGCAATCATCTTTTTTGGTTTCTACTAGCTACATTCCATATAATGAAAAGTTTTGCGTTTCAAAACGGCCCTGAAGGATCTAAGTTTATCTTTGTAATTGATGTAAGCTTTACATGTGAACCACAAACATTAATGTGCATACTTTTTCATGGACGAAATTTATCTACAAGACATCATCAAATGTGCATAATTTAGATCAGGGGTCTCCAAACTTTACAGCCAGAGGGCCACATGAACTTTTATCCAGCATGTTGAGGGCCGAAGAATATAAAAATTTCCACGTTATCCTTCAGCTATTTAAATTGCGCAATGTGCTTGAAACGGAAGTAGGAAGTTGGGAGAAAAATTGACGTAAGCCACTCTTGCTAGTTGGCTTGCGACATAACGTGAACTTTCTGCACAAAGTTTATTTTGTTTAATAATATTATTTTTTTTCTTAAGTGCCTCTGCGGGCCGGATTGAGAGGCACAACGGGCCGCATCTGGCCCGCGGGCGGTAGTTTGGAGACCCCTGATTTAGATAAACAATATGGACATTTTTCAAGTTGCCATTTCTAGTTCTTTTTCAATTGCAGGGCGGTGCGTTAACCATCTTGACAGCCTGTAGCCGACCAAATTTTTTCAAAGCAGTGGTTCTCTCTTCTCCAGCTATAGTTATCGATCCAAGTATTGAGCCTGGCTGTGTTAAGGTATGTTTCTGCATCATGTTTCCCAAAAATTAGCTATGCATTACGAACCACGATGTTATTTGAAGTAATACCATGGTTGCGTCAAGTCAAATTAATAACTAATCTACCTAATAAAAATTCACCTATTCAAATTCAAAGGTCGTATTAGAAGTAATACGACCTTACATGACGTCTTTGCAGGTAGCTATGGCAGCTATTAACTAACAATCCCCAATTTTGAGCTTGATATAAATAGTATCATCACAAAGAATTCCCCCAAACGCAAAACCATTAAATTTACACCATTCTTGGCCGTAAAGCATTGACTGCAACATTTCGGCAATCGTAGTACTATACTGTACTAAGCCTCAATTTGACCACAAATTAACCTCGCTGTACCGTGGTATTACTTATAAATAGAAACTGTGATACAAGGGTATTATGTTTATAAAATCCCGACGGTAAAACTAGTTGTACAATTTATCAAATATATGTTGTCCAGAAAGAGGAATTGAAGTCTGCAAACTTAAGCTACATATAGTGATGAAAATATGCATCTGTATGTAAGTTTGCCCATCGTTCCATGCAGACCCATGACATCAGATATACGTAGGTACAGCATTGTAAGCCTCTAGGGAAGACATGAACATGGGATGATCCATTAATGGACAAAAATTTGATTGGTATTGATGTATATTCAATGTTCATATGCTGTCACACAAGAATTCTAAAAAGTCCATCAGTGATTGTGATTCCCGTCATTCCTGACTTGATTCTTTTATTGGCATTATCGGCGTAAAACCTGGTCACATGGAAAATACTGTGGTTTACAGAATCAGTTAATATCTTGACGTGGACTTATAGATACAAGCAGCAGATTCTTTTATTGACAATCACAGGTCGAAACTGGAGGAATACTTCTTGCCATCAGAAAAGATTTGGCGTTTAGTGATAGGCTGTACGTTCTCAATCAGATTATAAAGTCAGGAGAATGTGATTGCGAAACAGAAAGGGTCTAACGTTTGTAAATCCATCATATTCCAAAAAAGTTGTTGCCAACCTTGTAATAGATAATGCCATGCGTGCATGAAAATGACCTCTGACCTTCTGTTGTGACAATGGAAGATCATTCAGAATGGTTGACTGGTTGAGCACAATCCTCAAAAACTCACGATGGCAGACGGATGTTAATTCTACTATACCAGTAATATAACTAGAACGCGGAGCTTCTTTCCAATAATAATATCTCCTATTAACTTTTCTTCGACCTCCGTGTTACTCCTTCATATTATCACCGTGAAATATAACTGGTCTTTTCGACATCAAACCGTCAAAATGTTGCTCAACAGTCAACCAGTGAACTCCATATATATATATATATATAATTTGATTGATTATTTACTATTTACTTGTATGAATCAGTCAGTGAGGGTGTGCTGCAGGACATGGAATCAACTGCATGTTATCTGTTGGAAAGTTCCAGGTTTGTCATACATCTCGAGAAGTCGTGCTTCAGTCCAACTCAGCAGAGGGAATTCGTCGGATTTATGGCACAATCTGACCATGACTCCAAGGTGGAGATTATAAAAACCAATTGTTGTGTATGTTAGCCCAAAACAAAGTGTCAATAAGGGATCTCTCTCAGCTGATTTTGAAGTTGACCGCGTCCATTCAGGTCATACTTGCGGCTCCCTCTAGTGTATGATTTATCCATTTGATTGATCACATCGACATCATGGACAAAACTTCAGTTAGGGCTTGTATCAACCTGAACTAAGATAAGGCCTTATGGAATTGGGCTTTAATTCCAATGTTTATTCTCATTTGCCTCTCTTTTGCATTTGGAGACTAGATCCTTTACCTCTAGAAGTGGATGCCGGTCTGCTGAACTGGTCTATTGGGAAAAACTATGACCAACACATTGAAAGATTTTTTAACAAAACTATGGAAAAACAGCAGAACATGGCCAAATCATGCTTTAAGATAACGCAGAAGATGAAAAACAACCTTCGTGGCGGTAGTAAAGCGATTCAGAAAGAATAATCGGCTGTATAAAACAAAATGCATACAGGTTTCACTTGTAATTTTAAAGGATTGATCAGTTTATGATCGTAAATGAGATTATTTAATCACTTTGTACTTCTGAAATACGATTCCAACAATTCTAGGTATTTCCATGCAGTTGTGGGTTATTTTCCATAGTTTTTCCATACCACAGTAGAGTTACCGATAAAAATCGCTGCATTTTGACCATATTTCATAATATTTCATCGTATTTTTACCTTTGTATAAACTGATTTATCTCTTAGTTATGTTCATGTAGTTACATGGTGAAAATTCTTGATTATTCTCGTATAAATCCACAATATATTTGCTCCTTATTGTCGAAAGTTGGTCCCTTAATAATAGCAGCGCTCCTTATTTTTTGTCTTCAACTTTTGTGCTAGATGCTTGATCCAGTCTTATTTCGAGATTAGTGGTACGACTACGAGTCATTGAACTAAAATACATGGAACGCTACCTGTAATACAAAACCCGAATAATTTTTTGAAGCCGTGATTTTACCCCAGGCTCGTTCTGTTGTTTATAGCTAAAACAAAATTTTAGAGAGCTTTAGCAAGAGTACTACGATAACGAGTACAAAGTTCGACCGTGTAAGGGAATTGCACGAGGAAATTTGTTGTCGTTGTCGCGTTGTCAAAATTTTGTTTTAGCTGTAAACAACAGAACGAGCTTTTTATTGTGAAAAACACAGAAGTTTGCGAAGCAGCTACGGCTCTATTTGTCAAAAATGATATTAACGAATCGGTAATACTGATTTTGCGAGAATATAGGACTCTTTAGACTGAAAAATCTTCACTATTTTAAATTTCATGTGCGATATATTTGTACTATTTTATTGTTTGTTTACCATTCACTTCGCTTACGACATACATGGAAGTTTTGCAGGTCATATTTTCGTTTTAAATGTACATCTGAGCTCAAAAATAATTCTGAAAGAAAGCTTGGATGATCGAAAATAGTACTGTAAACTAATTTCTTACACAATGAAAAAATATACCTACTTTCTTTGCTTAAAAAGACATCGTAGTCGCGACTACGAATTTTTTACAAATCATCGTACTCAGATTGATGACGGCTAAGTTTGGTTGTTGTCGCAACAATGTTTTCGCACAAAAATGACGTAATTCGTACTCGTAGTCGTACTCGTAGTCATTGCTAAAGGTCCCTTTTGACGAAGCGACAACGACAACAAACTTCCTCGTGCCATTCCCTTACACGGTCAAACTTCGTACTCGTTGTCGTAGTTGTACTCTTGCTAAAGCTCTCTAATACGACCATGAACACGACTGCAGTCGTAGATTCAACGGGAAGTAAAAGGCGCATGCCACGCCATTTTTACGACGTCTTATACGAAACGTCGTGTTTGCTAAATCACTCTTATAGCTGGGACCACCACTTTTATACATGATGTTCAAGATTTTTCATACAGGTGACTGAGATGACATGAAAACATTTAACTGATGTTTTCACCCTTTTCCGACCCCCTCCAATTCTCATGAGACACATGGTTTTTTTCATAAATAATGCCTCAAACGGTTGCAAAACTAATATTGAGGTTCGGAGTGTATGTATATTTATCGTGATATTTAAGTAAACGACAGTTTTGTCTTACTTGTAGGTTTTCGTAGGGAGAATAATCAATCGGCTAACCCCAAGATTCCAAATTCTTCCAAAGATCGACACAAATGTTTTATCTAAAGATCCAAAAGAGGTATGCTCATCGTTCATTGTTGTTTACCGTCAAAGTAGCCAAAATGTGATCAATGAAAAAATTCGATCAAATACAACGGTTGTTTAAAATCAGAATCACTGACGTAATTTGAGTGGTCGTGAAAGGCGTATCTGATGCAGGACGACGCCGGAGTTAAGGTCAAAACAAAAACTTCGGCAATGAGATTTACTTAAACGTCTAACTAAATAAATGTCAAACTCCAATAAAATGGCCTTCTGTTGTCATAATTCTGAAAAATCGTTGATCGCCAGTTGATAAAATTTAAAGAATGTGTGTCAACCAAGATGCATTGCCCGTTGATTACGGCCATATCACGGCATGACGGCCATTTTCTGGGTCGCAAAAATGGCGGCTTGTGTTATTATTTGTTGTCTATGGAACTTTGACCAACTAACAACTTTAAAATAAGTTATTTTATAAACTTTTGATTTGAAATGTCGTTTCCTAACAGTGGTGTCGTTTCCTAAGCGTGGAAGGCCAAAACGGAAAGTTGAACAACACTCGATTCGTAAATATGATAAAAAGACAAAGCCAAATCGGATTCGGAGGTTGACATTTTTGACGTGTTTTGAATTTTTACAAATTTGATAATTTTTTTAATTAATTTTTTTTGCTAAAGTTTTCAGCTAAATTAGACGACGTAGTGACGAACTTGGATTTAGTGTGCCGCAGGCTAACTACCGATGTAAACATAAACAAAAGTGCACAATGCATCGTGGTTGACACACATTCTTTAAATCACAAGGGAGAAACGATGAATAACTAAATTTTATCTGCAAACCAACATGTTAGTTTTCTGTCACTCCCTGAAATTGAATCGTTTCTCAAATAATTCGTTTACGGCAGCGAAGACCATAACTACGATCAATGAATTGGTGTTATGTATACCACGTGATTTAATGACGCCTTTCCATCATAACCAGTGAACTGTAAAGACCTTTTCGACAAAACAGTGCATCATAGGTAATAAAAATCACATGGGAACTATTAAATGCAAAGATTGCCTTGATAATCATGAAATTGTAAATAATGTCATCAAAATTCAAATCTTGAAAAGTTAAACTGATTCTAAGTGATATTAAAAGTATGTATTTAATGTTATCGAAGCGGCTAGTTTTGCTGTATTATATCCGCTCAAAACACATAAATACGACCAAGAAATCACATAAATACGCTCAAGAAATCGCAAATGTTATCTTTAAACTTCAAAACGTTTAAGTCAATCGTAAAGTTGAAAACCTGAAATCAATTTTATTATAATGGAATTTCTGTGGCGTCGCTAAGTGGGGAGACCTGGGGGGGCACGTGCCCCCTAAAAAAATTTTGTGGCCCCTATTTGAGTTTTAGAAAAGGGTCTAAAGATGCATAACTAAAAATTGAAAAAGAAGCACGATATTACTCTTATGGCATTCACACAGCTTTACTGCTTTACAGGGAAGCATTCTATCAGCTGTGTAAACTAGTTTGCGTTGCATTTACGCTATCTGCGTTGTCACCCAGTGGTAAAGATTTTAATTGCTTGAAAATGCAAAAAATATATACTTCTAGAATAATTCAAGTGGGGAAGGAAGAACAAGTGGTATTTTGATGCTTGTCGTGAACCTCATTACACCATATCTTAGAACTTGTATGAGATCGGGGACAAGTATACTCATAGACTCAAACTTGTAGACACAAAAATATACAAATAGCATTAACTATGTCTAAGGCTCAAGTGTTAGTATTATAAAATGAAAACATTTCATTAGAATCAATAATCAATTTACATAACGTTATAACACGAAGAATGTACAAATCCCCTTTATATCGTGATTATTGTTTAAAATTATTTCCATGTGCAGAGGCAATTTCGCTTTTGACGACGTGAGACATATTTTGACCCTCCTATTTAAATTAGCTTTTAGCTTGTGCCTCTCCACTCGCGAAATTCTGGAGACGTCACTGGCACGGATTTGCTTCAATAAGTCCTCTCAAACCATTAATTCCATTGATTGTTAGTGTATAAATACAAGTGCTGGTTTATCATCGTTATAGGTGCTGTGTAGGAGGTTGTAGTAACTGCAATAGAACTCCTAAAAAAAATAAAAGACGTTGCCATGCCATTCATACAGAATCGAAACATAGTTCTATCAGGCTTATAATAGGTTTAAACTTTTTGAGATTTGATGGTAATATTTGCGATTTCTCGAGCATCATGCCGATATTTGCTATCTGACTACCCATGATGCACTGTTTTGTCAAAAAGGTCTGTTACTGTTATATCAACTATATAGCGAAAACTTCGCCACCATCTTTGATGCCACCAGTATGATGGCAGATGCAGGTTGCCCAGTTGTTGAATTAAGGAAACACAAATATAATTATTCAAAAAATCTCCAAACAGAAACTAGTTTCCATGGAAATTGCACTTCTCGCCAACCCTTTCCAGTGCTCGAATCGGCATCAATCTAATTACATGGAGCGTTTAAATGGAAGCCTCGTTTAAGTTGATATTACATTTCACTGGTCATAACTCTTTGAAAAAATTACATTATCTGCAGGTAGAAGCGTACGATTCGGATCCGCTTATTTGGCACAGTGGAATGAAAGTACGCTTCGCTATAGCCTTTGGCGACGCACTGGATCGAATAAAATTGTTGCTTCCAAGCATAGAATGGCCTTTTTTGGTTGTGCACGGAGACGAGGATAAGATAACATACAAAGGAGGTTCAGAACTGCTAGCAAAAGAAGCAAAAAGCAAAGACAAAGAAATAAAGGTAGTCGTTTCTCGCTTCACAATCTTGCTTATTAGTCATTTAACGGAAGAGATTGTTGAAATATTCTGTGATACAAATAGAATAAGATATTTATATTATGATATATTTATATATCATAAAAAAGTCATTGGTTATGAATTTCTAAAGGATAAAAATTTACCAATCGATGCGTTGAAGTAATTTATTTTGTCCATAACTGAATACGCCCCTGATCATCGCTAAAGGGTCAATGTTCATTTTGTCTCACTTTAGATTTACAAAGGTCTAAGGCATGCAATGCTAGGAGAAGTAAAAGAGGAAGCAGACGCAGTGGTCGAACACATCCTTGAATGGTTACGAAACAGAATCCCCTCCTGATACCGAGGATGATTACTTACATGTGTACGCATACATATTAAACTATAATTTTCACAAATTCTATCTCCAGCTTGTACATCGGTTTCAACCATCTCTCTCACTACGTGTTTTTGACGATCATGCAATTTGTGTAAACGAGTTTTCTGATTTTATGATCCACGAAGGCAAACAACTAGTGTATTGTTAAACAACGTTAAAACGTTTGATTTGCACGATGTGTTCTTCAGTTTTATGTTTATCAACTTCTTGAACAAAACTAAGTCTTAAACAGAACGCCTGTTTTGCTTGATCGAAAAAATGATGCCACTAAGATCGAAGTAACACAATATTGTAGAATCCACTGTTTTACGTGTTTTTTAATGTCAGCTAGCTAGGTAATTATATATAGGTCCCATGTAACTCAACTGCAATGTAAATCTTACGGAACTGGTCTAAGTGAATCAGATGAAAATATTATACTTGGCATAACCATGTCGACGCGTTCACTATAAAGAATTTCTTAGAAACCAGCGCAAATAAACGTTTACTGACAAAGATATATAGCAAAGAAAGTCAGTAGAAATTTCATTGAACCTTACTTTTCTATACTGTGCGCCAGTATTAATGGGCTGGGGAGATATGCTGAATGGATATACCAATGATTTAGAACCCAATTCTTTAGATGTCTAACTACGGAGACAAGGTCAGGCGAGGACGCAATCTTGAAAGGTGGCAAAAAGCAAAACTTAAAAATGAAAAATAAGCTAAAAGTTTTAAAAACTCAGTCCTATCAAACATTTTAAAAATCAAGCCTAGCATGGCCTACTCAAATTTACACGGCCTGATATCTTGAATAGTAGAAGACCTATCTGTTTTTCGACTCTGTTCACCTGGTGAAGAACATCAGAATACTTTGCTGAATCGCAAAAGGTTTCTTTTTCCTACTTTCAATTTTACTGGGTTTTATGACCCTATTTCAGTAAGCGGAGGAGAGATTTCGTGGCGGTTACTTCATGAGGTGTACGAGAAAGATTAGAAACTTGAGGCAAATTTAAGGGCAGCGCCTGAACTTAGTGCGAAGGTTTTACACCCGGGAAATTGTAAACAGAATGTACCCGTAGCTTTAGCCATTTTTTCACGTTCAACTGCTACCGGCATAAGACATTATTTTCCTGACAAATCCGACGACGCTGCAAGTTTCCTGCATCTTGTTGATGTTTGGTGGACAATTTCAAATTCAAAATCCCGATTTAACACTTCTAATCGCCTTGGGAATGCTGCAGTTCTTAATGACAAAAAACTCGAATTCTTGAGAGCCTTTGCAGATTGGATCGACGAGTGGGATAACCTTAAATTGCCGAATTGCGACAAATTCAATCTTACTGCTCAAACTAGTCATGCGCTTCGATGCCTCCTTCGCTGCCATGCTGCTTTAATTGAAGAACTTTTAAGTGAGGGTTATTCATATGTGCTGACTTCGCGCTTCCAGAGTGATCCTTTGGAAAAACGGTATGGTCAGTACCGCCAAATGAGTGGTGGTCGTTTATTGGTCGACTTAAAAGATGTGGTATTCTCAGAAAAGATTCTAAAAATAAAAAGCCTTGTGAAGGAAGGACTGGACATTGATGATCGGTTCAAAGTCACCGATGAAAAATCACCGGAAAAAGTAGCAGAATTTAGAGACTCCGTGCAGCCAATCATATCTGAGTCTAATAGGATATGTGTGACGGATGCTTCTAAGGAAATTTCTGATAACGTTGCTGGGTACATTGCAAAAAAGCTTTGCAATAGTTGCTGTGAGCATTTACTAACCAATAATGGTGTTTCGCCATATGTGCAGTTACTTTCTCGTGGCGGATTGAAGGAACCATCTGCTGCGTTGGGTAATTTTGTTGCTCATGGATTTGTTGTACTGAATGCAGCAGCGAATATTCAAGACTCTAGCTTGCCATCGTGATTTGTTGCGGAGGATCTTTTGAAAACCGTTTTGTGTAACGAAGGGTTCGTCTGCGAACAGCACGAAGATATCGCCAATAACCGGGCAATAAGAATTATTTGTAACGTCTTCCTCAACAATCAGAGGAAAAGGCGAACAGAGATTGTTGTCAAAGACCGAGTTGTTGCACTAAAGCAAAGCAAGTGTTCCAAAGGCAATTGATGTAATTTTATTTATATTAACCGAGACTGCGTTTTTTAAAAGGCATCTACTTTCAACTCGAGTTTTTGTTTCAATTTCAGCATGCAAATGTCTTGTTTGTCTCTGAGACACTTGATCTCTAGTATATACTCCAATCCGATTTCGCATATAAGTGGTAGAAGTCGAAATCATTTAGAAATCGTGAATGCCTTAATGGCCTTGCCTTTTTGGCCTTGCTATGGCAAGATATCAGGCCGTGTAAATTTGAGTAGGCCATGAGCCTAGACTATCAACTTTGTAACTGTATACTAACACATAAAAAGGCGGTATTACTCGAAAATGTCGTCAGTTTTGCAACCTTTCAAAATGGCAGCTTGCCTCACTCGTAACTAATGAATTTTTGTGGAGTCAGATATCTAGTAGATTGGGTTGTAAGTCATTGATTTATACTCGGACTGATAGAATTTCAAAATAAAGGAGCCCGAATTAAAACGCGTTCTTCACATGACATCGCGTCTAAGTTACTTCAGACAGTGAACTATTCTCATGTTTAAAACACTTCGTGGTTACATCCCTCAGTATTTAGAATTATATAATAATTTAAGTAATTTCATTGGTCGAGAGCTATGATCTATAAGAGGACAGACGCACGAAATTGACGTCACAGAAAATTTCATGATTAAATGACAAACGAACGGCGAATTTATTTGAATACTTACCTGAATTTATCCCTGAAAGGGCAAATAAAAAGAAATTAAGAATGCCTAGTTGAAGCAGTGGACGTAATTGAGCAAAAAGAAAAGAAAAAACCCGGTTCTCAAACATTTATTTGTACTTCGTCTTTGATGGTAAAATTTCAAAAAAAGTGATCAGCCATTGCTTGTTTATTTTGTTAGCCAATCACATTTTTCACGTGATTAAGCTAGGCAATAGCCGATGACTCGTGGCAAGTTTTTCCGTTTTTATCACAAATGACGTCATACCCGTGTCTCTATAACTGTATAGACAACGGTTAAATGTTATCTATTTGTTAAATATTTAGTCCTAGAATGGATGTCAGTCTATTTCTACAGGAACTCTAATAATAAGTTGTTCGATTCCTTCCAAAAAACTGATGATGTAAAAATTTCCTTCTTTTGAAGAGAATCTTTTCTTTGGAAAAACTGAGGTTATCGTTTTGTTGTGCGTTATTTACGTCTCTAGCTACATCCCAAATTCACGAGAAAAAAATTAGCGTGCGCTATTTGGTCTACAGCTCAGTTTGCATTAGCCTGTGCAAACCGAGCTATTTCATCAAATCAATCAAAGAGAATTTGTAGATCAATCATGAACACACAGGAAAATTTAAAACACTTGTTTTAAGTTTATCTGTTTCGCATTATTGTTATCCTAAAAGAAATGTGTTTGCAATGGCTTATGCAAACCTCGGACACGTTTGTGAGAACTCTGGAGCTGATTCAAACTCGGGCTAGCACTGATCTGTTCTCAAGTTCTCCCGAAGGTCACCTCGGCTTGCATAAGCCTGTGCAAAAAAGGTAAACATCATTTCTTAAATAATTGTTTCGTTGATTTGTTTTAGTTAATTTAAAATGTTCTTATAAACAGGTCATCAACATGCATCTGAAAAGAATGCTTTTTAATGGTAAAAAAATCCAAATAAATTCCCTCAAATGAATCGAGCGTTTAAAGTGAAGAAACTGAGAACGGCAGCTAATTTCACGTATTTTATTTTTGAATGTTATCAATAATTTTCCCTACCTGCATCTATATTTATAATTATAATCTATAACATATAGTACTTTTGTTCGAGGAACTGGTCTTGCATGCAATTTCGTACAAAGTATTATCACGGGTATCTTGGTGTGCATCTAGTGAGACATTAAAACTTGCACACCAATATGTTTTTTATTCCCATCGAAACGCTTGCGCATCGTCAAGCGTCTTGCCAAAAGCAACTGCAACAATTATTTGGAACCCAATCCCCTAGATGCCTGACTACCATGTCAAGGTGAACAAAGGACGCCATTTCGAAAGCTGGTCAAAATCAATAAAAAAACACACTAAAAAAACCAATCCTATCAAACATTTAAGAAAAAAACATAAATTAACAACTCTGCAACTCTCATCATCTCACAAGAAGCAGAGTTTAGTCACAAATATCAGCAGTTTTGCCACATTTAAGATGGCGGCTTGCCTGAAGCAAAACTGTAGAATTTCGGATGAGTCAAGTATCTGGAGTATCAAGTAGATTGGTTCTAGGTGAATGAACTGCAATCGTAACCAGTTAAAGCTATGCGCTGCGCTTAACAAAAAAACTCTCTCATTTGTCTCCAGTGGCGAAGCCAGCCCAAACTTTTACTCCTAAAATGAAACTTTTTTAATAAAACTATGATTTATTTTTCTAAAAAATTCATTTCATTGTTCTTCCATGAAAGACCATAGATATATTTTCATTGTAAGAGTAAAAAAGGGAATGGCTTTGCTGCTGCTTGTCTTGCTAAAAATCGACCCCCAACAAAAAAACTTCACAATTAGCTAGGAAACAACAAAACACAGATAATAAGAAATAATCACAAAACAACAAATACAAGACGACACACATCACTAGAGAGTCTTTGTACGGCTGGTGAAAAGGCGACCCATGTAATCTGAAGATTTTAGAGCACATCTCGCGCATAAGAAACCACCATCTTGCTTCTGCCTTGTTCCCTAAGTGTAACACGACACAATGTAAGGGGAAAAATCGATTAACTAAAATTATAGCTTTCGTGGCACGGTGAACTGAAAAGACTTTGGAATGAATTCCTATCCCTTTCAATAATCAAACTAAACAAACTGGGCTTTTCCTAAACAGTATTTTAAAACTGATAAAAAAATGAAACTCTTGCTTCCTTTTACATCTCTATTGCTTCGTTTATCAAACCAAAAGCTAGTACAATACATGATGGGCAATGTTTATCAAACCATCAAAAATTTGAAATGTAAAGAAAAACAAAAGCTTTTTAATGTGAACATTTTCTATATTTTTATGTTCTTAAATTTCAAGCATTTTCATACGCACAAACTTTCTACCGGAGCCGAAGCTAGTTTTTACGTAAGTCGGAGTTTTTTCAACCGAAGCCGGAAATGAACTCTTCCCCTGAGTTTGGTGTCAAATTACTTTCGGTTAGCTTTAGCAGTTTCATTTAATAATGCATTTCTTTTTTAAGGAATTTTATACAGCGACTGCTAAAAGTGAGTGAAAAAATCTACCTATTTTTGGTTCACACAAAGCATGCAAAAGCAAAATTAGTCGTCCCATTTTTAAGAAATCCTATCATTCACAAATTCCGAAGAAACAAGACATCTTGAGATTGCAAAATATGAATCAAAACAAGACGAGAAGTAAACTGTAAATTTTCGACTTTACTTCAAAGTCATCTTCAGACAGAATGAGACAGACCTCTGTCCGAGGATGAGTTTGAAATAAAGTGGAAAAATTTACAGTTTACTTCTCGTCTTGTTTTGATTCATATTTTGCAATCTCAAGATGTCTTGTTTCTTCGGAATTTGTTTTATATTATACTTCTTTAAATTGTGGGCTGGTCATGGTTTTTTTCCCTATCATTCACGTTTTAATTTTCTTTCGGAAAAGACAAATTATTGCTAAGCCCTTAATAACAGAGCGCGAGGTCTTTACGGAGAAATATCGGACCGAAGTTTTTTTGTACAAACCGAGCCCGTAGCCCGTAGGAAAATTTTTTTGGGTTTGGTGGTCAAGTTATTTTTATTTCGAAACGCGGCTGTGAAGTACTTATTCTGTTTATCGAACCAGTGCAAAATTGCAGAGTTGATGAACGCGTATTCATACGACGAAAAATGTAATGACCTTTTTGAGTTTTGATGATTTTTGACTTGGTTTGCCGAATCCCGATTGGTCATTATATCTACTTTCTTGTTGTTCAGCCATCTAGATTCTATGGTCAACTTTATTTATTTTTGCTGAAAATTGTTGCACCTAAATAACAACTAGCTGGATATTTTCCCATTGTATAATTATGCAGTTTTTTACTACACCTGAAGCAAAGGTAATGGGGATATGTTTATAAGTCTTGTGTTATATAAATTATTAACAAACCATAAAAAATGAAAATAAAGGATTTATTACACGATTCATTGAGTTTTCGTTTTGTATTTTTCCTTTGATACAGGACTACAAATTTTACTAATTTAATAACCTCAACACAAATTGTGTTGTTTTGATCGTCATATTAATTTGTTATCAAACAAAATGAGCTTCTGCTACTTTTTAGCCTGCCAAAAGCAAAAAAAGCGACGGCACTGAATTGTAAAAGCAATAAGAACATTCATAAAAATTATATTCTTTCTTTCTTACCGGTGCATTGAAAACCTTTCATTTGCTGTACTATTTTGGCACCCAGGTACCGCACAATTATTTGGCATTTTAGAAAGAAAGTTTTGAAATATAAGACTTGCTGTTAGGACGGCGCAATAAAATATATAAAATTTAAAAATATTCCGGGGGAGTGCAAAACTTTTCATTGAATGAGGCCACGTCATTTTTCACCCAAAATTTGCCATATTTGGTATGACGACATCCATGTTTTTGATACCTGGCCGCGTGTTAATAAAATATAGTAATTTGGATGTGGATTTCTCTTCCAGGTAATTAGTATACAGGCCAGTGGTTCGTATCCGTTTAGTAGAAAAGTCTCGGGATTATTAATTCTCGTTTCGTCTTCTAATTCGACCAAAAAGTTTCTTATATCCATCACAAACTTACCAGGACAATTGGAGCTTGTTTGATTGCAATAAACGAGCTACTGTAGTCACAACGCCGTCTGCATTCACTACAGTACGTAGAGTCAATTTCCTAAGGATGGAATACATATCTTTGTATGAGATACTTAAATGTGACTGTACTCTTTCTTACAATCTAGTTAACTAGAATACACGAACAGGTGACTTTCTACGATATTCAACCAAGACAGATATTTTAATAACTAGTGGTGGTAATCGATTGAGACTTCACAATCAATGATTGGAAATGCCCATCAATCGATTAATATCGGACAAATCTACCTAAAACCACTCCATACGTTCTTTGCCTACATAGAAGTTAAAATGATAACTTAAGAACGTCATCAGTAATCACGAATATGACTTAGAAGTTAAGGCCCATAAAATGAAACTACTCACAGAAGGAGTAGATGTTTGTAGATGTAGATTGTCCAGGATGATAGAGTGCCGAGAACAACTGTTGGTGTTGGTGTTAATATTATCCCTTTTGATATTTGAAATTACTGTTTTTTTAAAGCGACAGGCGACAATGAAAAGCGAAATTGATTGTCGAGTGCCTTGAACTTTTTTATCAACTTGCTATAACAATTGATCATGCTATAACCACCACTATTTATAACCATAGCAAATATGAGCATTCTTGCATAATGCGTTTGACATTATTCGTACACGATTTTCAATATACACAAAACACACCAAATCAACAAAGCAAATTCATAAATTTCCTGCTTATCCAGAGTAGAAGTCGGACTATTCATTACAAAATAGGCATCACTATGGCAACACTTAGTAAAGTAAATGGTTTGAACCGGGAGTATCGTTATATGTTTGTAAATGATGATCGTCCATGTTAATAAAGTCCTGAGAAGGACTGTTTTTGTTGTTGTTGACTGACGTTTCGACAACCTTAGCGGTAGTCATCTTCAGAGTCAAATTAGGAGTAAACGTCAGGTTAGCCGTATTTGTTATCTGGTATTGTCATTGTGAGTTATTGTGAAGTATTGTCTGGTAATGTGTATTGTCATTGTGAGTTAGTGTGAAGTGAAATATTTTATTTTTAGTGGTGATGTGTGATTTAGGTGTGATGTTTTTAGTTGTAATGTGTGGGTGTCAATTGTGTATTGTCATTGTGAATTAGTGTGAAGTGTAATGTTTTTAGTTGATCGTTTGTTTGTATTGTGAATAAGTCGTTTGTAAGGTGCCGGTAATTGCTGATCTGTTCAGGGGGGTTTGTTCCAAGTTGGTATACCAACTGTCTAATGTAAGCCGTTGTCTATAGTCAGCACTGTAAGTAATGCATTTTGCCGAGTCCCAGTCAATGTTGTGCTTTGTGATTCGGTGATGTTCGGCAATGTGATTAGTTTTGTCTTGTTTCTTAGTAGCTCGTTTGCGTTCAATTGTATCATTCTGTTGTTCGCCTACTTACGAACTTTCAAAGTACTTGACTGACACACTGCAACCACTTACAAACAAATCAAAACACAAGTTACAATCCACTGAAACTTTCATTAAAAAACTGTGCACTATACAAATACCGCACAACTATATACTAGTGTCTTTTGATGTGAAATCACTGTTCACCAGTATTCCACTTAATCTGGCACTTACTTGTACAAAAACCCTCATTACAAACACCACGGACGTACTGGCATTACCGACAGAAGACATTATGGAGCTACTGGAGCTCTGTCTCACCTCGACTTACTTCCAATACAAAGGAACACACTACAAACAATTACATGGGACAGCAATGGGCTCGCCCGTTTCTGTTGTAGTTGCTGAAATTGTAATGTAATCTATAGAGGAACGGGCGCTCACGACTTACAAACATGCATTACCTTTTTGGTTTCGCTACGTAGATGACACAATCACAGCACTAGATGCAGACGAGATTGATGACTTCCATACTCACATCAACAAACAGAACAGCCACATACAATTTACCAAAGATGTCGAAGAAAACAGAACTCTTCCTTTTCTCGACTGTTTGGCAAAACATGACAATCAAAAACTACGAACAACAGTTTATCGCAAGCCAACACATACTGACCGACTACTAGACCAATCATCTTACAACCCTACATCACACAAAGCCACCACAATCAGAACATTAACAAGACGTGCATAAATCATATGTGATTCACCGGACGCTCTACAAAACGAAAACAACTATCTCAAACGTGTTTTTGACAAAAACAACTAAAACTCTGACTTTATCAAACGCAACACTTACAAACCCAACGAAACCAACGAAACGAACAACTCAGTGACAACAGCAAAGATACCTTACATCAAAGGTACGTCTGAGACTATCTCGCGTATCTTACGACCATACAACATACGTGTCGCACATAAACCAATCACAACGTTAGGACAAGTACTAACGAACATAAAGGACAAAGAACAACCAACTAACGACAAGGTGCAATTTACAAAATAAACTGCTCCGACTGCCACGCCTCCTATATCGGGGAAACTGGCAGCAACTTAAACATAAGACTTACTGAACACAAACGAGCTACTAAGAAACAAGACAAAACTAATCACATTGCCGAACATCACCGAATCACAAAGCACAACATTGACTGGGACTCGGCAAAATGCATTACTTACAGTACTGACTATAGACAACGGCTTACATTAGAAAGTTGGTATACCAACTTGGAACAAACCCCCCTGAACAGATCACAGTAATTACCGGCACCTTACAAACGACTTATTCACATTACAAACAAACGATCAACTAAAAACATTACACTTCACACTAATTCACAATGACAATACACAATTGACACCCACACATTACAACTAAAAACATCACACCTAAATCACACATCACAACTAAAAATAAAATATTTCACTTCACACTAATTCACAATGACAATACACATTTCCTGTACACAGAATACAATGACGTAAGAACCAGATAACAAATACGGCTAACTTGACGTTTACTCCTCATTTGACTCTGAAGATGACTACCGCTAAGGTTGTCGAAACGTCAGTCGACAACAACAAAAACAGTCCTTCTCAGGACTTTATTAACCTGGACGATCATCATTTACAAACATATAAGCAACACTTAGTATATGTCGTAAATATTCAAGCGCTTCACTATGTGTGTTGATCATTTCTAAAAAATTCGAAGTACATAAATAGAAGAGACAGACAGTGCGCACTGGCACATGTCTGAGAGGTTGACTAAACATAAATAACCTCATTTTTCTCTTAAGAATTTTTTTATTCGAGCAACACGAAAGACACATATCGCATATGCCTCTTCAACCGCACAAACTACAAATAACAAAAAAACCTTTTTACATAAAAGCAAATTTAGCATGATTTTTCTATAAATATGAGCTTATCGACTCGATTTTGAACACAAGCCTTGTATTTTTATGTATGATTTCTGATATGTATAAAGAATGAACGAGCTTGCCCAAAATAAATCTCACTATCTTGAGAAAAATCCAAAATAAAATAGTTTGTCCCATTCAATGTTCATTTATTTAGTTGTGCAGAGAACAATCGTTGTAAACAGAATATAAGGTTGAAAACTGCAAGACCATTTTACTTTCCGAGGAAAATAATTTACGCTCGTGCTTACCGTGACGTAATCCACACTTTCACACGTGACCAGTAAATCCTAAATAGATGAACAATGAAAACATTTGCTAAGAACATCACAAATTGTACTCATCGGTTGGGATTACTTATTACATACGAATAAAAAAGATAATTTGTCTGGACGACCCTCCACTAATATAAAGTTTTAAGACCCAAATGGGGTTCACTTTATAAAAAAAGTTCGTCAACTTCTTCCCACTAGGAGATATACGGGGGGGGGGTTCGAATATCATAGCGTTGGGTAAGGATGTATGTTCAAACAAATTATCCAATATTTTTCACTATCTAGCCATCGGTTGTTACCAAGGGGCACGATGTGTTTCGTGAATAACAAAATCACGTTTTAGCTATAGTTCAGCTCATTCAAATCTGTATTTTGCTACAAGCCTGTTAACTGAAAAATGAGACGTACCGTTTTTTCCTTTAGAAATAGATAGAGGGTAGAGGAGCACTGCAAGCGATGTTTCGCTCGAGTTATAGCCACGTAAAGAAGATTCTTCTCATCCGTTGGAGCATCGCCTAAAAACAAGGGGAAAATGCGTTCTAGTAATATGCACGAGTTCAATTTTCGTAGAATTACAAAAGGATTTCAAAGCATCACACAAGGATTTTATGGCATCAAACATGGATTTCGAAACATCTTGCAATAATTTGTAGCATCATACAAAGATTTTGAGGTACCATAGAAGGTAATCGAAGCATCATACAAGGATTTTGTGGCACGAAACATGGTTTTTGAAGTATCATACGAGGATTTTACAACTTCATAAAAGGATTTCGAAGCATCATACAAGAATTTTGTATCATTATACATAAATTTCGAAGCATCATACTAGGACTTCGTAAAATTATACAGGGATTTCAAAGCATCATCATACAAGGATTTTGTCGCTTCAAACATGATTGTAAAGTATCAGACAAGGATTTCGAAGCATCATTCAAGGATTAATTAGCATTATACGGTTATACATATATAAGGTTTTTGTAGCATCATAAAAGGATTTTGAAGCATTATACAAGGATTTGGTAACATCATACAAAGAATTTGTAACATCATACATGAATTTGTAACATCATACAAAGAATTTGTAACATCATACATGAATTTGTAACATCATACATGAATTTGTAACATTATACATGAATTTGTAACATCATACATGAATTTGTAACATCACAAAAGAAATTTGTAACATCGCACAAATAAAGTAAATGGTTTGAACCCGGGAGTATCGTTATATGTTTGTAAATGATGATCGTCCAGGTTAATAAAGTCCTGAGAAGGACTGTTTTTGTTGTTTTTTGAGTACTGTTTCAGTACTGTAAGTGATGCATTTTGCCGAGTCCCAGTCAATGTTGTGCTTTGTGATTCGGTGATGTTCGGCAATGTGATTAGTTTGCTGACTATAGACAACGGCTTACATTAGACAGTTGGTATACCAATTTGGAACAAACCCCACTGAACAGATCACAGCAATTACCGGCACCTTACAAACGACTTATTCACAATACAAACAAACGATCAACTAAAAACATTACACTTCAAACTAATTCACAATGACAATACACAATTGACACCCACACACTACAACTAAAAACGTCACACCTAAATCACACATCACAACTAAAAATAAAATTTTTCAGTTCACACTAATCCACAATGACAATACACCTTTCCTGTACACACAATACAATGACGTAAGAACCAGACAACAAATACGGCTAACCTGACGTTTACTCCTCATTTGACTCTGAAGATGACTACCGCTGAGGTTGTCGAAACGTCAGTCAACAACAACAAAAACAGTCCTTCTCAGGACTTTATTAACCTGGACGATCATCATTTACAAACATATAATCACACAAATAATTTGTAACATCATACATGAATTTCGAAGCATCATACAAACGCTGATGATCAGACGAAAGACGAAAAATATTGCAATATACCATCCAATTGCGCAATAGAAAGAACTTTTTTAGACGACAAACCTAGACGAGCCTAGACAAACCTAGACGAACCAAGCCTGTGCCTATAATTCTATCGATAAAACGTTTTCTATTGTCCTGACTACAATGTCTTATTTTTAGGGGGATAAAGTAACCCCAAAAGTGGAGCTCAAATAAAGGCAAGGGAAAATCTGTTGCATTTTTTGGCGGTGGGGGTGATCATTCATTTAACTCTATTGATTTTAACTCCTAGAGTTTAATTAACTCCTCGAAAGAGCACGTGTTCTCTTTGTAAGTCATTTCCGGCGTTAGTTCATCTTCTTCTAGGCCCAAAAAGCCGACAAGATAGAATTTTCGACGTATCAAATTTATTGCAAATGTTCTTAAAATCGATTTGACAATTTAAAGAAGTTATTTCCCATATCCTAATACAGGCACTTAGGTACAGACAATATAGTGTAAGAAATTTGGAGTAAGGCACACAGCTTTGAAACTTGACAGTGATTTCGATGCGACGAGTCGTGAAAGTCAATGTAAATATTGAAAAGCAGTATTCAAATTCATCACAACTTACGTAGATCGTTAAAAAGTTCAAGCTGTTGCATAAAGTCCTCTCCCAGCCTAACCGTGTCAAATTCCAAGCCTTTCGATTTATGAGCAGTACTAAACACGATTTCTAAAACGATGAAAACAACTATTAATAGCAAAAAGTTTTTCAAAAAGTCTTTATAAAAGCTATATACAAATATAAGATGTTGAACGGTTTTTCCCTCTAAAACAAATACCTGCTTGATCGAGATCACTGCAATGCTGTTGTCGAAGTCTGGCCACATAATCAGGTATTTTGTACGTGTGAGTTTCCACAATCTGAGAAAAATACTCATAAAAGCCATGAAACCAAATTGTCCACACATAAATGGACTAAATTCAATCAGACAGTAGACAAGACCCCCAAAAAGATGATACTTTTCTCTAAAGCCTTGCTCAAACAAAGCTTTCAGTTTTCTTTTAATTTTGCTTTAACTACGACGGAGGGAAATCGTGCAACTGCAAAACTATTCTTAAAAAGTAACAATCAAGTGGCACAGATGTCAAAATTTGTTGCGCCATTGAAAAAAAACACAGTCCATTGTGTACGAGACACCAAATTTGCTTTAATAAGTACTGTATAAATTCACTCACATCAGGAAAATGAGAATATTTGTTTAGGAAACAGGTGATCTTAATCAACCAATTAAATGATTGTAATTTACAAAATCTTAACTACTGGTACCTAAAAGGACGAGTTTCAGTTCACCCACCTTTACTTTCCCACATAATTCAACATCAGGCGCTTTCTGTGCATACTTCTTCAGTTCATCAAGAGAACGAAATCGTTTGATAAACTTATCTTTGATTTCATCTGTTCATAGAGGAAAACAAAGTTGACGTACTTAAAAACACACAGATGTTTGCCTTCTGTTACGTTGTTCAAATATTTAGAAGAGTTGTTCATTTCAATTCTGTTCTGTCATGCATGGTATCTATGATCAGTTCAAAACTTGAAGAACAATAAATTCAACAAATCAGAGTAAATATACAGGAATATTTAATGTCACACAAACAACTTACTACTGGCGCCTCCAGTATAAAGCTTATAAATATCCAAAATACGATCCAATCTGTAGCTTTCAATCCCCTAGAGTGTCGAAGAGCAAAAAATGTTTTAGTATTTTTAAATCTTCACTTTTTCCGAGTTGTTTTATAATTTACACTCAGCTATAAATTTGCGCAATGTTCATACGAGAAACACTTCAAAGGTTATTTATCGCTTCCGCTTAATAATGGCAAAATCAAGGTCTAAAGGAGGTTCTGAGGCTGATGAGATCTTTTTCTTTGCGCATGACATTAAAGAATTTGAATAAGTACTATCTTTTGGATAAAATTGGCATTGTATCAAAGCACATGCCGTTTTAATAAAATAGAAATAAAAAATTACAAAATGATTTAAAGTAATTATTTTACACAATGTAACCAAATGAAGTTTTTCTGTATAGCACAGAAAAGGTGGGGTGATAAAAACGCCACTACGGAAACAAGCCTTAAATAGTACATGCAAAATCGACAGAGAGAAAGGGAGGGGGATAGGGGGATTTTTTGTGAAACTTCCCCTGACGATGGCCACTTGCTGAATGGCATGGGATTTGTTTGTGCATTACCAATGATACTATCCCCTGTGCACGTGAATCACATTATGTGCATGTGAACAAAATACAATTAATTGTAGCAAACAGCCTGCTCGCTCTTGTAACGTCCGCAATTAACCTTGAACTTCATGACCTTAGCACGTGGACTGTTTTGAGTAAATAAACTAAATAGTAACAAACTTCTCCAGTACTTTTGTATCAGATTGTTTCCTACCCTCTCTCCGTTTCTCCCTGATTAACATATCTCCTATTTACAATTCAAACTACAAAATAACGCGCAGAAGCAATAAAATTATTATTCGCTTATGCAAATAACTCCTTTATTCGCGCACACCCATCAAATTGGCACCTTTCCCGCATTCCATCTAGCCAACGCTTAGAGGGAGCCAGTGCTGGAAAATGTCCACATGCACCGACAAAATTGCTCACAAGAAACATGTTCGATTATTGTTTTAAAAACCAGCAGCGAATGGAATTCTAGCCTTTCAAACAATTTGATTGGCTGTAGCAGCGGGCGGAATTTTTTATCTGACCGCGCAAATTTTTATATCTTGCTAAATAATTCCATTGACTATTATTATAACAAACTATTTAATTTATTTATTTTCATGCAACAAGAAAAAGTGTTATGTTAGAGAAACCAATACACTTTAAATTCAAAAGTAGTAATTTCAATAAAAAATAATGCAGTTTCCCTCAGCAGCATCTCCAGGATTGTCCAGACTAGTCGAGTTGCAGATCCGAGATCACGAAGTTCGAAATATTTTTTGTCTCAGTAGAATTGGTTGAATATTAGAATAAGACGGTATATCATTTATTTGTGATTGTTTTCACTGATTGTAATTTGTATTTAGGTAGTGGAAATCAGGAGGGAATGAATGATAAAATTAATTTTCAAAGTGGAAGATTTTCACCCAAAATTTCCTTGTGGTATCCATGTTTTTGATACCCAGTTCCAGACTCCATTTCCCCTACAGGTAATTGAATAGAACCATTGAATTATAAGTATACTGGAATGATAACTCCATTAAGAATGCCCTGTGTTTGGATGAAGCCAACATACGTCTAAAATTTGTCTAACCCCTCCACCGAAATAATGCATATTTTCATGGCGATCGATGTTTGTTTTTACTTTAGGCAATGGGAATTCCGTCAAAAATTTTTAGTTATTGTCGTATTTTCGACATTTTTCAGCATTGTAACATGTTAAGCTTATAGCTAGCGAGATATCTACGTGGAAAAACTTAATCGGCAAGAATCGAGGTTGATCCGACACACTACTACAAGACGGAAAAGGCTAAAAAATAGACAAAAACATTTTATTTGAATATTTTCAGTATTATACGCATCTTTTTTATAAATACATCTTTTACGTGAATTATTGTTGTATTTATACGTTAAAAAATGTTCATTGGGTCTTTATAACAGAAGATACATATTTCAGTTTGACAGTTTCCCAGTTTTCATTTCATTTTGGTTTTATATTAAAATGTCACGCATCAAGCTTATTCGTGATATGCAATGTGCTTATTTTCTTTTCCTTTTTATTGGTTTTTTTTTTACACACAACATACAAAAATAGGACATTGTTTACATGAAATATGTTATTTGCATTAATACATGACATGAAAAAAGCTTTTTAGCTAAAGGAGTTATTTGCCAAGCGAATAATAGTTTTATTGCTTACGGGGGCAAGTTTGTTATTCGTATCATGCCTTAGGTGGTTTTAGCAGTACTTCGTGTGATTCTAATAGGTTTGTCCAGGAAAAGTTGATACACTTTGTATAACTCCAATCATGTGTACATGCATGTGGCATCAGTAGCGTAGCTAGAAAAAAACAACTAAACGTGCTATAGCGAGAACAAACATGAAGTTACAGTACCGTTGGTGACATTATGCATGTTTACATAATCAGTTTGAGTCAATGAAGTGGACTTTGAACGAAACAGTAAATAAAGGCAACAAAATAACCGCTGTTTCTCCACAATAGCGCACAAAAAATCATTCCTTTCGCACCAAGATTCTCGGAACCCCCTAACTCTCGTTTTCAGTGTGAGCGTAGGGGTTGGTCGTGGCATACAAACAAAATATTTCTACTCTATAGCGTTGCGTGAACTGACAATCCTTCGTAAAAGCTGAGAAACGATATCTCTGACTCTTTGATCTTAAGACGCAACGTTTGACTTTTCTTGATTGATTTCCATGTTCACACACAAAAATAAATGCACAGTAAAACGATGAATAATTTGACATTATTTGAAGTACTCGTGCGAATAAACTTTAGCACGACGAAAGGAAAATATTCGGCGAATGAGCATGCGTACGACGCAATGCAGCCTCACATATTATTAGTAATTTATGTTTTGGTCGTTCTCGCCTGATCAGAGCACGACCAAACTAAGGCTGACTATACCCATTTTAACAGGCCATGAGGTTTTCTAGCCAATCAGCACTTAGGAATATATAATTTGGTCGTGCCGACCTGAGTAGAGCACGACCAAAAACGGGCGAACGCCGGGCCATATGCTTTTAGGCAATGATTAGGACAAATGTCGGGCAGTAACGTAATATAGTGTAAGTAATACGAAGTACATAATTCAAAATGCAAATGAAGCATTAAATATAGATTTTGTTTTCGCTAATATCTGTCAACATTATAAACAAACATTGAAATTTTAGTGGGTTAAAGAAACCTTAGTTTGAAAAATGTTTGGCTGTGCTCAGCACGACCAGCACGACCTCTAGCTACTCCACTGTGTGGCATGTCGTAGTTATATACAGAAATGAATAAGTTACACCAAGAAACAAAGTCATTGTCGTCAAACTAGCCGAAGGGCAGACGTCTCTCAAAGTTAGATATAAAGGATCACCCACCCCCTCCACCCTTCATCACATCATGGAACATTGAAATTTTCTTATGAACAGTTGCAGGACTTATCAGTTATATGCAATTGGAGAGGGCGTTTTACCCCCCAACCTATTCAATAATTATGAAAGCATTCTTACGTTAAATTCCACTCCTTAAATTTGTAAAAATTTAATACATTATAATTCGGCATGCGCTCTGCGCTCACGGCTATTTATTTCCCAAACTGTGAGTGGTTTGTTCACAGAAAACAGAACTCAGCATGATTTGTGGATCGACGGAGTAATGAGTTGTTTTTAATTTGTTGTTAATGGCGAAGGAAGCGATAAATAGTTTTTTTTTTGCGAGAATCTTTACTTTTCATTATGATACACTGAGCTATATATGTACTTGCAATGTTTGTGTTTTCGTGACATAAAAAGCTTCTTAAAAAACAAATTTTTCTCTTTATTCGATGACTCAAATTTTTGAAAACTTAAATAGTTTGTGTAGTTAACCGGGAACTACAATATTTTGGCAGTAGAAACAGGTAGGCATATCTAGAACTTCTTATAACTCAGAAAAAGCGAGTATTTTTGCACGGTTTTTTGCCAATTTTTGTTCTTGTCAGATAATATTTCAGAACTAAACGACCTTTTGTTCAATGTAGTTACTTGAGTGAAAAATTTAATTTCTATACTACAGTCAACGCTAAATATCGAAAGTATTAAACTAACAGAAAAGGGTGAGATTTAGCGATAAAAAGAATATATTTTTTGAAAAACTAAGTTTACAAAGGACTGGCACTACCTAAAAAACACGGCTTCAATTCCCCCCTTGAGTTATCATTCCAGTATGCTTATAGTTCAATGAATAGAACTCAATGATTTTACCTAATGATTTTATCCGAGATACGCGTGTGGAGTCAATCAATTTTCACTCCGCGAGAATCTCGAAACACCACAGGCACGTGTCTGGAGTAAAATCCCGCGTGTCTGGTGAATTCGGCTTCAATTATTTGCTTCAGGCAGCGTTCCATGTATTTTACTTCAATGGCTACAACTAATTTTCAGTTGACACAAGTGTGCAGGCTCATCACATCATAATTGCGTGATTAGTGACTATGTAAATAAAATAGTTATCTTCTCACCCCAGCAAAGCCAATCCTCGTTTTACTGTTCTGCATACACTCTCTTACAGCGTTATTAAATAAATGGAAGTTGGTTCTACAAATCACAGCAATTTGTCCAACATGATCACCACCAAATCCTCCTGAATGAAACACAGAGGAATACGTAAAATTAGATACAGATTGGAATGCAGAAATATAAAATAAAAACACTAAAGCACGCGCGCTGATTGGTCTATAGCTGTGTTTGCATTAGCCTGAGCAAACCAATCTGCGCTCAACAAATTAAATCAATCCACATTAAATAAAAGATGTTTACTGTGTTTGCATAAGCTTTTGCCAAAACGAAAAATCATATTTCTTTTATAAAATAACAATAATGCGGAACAGATATATTTTAAAAAAATTTTTGAAGTTTTTCTCAAACATGTATTTGATGATTGAGGGCCCATTCACACTTAATTCGTTTGTTAATCGAATTAGTTGATTCGAATTCGATTCGTTTTAAAATGAAAAAAAAAACACGAGTGTTCCGCTTGATAACATAGTGTCATAAGAAACCCAAAAGAATAGATATGGAGTAGCAGGTATTTTAGTCTACTTCTAGTGTATTGTGGGTACATATTTTAGAGTCTATACTTTATGTATATTTATAAAATAAAACAATGAAACGCGTGCGCTGATTGGTCTTGAGCTGTGTTTGCATAAGCCTGTGCAAAGCACATCTTAGCTAAACCAATCAGTCAAAGAGAATTTGCAAACCGATCATGAATACATTTTTGGAGGAAAAATTAAAATATTTGTCTTTTTCGCATTATCTTTTTTATTAAAGAAATAAAAGATGTTTTTCATGTTTGCACTGGCTTATGCAAACCTCGGAGACGTTTGTGAGAACTCTCGAGCAGGTGCAACCCTCGATCTTCGGTCTCGGGATTGCATTGATCTGCTCTCGAGTTCTCCCAAAGGTCTCCTCGGTTTGCATAATCCCGTGCAAACACAGTAAACATCTTTTATTTCTTAAATGAAATTTATGTTTACATTTACTTCACATGATTGACATTAAATTTTGGCGCTTTTCTAAAACATCTTTGAATCTTTGATAATAACAATATTTAACAAAAACAAATGGGGGAGATTACTATAATGGGCATACTTTTACAGGATTACCAAAAGAACGAAAAAAACAGCCAAAAGACAGAGAGTAATGCAAAAAAAAAATGCTGCAACACTTTCATAAGAATGCAAGGCGTAGCATCAGGCTTGTCATTAAGGAGTACATCAAGCTGATCATAAAACTTAGGTGGCTTTAACTTAGGCTTTCGACCAGCACCAGAAGTCGCCATAGCATCCTTGTACTTCTTATAAAGACCTTTCAAATGTTTTATTTTCGTGCGACATTGAATGAAGTCTCTGTCGATATTTCTCGCCCTATTTTTTGTAAATATCTGCGTTTTTGTGAGCAGTACTTAGTTTCCTTTGTATTTCTTTTGTAAATACAAATCAGTGCCATTACTTCTTCTTCAGAGCAGGTTTCTCCACGATTCGACATTTTGCTTATAAGTAAAACTGTAAAATATTGCAGCAAGCAAACAAAGCTAAAAGAAATGCGTGACATGTGTGACCGCACGAAAAGCCTGGTTACTAAGCTAAAGACATGTGATTGATCAGGATTGATCCGATTCTATTCGTGTTGCATGTTCACACTATCATGCAGACTAAACAAATCCGATTCGAGACCACCTTTAGAACTGACCCAAATTAGCTCGCATTGAATTGGTTCTCGCATCACTTGCAAGGGTTCACATTAGCCCTCATATGGACTCGAATCGATTTAAAGCGTTTGAATGGCCCTGACTTTCAAATTCTTTTTAAGTGATTTCAGATCGGTTTACTCAGGCTATTGCAAACTCAGCTACAGTCCAATCAGCGAACGCGTTGTGTTGTTGTTATTTTTTGCTTTCTTTAGTGAGCACATTTGTTGATGCACATATAAATAGGGGCGACTAACCCTGCCTCGCAATACCGACAATATTCTTGCTGCGAACACCTTTAAGAATGTCCAAAACAGACGACGCAACAGATGCTATCTCGGCCCCAAATCTAAAAGACTAGAGAAATTTCTAAATGAAGTGGAAGTCTTCACTACTTTCGATAGAACTTGCACGTAATCAATTATGTTTTGTCATTTATTTCCAATATAAAGAAACACCTTCGAAAACGTCGAAAAATGGCTTGTTGCATAGTTAAATTTCTTAAAAAAATTTGATTCGTACCAAAAAAGCACATATGTACTGGGTGTCCCTCACCCCAAAAAAACGGTTCCCACATAAATCAAATAATTGTATTTGCTGAAATTATTATGCGCAAAAATGTAATCAGCATTCCCAACAGTTTAATAACTTAACACTTCTGCGCCGCTAGGATCTCATTTGGTTTGTAGAGTATTAGTTAAAGCGAAACAAGTTAAAAGTCATGTTATATACTGATTTTTATCTCAAAATTATCACGCAAACGTTTTCTAAAATCAAAGCAACATTAACCAAGTAACACTAACTACAATAACGTAGTCATGTTATTGTAGTTAGTGTTACTTGGTTAATATAAAAATGGCGGAAGAAATAGCTAATATTTATGCCCTTTGTCCTTCCACATGTGACATCTCCATTCAGCTTAGGGACTTCTTATTAGAAGACAAAAGATCGTCATTTCATGCGTTTTTTATCGTTCCTCTTCATGCAGGGCCTGCCATGATTTCATCACCTTCGTCCAACGCAATCTTGAATTCATATTTCAGACCACAAATTATTTATGCAGATTCATTTTAATGCATATATAATTGCTTGCGTCGGTTCCGTTTTTTTAGGACACCCGGTATTTAGGTAGAGGATAAGTAACAATAAATGGGACGAGGTAAAACGATATGGATAATTGCTGTGTGAGCACTTATTTTGCACATAAATAGATACCTGCGTGAGATAATAGACTTGAGTTGCTTCAACTTGAGCCATCACGTTAGTAGCTCCACGAAATCCGTAAATCTGTTGATGAGGATCGCCGACTAAGATCTTAGCCAACCTTTGACTCAACAGGATATCGGAAACCGCTAGAAAGATTGCATGATGTACGCTATCAGGAAGAGTCGTAATGCAGTCTCTGGTGTATTGTGGGAAAAACAAACATGCAAATCTATTAAATTTGTACGACTCTAGATTTCAACAATAAATGTAATTTGAGATTTTCCTATTTCTCATGTTTGATCCAGATTAGTTCCTATTCTTTTATAAAATCTCAAGTCATGAAAACTGTCTGACTGATTTACGATTCGCTAAAGCGAAAATACTGGTTTGATGTGTCCTTTCTAGAAATCAACCAATCAAACTTAACGAATTTCAAAAGAATTGATGAAAAATCAAATGTTCGTTGTAAAATTTCAGGGGGAGGGGGTGGTACGCCTCCCAAGTAAAAATTCTGAAAAGGTATTACGTACTGGAGACGATTAATACAACAGAATTAGAGGCTATAAAATTGTTCAGAAAGACTAAGTAAAAGTAGAACTTCTCATTTCAAGGCGATTAAAATGTTTATACTACAACTATTGGCAATGGAGTATACCATGCGCTCCTGTCATAAATAATCCAATCATAATGCAAAGTGAAGATCATTGTGACAATGTGTAAGCATGAGAAGAAACATTTCAACTTTCCAACATTGGAAAGCAGGAAGTTAATTTGAGAGAATGTAAATTGCTTCCTTGTTCGAAGACATCTAGACGTAAGAAAGCCTGTGTATGAGGTTGGCAGAAAGGAGAATGTTTAATCAAAAATTAAGTTCACGGATGAGTCATGATTGCAATTATACATATAATCAAAACGCTACGTTGCATACGTTGACGATCTATCTCACTAACTGTCATAGCTTTTTGCTCAACACTGCACAAGAACTGTACCACCTCTCGACCAATAAGAATCAAGCAATTACAATAGGCCCTAAAGTTTACCTGGCGTACAATCTTGAGCTTCGTCAACCAGAATGCAATCATAGTTTTTAATAACTGGCTTCGATAGTTGATATAATTTCAAATAACCTACAAAAAATGAATGAGAAAGAATAGAAGGATAAAAGCAGACGCGCTTGAACACCTATTGTTTATTGTTTTTTGACACGAAATATTGAACACAAAACAATATATTAGGCAAAAATTTCACGCACTTAGAAATAACGAAAGATTTACTCAACGAGACTTCTGAACGAAATCCTAATTTGGAAAATAAGTATAACACATACAAAAAATCCTGAAATTTAGCAAAGGAAAAAATATCATAAATGTACGTAATTTAAAGTGTTTTTGAAAAGAAATTTTGCTCGATTTTGAAGAAAGGCGGGTAAGGTTTGTTCATACTTCATTTAATTTCTAGGCAATCGCATTTATTGGAAACGAGATGCGGCGTCATTAGTTGTACCTGTATTGTCAGCAAAAATAAATGATAGTGCGATTTCTCAGAAGGGACTAAGCCAAACTTACCCACTATACTTAAGAAAACATTTTAGTAAGTCAACATTTGTTTCCATAACAACACACTAGTACCAAGGCTTCTCTTCTTCTTCACTCATTTTTTCTATTTTTAATACATGCCTGTTTCATTTACTAACTTGGGAGAAATCTCATTTGAAACGTGTTTCTTTCGACAAGTTAATTACGAACGTAATAAATCAACTTTTATAAATCACGATAGAAGCACAGTAATCAGTCTGTCGCTATGAAAACCATGTGAACCGACCAAAATGTCTTCTTAGGTATAGTAAATAGGTTAGTTTGTAAAGTTTCAACTCTTTTGGCCCAATTACTTTTGAGAAATCACACTTTCTTATTTTCATCATCAATCAAATAGCTATTGCTGACTAAATTATCTCATGCAATTAAGTTTCATTAAATGCATACATTATTTGAGCGGGCTCCGTTTTTTGAGGGGAGAGGGGCGGCATTCTGTATACCCACCATTCTCTATTACTTGGCCCATATTGTATAACAAAAAATAAAATGATTAGGAAAAATTTTGTTTCTCATAAACCCTTCAAGGATTAAAGATTCAAAAATTGTCCAACACAAGAAAAATAACATCTTCCATTTCGCGTCTCTTACCATCATGAGTAATTCGAACATCTTCGTTTGTCGGATCGGTCATCTTCTCCCATATATCTATCGCATCGGCCACAACTTTCTTGAAAACAGAAGGGTAAATTGAAGTCATTGGCAAAGTATTTCAGAGCAAGAACAAATAAATTCAAAGATAGTGAATGTAAACAAAGTGTCTTTACAGTGACCAAGTGTACAACGACTGCATTACTGCGAAAAGCATCCAGATTTAGTTTTCATCAAAACAAAACATGGACTTTTAAAATCATTTTTTTGGTCGGTACTGTGAAACATCACACTGTTAATTCCATATGGTCCCACTTACATCTAACTTTAACAATCTCGCTAAGTTCACGTTTAAGTTTCAGTTGATATTTTACAGTCAATTGACACGCACGGTCATTGTATGTTTATTTTGTTGTATAACTACTAGTTATTGAAGACTCAACACTGCCTGAGACGAGATGCAGTCAGAGAAAAAAAATTACAAACTTTGCAGTCAGTGGATATGAAGCCAGAAAACCGTTGATGGATTATGTCTTTTCAGAAAGCAATAAAAACCTTACCTTTTTATAGTCGTAGCTATTAAAGTACTCCAATTGCTTTCTTTCTTTTGCAGTACTTGCGGGAGTCGTGAACTGATGCCACGGAACGTGCTCGCAGCTGACAATTTCATCGCTGGAGGAAACAAAGTTCGAAACAGTATCCACAACACGTTTGGCATGGAGGTAATTCGCGTTCTCTTCACTGAGATTATTCATAACAGTATTAACGCGAATACTAGGAGCAATTTTCCGTCTGTATCTAAAGATGTTGTGTATAAACCCAACGTGAAAAAAAGGAACTTAACATTGTCAACCTACATCTCGATGACCTGAAACGAAGCTTGCTTTCTTTCTAGTCTTTGCTGACTTGTACGGGTTGCCTGTCACTTTTCTAGTTTTTGTCAGTAAAAAATAAATCGCTTTATATTGTATCGTCTGGACATTAAACTGTTTTCCAAGTGTTTTTCCTTCGACTCACGTTCACAAATGGTTTATTGTTTCGTTTTATTTTGCCGTATGCTTTACGAGGTTTGTTTACATTTGACTGTAATATCACGCGTTTTAGACCGTGGTCCAATACGGAAAATAATGGACCGGCAAAAATGTTTCTGAGCCAATCAAAGCGCGCCATTTTGCCGGAAGTTAGGCTTGCCATATAATAGTAAACCCTTAGTAACCAAGCTCAAGTTCTTTACGGAGAAATATCAGACCGAGGCTTTTTGTACAGACCAAGCCCGTATTTTTCTCAGTAAAGACCCAGAAAGCGAGGTTATTAAAAGGTTTATTATACGGCAATATTTGACCTGAAACGAAGCTTGCTTTCTTTCTCGTCTTTGCTGTTTTGTACGAGTTGACTTTCGCTTTTCTAGTTTTTGTCAATAAACTAGAAAAGAGACAATTAAATGCTTAAATGCTTAAAAGAGACAATTGCTTTCATGAGACAATTGCTTAAATTGTCCAGCAAAGTGCGAAGATCATATCTTCATTTAATTTCAAACACCGCACTGCATAAAACATTCTTCATATGACATTCCTTTCACGAGAAAACATGAGCCCAACAAAATCGACCTGCTCACCACTGTGTGACTTCATAGCTCAGTTGGTCAGAGCACTGCACCGGCACTGCAGAGGTCATGGGTTCGAATCCCGTTGAGTCACCTGAATTATTCAGGTTCATGAGACAATTGCTTAAATTGTCCAGCAAAGTGCGAAGAGCATATCTTCATTTAATTTCGAACACCGCACTGCATAAAACATTCTTCAAAAAAGAAATCGTTTCAAATTGTATCATCTGGATAGTTAAACTGTTTTCCAAGTGTGTTTCCTTCGATTCACATTCGCAAACGGTTTTTGTTTCGTTTTTTCCCGTTTTGCTATTTGCTTAACAAAGTTTGTTTACATTAGACTGTAAAATGACGCGTTTTCGACCGTGGTCTATTACGGCAAAAATGTTTCTGAGCTAGTCAAAGCGCGCCATTTTGCCGGAAGTGACGCTAGCCATATAATAATAGGCATTAATATGTTAAAGTAAATGGTTTGAACACGGGAGTATCGTTACATGTTTGTAAATGTAGATCGTCCAGGTTGGTATAGTCCTGAGAAGGACTGTTTTTGTTGTTGTTGACTGACGTTTCGAAAACCTTAGCGGTAGTCATCTTCAGAGTCAAATGAAGAGTAAAAGTCAGGTTAGCCGTATTTGTTATCTGGTTCTTACGTCATTGTATTGTGTGTACAGGAAATGTGTATTGTCATTGTGAATTAGTGTGAAGTGTAATGTTTTTAGTTGATCGTTTGTATTGTGAATAAGTCGTTTGTAAGGTGCCGGTAATTACTGTGATCTGTTCAGGGGGGTTTGTTCCAAGTTGGTATACCAACTTTCTAATGTAAGCCGTTGTCTATAGTCAGTACTGTAAGTGATGCATTTTGCCGAGTCCCAGTCAATGTTGTGCTTTGTGATTCGGTGATGTTCGGCAATGTGATTAGTTTTGTCTTGTTTCTTTGTAGCTCGTTTGTGTTCAGTAAGTCTTATGTTTAAATCCTGCCAGTTTCCCCGATATAGGAGGCGTGGCAGTCGGAGCAGTTTATTTTGTAAACTGCACCTGTCGTTCGTTGGCTTGTTCTTTATCCTTTATGTTCGTTAGTACTTGTCGTAACATTGTGATTGGTTTTTGTGCGACACGTATGTTACATGGCCGTAAGATACGCGAGATAGTCTCAGACGTACCTTTGATGTAAGGTATCGTTGCTGTTGTCACTGAGTTGTTCGTTTCGTTGAGTTAGTAAGTGTTGCGTTTGATAAAGTCAGAGTTATAGTTGTTTTTGTCAAAAACACGTTTTGAGATAGTTGTTTTCGTTGTGTAGAGCGTCCGGTGAATCACATATGATTTGTGCACATCTTGTTAATGTTCTGATTGTGGTGGCTTTGTGTGATGTAGGGTTGTAAGATGATTGGTCTAGTAGTCGGTCAGTGTGTGTTGGTTTGCGATAAACTGTTGTTCGTAGTTTTTGATTGTCATGTTTTACCAAACAGTCGAGAAAAGGAAGAGTTCCGTTTTCTTCGACATCTTTCGTAAATTGTACGTGGCTGTTCTATTTGTTGATGTGAGTGTGAAAGTCATCAATCTCGTTTGCATCTCGTCTGCATGCAGTAGATGACACAATCACAGCACTACATGCAGACGAGATTGATGACTTTCACAAACGAACTACTAAGAAACAAGACAAAACTAATCACATTGCCGAACATCACCGACTCACAAAGCACAACATTGACTGGGACTCGGCAAAATGCATTACTTACAGTACTGACTATACACAACGGCTTACATTAGAAAGTTGGTATACCAACTTGGAACAAACCCCCCTGAACAGATCACAGCAATTACCGGCACCTTACAAACGACTTATTCACAATACAAACAAACGATCAACTAAAAACATTACACATCACACTAATTCATGACAGTACACATTTCCTGTACACACAATACAATGACGCAAGAACCAGATAACAAATACGGCTAACCTGACGTTTACTCCTCATTTGACTCCGAAGATGACTATCGCTAAGGTTGTCGAAACGTCAGTCAACAACAACAAAAACAGTCCTTCTCAAGACTATACCAACCTGGACGATCTCTATTTACAAACATTAATATGTTATTGTATAGAACATGTCCGTACAAATATGTGCCCCCCCGCTAATCATCGAGTTTGCTACGCCACTTATTGACAGTGATTTCAACGTAGTTGCAAACATTCTACGAAGTTAATTAGTATAAGTAAACGCATACCAAATGTATAGTGACATTTCTCTCAAAGAACGCCTGTAAGTTCAAAGTCAACACCGAACTTTTCAATGTGTATATAAAAAACTTCTTCAGACGGTAAATGGCAATATTTACAGCAGCCTTACTTTCTTCCGAGAGCTGCAAATGCCAACGAATGTACGGTACGTGATTCCACGTTTTCCGGAAATCTTCTCAAAGCTTGTTCTTGGACAGATCTAAAAGAAAAGATTGATGAGGTCGGCTTTTGAGAGGAAAAATCATTTGATTGTGCAAAAAAAACCCGGTTAAACTGAAGTGAAGTCAGGCCTGTTTCAAACGAGCACCGCCCTCGAATGAGCGCCTCATTTAGCTAGTACTGCAATAATCAGAGGCAAGTCATGAGAGGGGAGTGGGGTGGGGAGGTTTAGTCAAGAGGCACTCACCAATCTTTGATCTCGAATAATTTCATAGCATGTTAAAGAAGTTATTGTGTTATCACAAAAAATGCACCCCTCCCTTGCTCAATTATACAAAATGTATTTCTAGGATTACGAAGAATCCAAATTAAAAATTAACGTATAAACAAACTGAATATTACGCATATCTTCATCCTATATTCTTATGAAAACAAAATGTAATTCGCGACATACGGCTACTATACGTTCGTAAAGCAACCAGGGCTGTCAAAATTTACTGTTTCTAGGAGCAAATGACAATGTTGCTAAGGTGCCGATTTAAATTGGGAATGAAAAACAAAAACGTAGCTGCTTCATTATTGAACTGTACAACTGGAAACACACGTACTTGTTGTAAGCGACATTCAAGAATTTCCAGCTTGGACGAAGTTTCGTATACTCAACAAGTGTCGTCGTTTTTCCCGAACCTAGAGTATATTTAACGAAATTAGAACAATCTAAACGCAGTTCTGTTACTCTGTAAAACCATTTCATTTCGATGGGTGTGTCTGCCTTGTATTTCAATTAAGAATGTTCCACGGGAGACAAATGCATAATTGAAATATAAATTCCATTACATATACAGTCAATAACATTTGCCTATGAAACGTTGCGATTTAAAACATTATTCTCTATTTTTTGTTCAATACTATATTCACGAGCCTGGGACGAGGGAGCAGTAGTAACAAAACGAAAGCTTAGGCTTTCTACTTAAACTGTAAAAAAGACCTACTCTAGTTAAGTATTATAGTCAACCCAATTAATTAGGAAATGTCCAAGAGGACAAAGTTTCTTAAACATCATCCTCAAAAAACAAAACTCAACTATGAAAATGAGTATGAAAAACAAAAAAAAAATAAGTAAAAAATTTAAAGTTCAATCTACCTGCAAAAGCGACAATTTTCAGAACATCTTCAGGTTTGGTGTTGTGATTCATTATTCGCACTTGCTCATGAGTCAGCCATGTTCTCCCAGTTTTCTCACTGCAACAGTAATAAACGTAAAACTAAATTTACGTAATACAGGGAGGCCTAATCCGAGGCCCCGTTTACACTGGATTGCTATCGTAGCAGATTAAATATTCTTTGTATTTAAAAGCAATGAAATTGTTTAACGTCAGAAACATAATAAAATAGACTAAATCGATCACCTTAGTAAACGCAGCCTGAGAAACCATACAGCAAGAAATTGAGAGCAGTTAATAAAGCCTGGTTCGCACGAGTAAAATAAGCACGACCGTCGAGACTTTTGTTTTTATTGCTCTAGAGGTTTATAAAGACAAAGACATTGGGATTTTGTTTATATTTTTGTTGTTCTTTTGTTCCTCCTTTAGCTTATGTGTTCAATTTTTCCTTATGCTTGCGCTTATGTTGATGCTTATGTCACATGCTTCGTTGATTGTTTGTTTTATCTTTTGTCTACGCCTGTGCTTGTCCTTATTTTATTCGTGTGAACCTGGCTTAAAGTTTCGCTGCCATTTCGAAAAGAAGAATTGAAATAGCGGGGTTTTCCTTGCTTTCCTTCATAAAGCGTGGTTCACACGACTAAAATAAGCACGAACGTCGAGACTTTTGTTTCTATTGGTCTAGAGGTTATAAAGACAAAGACATTGGGATTTTCTTTAAATCTTCTTTTTGTTCTTCTTTTGTTCTTCTCTTAGCTTATACTTGAATTTTTTGCGCTTATGTCGATGCTTATGTCACATGTTTCGTTGATTATCTTTGTTTTATCTTTTGTCTACACTTGTGCTTGTCCTAATTTCACTCGTGTGAACCATGCTTAAGCATCTTCAATAATTGTATTCAATTCTCAAATGGTGGAAAATTGAAATTTCGACAAGAAATTTTTATTCGAGGAGAACTCGATCATTTCCGATTTTTATGAAATGAAAAATATATCAATGGAAAGCTAAAGAGCCCATTCTTTTTGCTATCTAATAATACAAGCGTACAACACAACATCACACGTACTATAGCAAGCTAAACATTGATACACTTTTCGATACATTCTGTATTGCTGTATATCTACTACATTTATGCTTAGGTTGCAAAAGTGTAACGAAACCCTGCAAATCAATCGCCAACAAAAATTGAAATAAGAAAAACACGCACATTTTTAATTGATCGGCCAATATTTGCGACAAAAATACAAAAAGCATGGAAGAAATTTGGATATAACACAATTTTCTCAAGGTAGTGCAAATTTTAGGAGCATGCTATAACCGTGAAGCATGATCAATGCTAGAGATCGAATGAAGTTTGCCAGTTCGAGGGAGCCTTTTTTAGGGGAGGGGGGCGTGTGACAGACTTCCAGTGAAACCAGCTTGCACTCTGCACAAGCGATAGCACTAAAAATCTCATTGATTTCCCGATCCTTTACACTTTCCTAATTAACGATGAAAGAGATTGGGTGCTTTCGGTTATAAGGATATTGAACGTTTACGCTCCCCTCAATGTTTACTGTTATGCCATGTTTATATTTTCGTTAATGTCTAGCGTTATATTTATGTTTTCGTCTACCTTTCTTACTGCCTTAGTGTTTACCTTTTTGTCTATCTTAACGGAATTTATATAAGGTGTTCTTTTGAAAGTTCTTACCAGAACCATTAAAATTTTTTTTACCAGATTAAAAAGGTAATCAATCACCCAATTTGAGAGGTGATCGATAACCCGATTAAATGTGTCGTTGATTAGACGCTTGAATTGAAAGGAGCATGTTGAAATTTTTGAAATGTAGATATCTAACCTTTATGTCTACCTCAATGTCTACTTTTGTGTCTACCTTTTTGTCTACCTTTGTATTTATCTTCATGCCTACATTTGTGTTTATATTTGTGCCTACCTTTATTTCTACATTTAGGTCTGAAAAAATTAATCACTCAGCTCAATAATATACTAAAGCAGCGCCTTATATAACAAATGACGTCATATATAAACTTCGGAAATTTAGGAAAAACAGAATCTAAGCACATAGAAACAAACAAGTAACGTCAATTTCATTATACAACGCATTCCGCTAGCCCACCAGTCCATTGTACGAAGAAACATAGTTAAGCCATCATTGTCATTATTCCTGCAATTTTATGTATAACTTGAGAACTAAACTTGTTGGAATTATGAACAATCGACGACATAACATACATATATATTAAAGTAAATGGTTTGAACCCGGTAGTATCGTTACATTTTTGTAGATGTAGATCGTCCAGGTTGGTATAGTCCTGAGAAGGACTGTTTTTGATGTTATTGACTGACGTTTCGACAACCTTAGCGGTAGTCATCTTCGGAGTCAAATGAGGAGTAAACGTCAGGTTAGCCGTATTTGTTATCTGGTTCTTACGTCATTGTATTCTGTGTACAGGAAATGTGTATTGTCAATTGTGTATTGTCATTGTGGATTAGTGTGAAGTGTAATGTTTTTAGTTCATCGTTTGTTTGTATTGTGAATAAGTCGTTTGTAAGGTGCCGGTAATTGCTGTAATCAGTTCAGGAGGGTTTGCTCCAAGAGGTATACCAACTTTCTAACGTAAGCCGTTGTCTATAGTCAGTGCTGTAAGTAATGCATTTTGCCGAGTCCCAGTCAATGTTGTGCTTTGTGATTCGGTGATGTTCGGCAATGTGATTAGTTTTGTCGTGTTTCTTTGTAGTTCGTTTGCGTGCAGTAAGTCTTATGTTTAAGTTCCTGCCAGTTTCCCCGATATAGGAGGCGTGGCAGTCGGAGAAGTTTATTTTGTAACTGCTCCTAGTCGTTCGTTGGGTTGTTCTTTGTCCTTTATGTTGGTTAGTACTTGTCGTAACGTTGTGATTGGTTTATGTGCGACACGTATGTTGTATGGTCGTAAGATACGCGAGATAGTCTCAGACGTACCTTTGATGTAAGGTATCGTTGCTGTTGTCACTGAGTTGTTCGTTTCGTTTAGTTTGTAAGTGTTGCGTTAGATGAAGTCAGAGTTATAGTTGTTTTTGTCAAAAACACGTTTGAGATAGTTGTTTTCGTTGTGTAGAGCGTCCGGTGAATCACATATGATTTGTGCACGTCTTGTTAATGTTCTGATTGTGGTGGCTTTGTGTGATGTAGGGTTGTAAGATGATTGGTCTAGTAGTCGGTCAGTGTGTGTTGGCTTGCGATTAACTGTTTGTAGTTTTTGATTGTCCTGTTTTGCCAAACAGTCGAGAAAAAGAGTTCCGTTTTCTTTGACATCTTTGGAAAATTGTATGTGGCTGTTCTGTTTGTTGATGTGAGTGTGAAAGTCATCAATCTCATCTGCATGTAGTGTAGTCATTGTGTCACCTACTTAGCGGAACCAAAAAGGTAGTGCATGTTTGTAAGTCGTGAGCGCCCGTTCCTCTATAGATTACATTACAATTTCAGCAACTACAACAGAAACGGGTGAGCCCATTGCTGTTCCATGTAATTGTTTGTAGTGTGTACCTTTGTACTGGGAGTAAGTCGAGGTGAGGCAGAGCTCCAGTAGCTCTATAATGTCTTCTGTCGGTAATGACAGTACGTCCGTGGTGTTTGTAATGAGGTTTTTGTACAAGTAAGTGCCAGATTAAGTGGAATACTGGTGAACAGTGATTTCACATCAAAAGACACTAGTATATAGTTTCTGGTATTTGTATAGTGCTCAGTTTTTTAATAAAAGTTTCAGTGAATTGTAGCTTGTGTTTTGATTTGCTTGTAAGCGGTTGCAGGCCACGCCTCCTATATCGGGGAAACTGGCAGGAACTTAAACATAAGACTTACTGAATACAAACGAGCTACAAAGAAACAAGACAAAACTAATCACATTGCCGAACATCACCGAATCACAAAGCACAACATTGACTGGGACTCGGCAAAATGCATTACATACAGCACTGACTATAGACAACGGCTTACATTAGAAAGTTGGTATACAAGTTGGAACAAACCCCCCTGAACAGAACACATCAATTACCGGCACCTTACAAACGACTTATTCACAATACAAACAAACGATCAACTAAAAACATTACACTTCACACTAATCCACAATGACAATACACAATTGACACCCACACATATCCTGTACACACACTACAATGGCGTAAGAACCAGATAACAAATACGGCTAACCTGACGTTTACTCCTCATTTGACTCTGAAGATGACTACCGCTAAGGTTGTCGAAACGTCAGTCAACAACAACAAAAACAGTCCTTCTCAGGACTATACAAACCTGGACGATCTACATCTACAAACATGTAACGATACTCCCGGGTTCAAACCATTTACATTAAATACATACATGTTGTAATTGATTTGGACGAGAGTTTCTCTTCAGAGGAGCTAAAAATAGAAATTACGTAAAAATATAACAGTACCTGTATTTGAGAATACTTTGTTGTCCGGTTTTGTTGGCTTCCAAGGCAGATGCGAGAGAAGACTGGGTACAATAAGATGAGTTTTCCAGAAGATATAAAGCATAGTAGAGTCGATAATGACGGCTGAAAGTGACATAATTACAGGGATGGTATTAGTGGAGGGGTGAGTAAACCTCTAAGCAACAGGCAGTAATTTATTGATCTCATTAAGTAACCGTGTTTTTTTAACAGACGAGCCACTTATTTGTCCACTCTTTGTTTATAAAAAAGGGCTCAGCTTCGCAACCACCACCCTCACCAAAGAACATTCCCAATACAATCATATGCTTAAACCAACATAGTAATTGCAAAATATGGAGCACTGCATACCTGGAAAAAAAGTCTTGTCGATTCTCTGACAAAACAAAAAAGATCAAAGCGACGCAATGAAGGCATTCCAGAATATCATTGATAAAGCAAGAGGACGACTTCAACAGACGAAATATGATCTCTTGAATATCGTAGATGGTGTTTGATACTAGCGAGAGCAATCCTACCACAGACCAACAGCTGAAAGCCTGCATAAAACAAGAGATCTTAATATATCTGCTGGAAAATATACGAGGGCAATAACTCAAAAAAAAATTACATCTACGAAAAATATAACCATAACAAAAACTACAATTTAAAGTGTTTCAGTATAATACGAAATTTTACCATAAATTTTTGATCCTATTGTAAAGAACGTTTAAAAGGACTATGTGCCTCTTCATTACAATCGAACTTATTGTACTTTTTTCTGGAGATATTTGACTTTTTTCTTTATGCAAATGACATCGTTATGACATCACTTAGCATAATGACATTTTAAAGATCATCAATTTCCCACATCGTTAGAGCGTTTTAAAAATAAAGACAACAGTTTAATGAATACATGTTTACATAAATATCTGTATAATTCCAAAATTAGATATTCTAATTTTAAGTTTTGACATAAACTAGTTTTTTCTAAAACTAATTACGCAATGTGATGCATAACAATGCATTTGCATATTGAAAGTTACATATCTCAAGAAAGAAAAAAAATTACAAAATCCTATTAAAGAAGTTATCAAGCCATTTTAAATTTCCTTTGCAATGCAATCGAAAAATACAGGTGGTAAAATTTGATGTTATAAACACTTTAACAATAATCTTGTATACACCTGTACGTATGGTCGACGAGCCCGGGTGGCTAAACACGCAGACAGGCACTGGTGTATAACTGTGCATGTACGTCATATATCAGCACACAGCTAGGTAGCCACCGGAGTCGTAGTTAACCGAAGGGTTAGGTTGTGCTAAGTAAATTTTTATGCCTTCATCATTCAATGCAAGAATAATAAATTTATAAAGAAACAGATAATGCTAATATTCTGAAACTTAGATAGCAAAGCCAAATTTTCGATCTACTACTTAATGAACTGCCATTTTTCAGGAGAAAATTGAGCCGTTTTTTTTGGAGGGGGAGGATCCGAATGTATTTTGCACTAAACCCGAAAATATTTTGTACTGCATGCTTCTAGTCTGCACATACTTAGGTATGATTACCCCTCTACCAGATGCTTTGCAGACGTATAATTTAACCGAAACCGTCTTCCCCGACTCCGGGAAAAAATTATTAAAAAGTTTAAAGAAAGTTTCAAGACACGTTTTTATTTCTACATTGACATTTCACATGAGTCACATATTAATATACGTTTAATATTCATTTACATATTGAGCATTTTAATAGGTGCACATTATTTCGCTAAAACTATAAGTGCACATACAATGTCGACTGTTGCTCTTGCATAAACTTCATGTCATCGGTGTGAGAACAATCCATAGATAAAACAAAATCAAATACCTCAACATCGACTTGAAGAAACTTCTCTATGATATGATACTTGGAATGTAATTTCAATGCAGCCAAAAGTTGTGTGTGCTCCGGGCGAGAGATTCGAAACGAGACCAAGAATCTTAAAGAAACAGGCAGAAATGTGAAATAAACATTTAAACACTGCAAAATCAGCCAATTCATGAAACATCAGCATCAATTAAAGTTTGCTCCAGCTATTTTAAGGATAAATACATATAGTGGTTGATTTCTTGTGATCTAAGAACAGGCGAGGCTTCGCTCGTTTGCAAGAAAAATTTATGGGACGACCCACGCATTACTCCACGTATCTATGTAGTCAAGACCAGTAAAATAAACACGTTCATGAAAAAGGTTTTCCACATCATGATATTTATGTATAAATGATAATGCACATATTTCTTGTCATACGTATTGCAAATAAAAAAATCAATCTTAAAATAAAATCAACATGCATGTGTTTGCATACATAATTTGCAATTGTTTTTTAACATAATACCAAGAAAGTTGGTTATCTGTTTAAAATATCCTATAAAAAGCTTTATAACAAATTTCAGATTTGCATGCTTAAGAGAGCTGTAGAAAAATTCTTCGCCAAATGCATTGGGTCAAACTCTGGATTTGTTTTTTTTACATTTCTATGTCCTTGTGTTCCCGCGTTCAAAAAATCCTCCTTTTCCTACACAAGTGTTGTAAATGCCTAAAATAACTTTCACTCCTATAGAGCAATTTCCACAAAAAGTAATGTTTCCATTTCACCAAAGACAGGAATTTTGGAAGATTGATGATTGGAGGAGGGACCTAAGTATATTCATACATTCAAATGTTAGTATCTGTAATCAAAATTGATTTCAACAAAAACTGATGAAGTAGAATGTGCATGTTTAACATTGCCCCCCTTCAATTAACAATCCTTTCCATGAAGCAAACACCTATATCGAAGGCTTTTTTACACTGCTGCATGGATGGGCCATATCTGGAAACCATGCAGCATCCAATATATGGTAATATGTGCCTATCTGGCAATATGTAATATCTGGTAAACTTTGCTGGATAAAATCTTTTTCCAGTCGACAATTTCAAAACATAAAAGAAAAAAACTTAAAATTCACTTTTGATGATTATAAAAATGACAAAATCCATTTTCTTGATTTAGAAATTTCAAACTCAGGCTACCCACACCGGTCAATATACACACATCGACAGTTTTGAACCTTAGTGTCGTAAAATTGCGTGGATCAAACCTTTTTTCTTCCGGGATAAAATTTTCAGTAATATAACCCTTCTTAAAAAACAATTATCCAATATTACTAATAAATTTATTAATAAATAAATATTACTAATAACTAAATTTACTAGTTCAGGCTGTTTTAAGTATTCATTGGTTAAACTAATAGAATCCTTCTAACTATTCTTAATGAACATGCAAAATCTGACCACTACAAAAAGCGCCATTCATGACCATCTAACAAACTGCCATGACGCCCAACACATAACTGACGTTTTCAAATTATACGACACAATTAATGACATGTTTGTAAATGTAGATCGTCCAGATTAGTATAGTCCTGAGAAGGACTGTTTTTGTTGTTGTTGACTGACGTTTCGATAACCTTAGCGGTAGTCATCTTCAGAGTCAAATGAGGAGTAAACGTCAGGTTAGCCGTATTTGTTATCTGGTTCTTACGTCATTGTATTCTGTGTACAGGAAATGTGTGGGTGTCAATTGTGTATTGTCATTGTGAATTAGTGTGAAGTGAAATGTTTTTAGTTGTGATGTGTGATTTAGGTGTGATGTTTTTAGTTGTAATGTGTGGGTGTCAATTGTGTATTGTCATTGCGAATTAGTGTGAAGTGTAATGTTTTTAGTTGATCGTTTGTTTGTATTGTGAATAAGTCGTTTGTAAGGTGCCGGTAATTGCATTTACTTTATTACAATTAATGACATAAATCCAATGCATTCTTTTTCCACCCATGATCTCTTTCTTAATAACACTAACACTTTACACTATCTTCATCATAACAATTCTAATGTTTTGATTTTCCTTGGGGCGATTTATATACATTTCAAAAAGCCTCAGCTAAATTCTGGTCTGAAGGCTTCTAAGAAACTCATTATTTTTTTCTTAATTTGATTGATGCAATTCTAAACAGTAACACCTCCTTTCTTTCTTTTCATTGCTTACGTCATTTCCTTGTAACAACTATTTAAGATCACGCATGCTTGTAAGTAATCACTTAGCTTGATAATGACTTCGAAATAAAGTCGAAATATTGCTTTAAATCTTGTCTCCTGCTTTTATAACTCGAGTCTTGAGCTTGCAAGATGATATTTTTTGGAGTGTTTTTTTTTCTTTTATTTGCTGGATATTTACAAGATTTTTGGGAAACTTTTATTACCATTTAAGAAACAAAATGTAAAATAATTTTTTCACCTGAAACAGAAATCTGTGCTTTAATATTACTCATTCTGCAGTCGGGGGGATGCTAGCTAAGTGATGAAGCTGCGAATGTTTGCTAGCTACCAAAGTTATTTATCAATTTAGTTAGAAATATTTGTTATTTGGAGATGATGTTAACAGATGCAATATTAGAGCTTTAGCAACTAATAAGTTTAATACCCGGTGTCTGGTTATTATCTGGTAGACTACCATCCGATACTATCCAGTATATCTCTAAATTCCTGCATTTTTGATAACTGTAATTAGCAGAGAGCAAAAAGCACCTCTATTGCAACAGATAAAGTTCACAATCTACAGATCAATTTATCATTTCATCACTCTAATGTGTATTAAAACATGTATACATACTTGCAAAGTTGTGTAGGGAAAGTTGCAGCACAGTTCAACTGCTTCTCTACAATGAGTTTATTAAACTCAGCTCTGCTGTCATAGAGATGCTTATAACGATAATATTTCTTCTTCCATACAAGGAATGTCTCACACAAGATAATCCTGTGCCACCTTTTGCACACAACCGTCAAACTGGTCAACAAGTCAATTAAGGGTATTTGGCAGAATATGTTCTCCAAGATCTCATCAGGCAAATCACTGAAATAGGAATTCTCAAAACAGTTTAACATTTCTCTACTTAGACACTTGTCTAGTTCATCATCGTCTGAGCTATTCACACCAAACAGACCAAACATGTCAGAAGAACTAGTTGCACTGTAAGATATTTTGTTCATATTCTTAGCTGATTTTTTTGCGTACAAGGTTGATTGCAAATCCTCCATGAAGTTTAAATTAGTAGCATCACCTTCATCAATTTGGATAAGTTTTTTCCACTTTTTAGCCTTTTCAACCCCCTCATTTTTACAATTTCTTTTCTTCGACCTATGCTTTGAGTCGCTTTTAGGGGGATTTTCAGCACATTGTGTTGATTTTGTTGATACAACTGTAACAGATGATGACATCCCTTTGTGATTAGAAATTTGCTCCATAGTATCACCACCTTTCATTTGAGAACAACCACTGGCCGTCTTAGTGGTAAAGGTACAATTTTCCAAGTCATTAAGTAGATTTTTGCTGAATTTCATGGCTTTGACCAACCCCCTTTTCTTTTTTCGTTTCTCTTGGCTTAGAGACAATTCGACTCTTTCACAATGCTCTACGATTTCCAATTCTGACTCAGTGTCTTCTATAGTTGAATGATCATGATATGACTTCCTAATACTTCTGCTTTCTATTTTCCTCTTCTTTTGACTCAAAGTCAATTCTACTTGCTCACAGCAGTCAATCATATCAAGAGTAGATTCTTCATCATCACTGCTTGACAGGAATTCACCACTGTTTAAAGCAATACAAGTGATTTCGGCATCATCTATGTCCTCGTGACTGCTATTCTTTTTGAACAAATTTCGGCAAACGGCATCTTCTTGATCCAACTTAGACCGATTTTTTAGATTTTCTTGGCTCATACAGAGTTCAGCTTTTTCACAAGACTTAATCATTTCCAACTCAGACTCCTCACTGCTAGAGTTCAAACTAAAAGTACTTTGACTACCCTCCCTTTTACTGGCAATGCTCTCACCACCGAAATTCATTACATCGATCTTTGCAAAAGGTGCTAAAATTGTTTGTTTTTTTCTCTGGGCAAACTTCGGTGTGATCGTAGCACGAACAATTTTGTCACATGTCAGTTTTCGAGAATTTGTATTTTCGTACTGACGATCCGGACTTCGAACACAAAATGCGTCAATGCGTTTCTGAGTTTCGTCGAAATAATTATCTTTTCGTCTTTTTCTTAGTTTAGGCATGCCTTTCCTTTTATAATTTGCTATGAAGACTTTGCTCGAACACTTGAAGCCTTGACTTCGAAGTAGAAATTTGAAACATAATCATATTTATTGATTTTACTGAATGATGAAATGGTTGAAGATTGAATATGGAGTCTTAAAAGTTGAAAGTCAATGTTTGAAACCGCCACTTTATTGAGCCTACGTGACTTAAATGCTAAACAATATTGCAGAACGTGGTGTAAGTAGATAATAAAAGCAATAACACTTGCCATGCAAAATTTGCACATGGATGCTGAGAAGTCTGACACCGTTATACGAGCTCGTTTAAATAAAATAAACGAATTGTCGGAGATTTTGAAGAATAGCGATCGTTTCATTGAAAAAATTTCGCAGAGATTCAAATGGAACGCGGAAAGTAGATCACAGAACGAGGTGCAGCTTTTGACTCGTTTAATATTTTAGTTCATGACGCCGGGACTGACTGACAATCCCGAGGCTTGCTCCACCCTGGAAAACTTCTTGCCCACCCTAAAATGCTATGTTTTTCGTATATATTTTACATTTATACATTGCTAAACTGACAGATGTCCCCCATCTGCTCTTATGACTCCTCCCCGACAGAAAATCCTGGTAAAGCCACTGAAAAACCCAGGCACATGGGCAGGCAGTCTCGGGCAGTCCCTAGCAGTATGACTTCTTTGCCTTGCGCAAACACGTAAGATGTAGTTTGGTGTATTTCATATTTACAGCCATGAATTATAGGTGTACTAAACAGTTCTTTCAAACTCTTTGTGGCTCTGGTGTTTTGAATTTATGTGGTCATTAACAGGGAAGTGATGAGTGGATGCTCCATAAGCAGCCTATGATGAGATCGTGTGACTTGGAAGGCAACAAAGTAAGTTGTTCTTTGATGACCAAAACTTGTACTCTTGATGACTCTCAGTGCCTTGAGAGCTGGAGGGGGGACAAAATAATTTTGCTTTCATTTTGAGTTTTTGAAATTAGTTCCTTCACTCCCTATGTACTTACCACCTATTTCTGTGGCTTTGGAAATCATCACTTGCCCCACCCCCAAATCTAAAATATGCTTTGCTGTCCCTGTTCTGTTGTGTGTTTTATAAAGGTGTTGCAAGGACATGAATTGAGTGCTGTGTTTATTCATGTACTCAGTTGTGTCAAACTCCTTTCTTTTGAAAGTGATTTGGCACTATTGAATTCGTGAATTTTCATCCCCCCCCTAATTAACATTGCAGTAATGCCACTATTCTTTTATTATGTTGATGATGAGCTTTATGGACTTTAACTTGCTTGTCAGTTTGATTGTATGACTGGATGAATTTATATATTATTGAACTCCTTGGATATGAACTACATTTTCACACGTCAAGCAGAGAAATAAATTGCCCATGTGATGGTTGAATAGATTTATATATTATGTAAAGAATTGGTCGACGAATAGAATAAACAAAAGCATGAGAATGAATGAGAAAAATGTGAGGAAAGAATAAATAGAAGATAAGATTATAAGTAAAATAATGAAGAATTTGTGAAGAAAGAATATCAAAGACGCGAAGAAAGTTTTTTTCCTGTGGTGTAAGAAGATACTTGAAGGGGGCTCATATTCATATATACATGGTTTGCCATTTCAAATTCCATTGAGATTAATTGTTTTCTTTGGATTATAATGTACATATAGCTCCCTCCCCTCCCAAATTATTGATCTTCCAAGCAAATTCCCTACTTTCATTTTTTCATGATGCAAATGTATGTACAGGCATGTCAGTTACTTGTGGTGAATTTTTGTGTTTAAATTTGTAGAGTTCAAAAAATTTTTATGAGAATTCGAATGTGGTGATTTCTCTGGAAAGAAAAGATACAGGTATAAAGTCATGTAGTTAATTTCTTTATTACGTTTGTCAAGATGGTATTCAACAAGTCCTTTTCATGCAATTAATTAGATTCAAAAGAGCAACTAATACCAGCCCAGCTTCAACCATTTGCTTTCACTCCAGAAGAAAGATTACACCAATACAATTTGGATGTTAACGTATAAGTTTTTACTGATTGTTATATTGTTATTTTTGAAGTTTGGGCTTTTACTATTGTTTTGTTGTATTTCTAAATAATAAGTGGCAGACATGGGGCTCAACACCCCTCAATAATGTTTGAAGAATAAAATCTTGCACTCTATACTTATCTCTCAAACCGTTTGACTGGGATTTTCTGTGAAATCTTCCTTGAGAACGACCTCCCCCCCCCACTCATAAAGAGTCCGAAATGTTATTACGTTGTTGCATAGCTAAATTGTTTTACTTGGTACTTTTCCTTTGGTTTAGATGTCAAAGTCAAAGCGTGAGGCTGATCATAAAAAAGTGCACTGTGATCTAAGTGAATTGACGAACCTTGACGATAAAGAAGGTGAATGTGCTTCATGCATACGCTTTGTTTAAAATTATTCAACCATCCAAAGATGTTATAAGGACGTCAGTTTTTCATGACGGTAAATTGCTGATTAGATTGTTTAACAGGAAGTTATCTTGGCTCAGCTGAAGGGGTATTGGATGCCTGATGAAAGTTAGGACATCTTAGTAAAGATGTCACCTTATGCCTGCATTTCAGTCTTAATGGACCTACATTTCGTGGTTTTTACATTGCAGAAACACCGATCGAAGGTAAAAAGTCGGAGTTAGAAATTCTTGCCGAACAGCGAGATTACAAGAGAAGACGGCAATCTTATCGCGCCAAAAATGTCCATATTACGAAGCGTTCCCCTCTAGAGGTGTTTGTTTTTGTAATTATGTTTTTTTGGCCTTTGTATATGTAGCGACTAGCGAGTTTACAAGGAACAAGTTTACTATGCTGAGTTACCGATAAATTTTACACCGACCAAGTTTTTACATATGTTGTAATTGATGTTGACAAAACATTTAGATTGAGCGACCTTGAGATGACTCAAATTTAGAACTTCGTGAGCACAAAACCTTTACCAGGGCTGACCCCGAATGATAGGTAGGGTTGGACAAGAGGGGGCTAACCCCCTCCCCACAATGAACAGATTTAGTTTCCCTCGCAAAAAACATGAAATCCGGGTAGAAATTAGAAGGGGTGGTGTGCGATACCTAGTTAAAATCAGTTTGCTAAAACGTAAGCGTACTTTGACTGTTAGCTTTGAGTGTTTATTTACTTTTTGATGCGCTCATTGTGTCAATGAACTTATTCTCTCTAAATAAAGTATTACAGTTGCTTATGAGCCAAAAAAGGCTTCAAAGTCTTATATTTAAGTCAGTCGAGTCATGGAAGGGACATAGGTTCAACATTTTGTCGACGTGTCACCAAGAAGAATAAAGCGTAACAATTGAACGTGTTGTAGACGTTCTCGATGTCCTGTTTAAAGTTTTTTTTGAGATACTAACTTTACTAGTATAATGCTGATATTTCGTGATTATATATATACTTTGTAAGTATTAAGAGGGATGTTTTTCTTGTCGCAAAAAACTTTTAGGAAACACGAAAAATCGCTATCAAGGGACTATAAATTTAAAATTTAGAAGGGGGAGCATACCCTCTGACTACCCTAGAGAGGCTCACGAGTTCAAAAGTACATGTCTGTCTACGTCACTTGTTTAATCATTAAACACAAATCACTTTTTTTTGTTTTTATTGAGCAAATGAGTATTTTGTTGGTAAATTGTCACCTTCCTACAACCCTTCTAGCTTAAGAGAGGTGCGCACACCCTATTTAACTTCATAAACAGTTCATCTTTTACTTTGAGGTTTTTGCGAGTAGAAATGATCTGTCAATTTATATTTTGCTACGCACTTGTTCTAGGGATTCATACTCATGCAAAAGATTGTAAAAGATTTAAGTTACTTGTCGTTTCTACTTTTCTATTACTGCTCACACATGGATTGTGTTTAGGACTCTTTTTCCGGTTTACATTTCTAGACTGTCAATATGACAGATGTATTGAAATATTTTATCGCGTTCCTTTAAGATTACTCGAGAAATCATAAACAACAGAATGCAAGAATTGCAGAGCAATGCTGCAGAGTTTCGAAGTGGCAAACGAAAGTCTACGTCGGAGGATTGAAATACGTCGTTCGTGAGTGAGCCGATACTCATTGTGCGTCAGTGGTGGCTTATGCTGGTAGTCGACCATTGTGTATCGTAAACATGTGCACACTCCCCGGAATTACGGGAAATTTTGTTACAATCTAATAAATTTTCGTCTCTTTCACATCACCTTACCGCCAACTACCGCGATGCTCGTGAATAAGTTTAGGTGCACTCCTTTGTGAAATGAGAACTACATATATATCATTCAATCATGATGCGATTTTTTCTGAGTTAAATCTTGACTTTTCAAAATGATTGATTAAATTACGAATGAACATATCAACTTTTCGACGAACTTTTTCATACAGTTACAGTCAGTTGATATTTCGAGTTTATAATAATTACTCCGCCCTTCCGCCCCCTATGTACATACCTGTGCTTGAAAGTTGAATAAACAGCAAGATTGCCTTATAAGCTACAACTCAAAACGAATAACTTCAAAGTAAAATCCTTTCATTTCCCATCTCTCTGCGAAGTTATAGAGTTTGGGACTTGTGGAGTATAATTTCGCTAGAAGTGAAAGAATTTTTCTTCGCATTATTCGTTCATTTTTTCAGTAGCTAGGTTATGGCATGTCAGCGTTTTAGGTTGTAGCTTATTGCTCTAAAGATGACTCATTACTTTCAGTATTATATAGTTTTCATGCATTGAGTCTTCTCTTAATGATAGTTATATATGTAAAATGAAATGTATAAAAACGTGTCTATGTCTTTAACACAAAGTATGGAGATGCTAAATGGAAAATAATTTTTACAAAGTACGTTGGAGGTCATAGACCTCTTAGCCCACGCAGAATATGTGAATTAATGTAGGTTTTTTGAAAACAATAGCCCAAGTAATGACAGGTTTGCATTTCAATGCCAGTTTCCGTGTACCGACTCCCTCTCATAATGATAGTTACACATATTATAGAACATAAAAACACAACACAATAGACACTCCGTATAAAGTAAACATTATTTAACTGACGTCTTAGGCTTTTTTTCTAACATAGCATAAGTTGTTTATAGTCTTGGAATTCTTTTTAATCCACAAAAAATTGAGTGGGTTTTGCGCCAAGGTCATCAGAACGTAACTAGAACGTTAATTGGGGTTGTGGGGTTGCATATTCATATATTCCGTTGTGCCATACTGGTTTCTTTTGAAAGTGTATTGAATTTCCAAATTTTTCCAAATTTACCTGAAATTTCACTGACATGCATTTCGCCGAATTTAAAAAAACAAGAATTCAAAATTTTCAATTTTAAAAAATAAGTGATTAGTTTTTAATTATTTTATTCCATCATAAATTTTAGTTTACATAATCAAGAAATATGCAGCCTTATATGCCGCTCAACAATTTAACAAGTAACATTTCTCTCCTAAAAATGGTAATGATGATTACGGCCTTAACAACAATAGGCGTGCGGGAGCTTTAATTTTTCAGAGGGTAGTGGTTAACTTGCCCAAATTTCAAACCGATCTAAAAGCAATTGTAGTAATTTTTCATCCCATGCAGATTTTGTATTATCAATTAGTCGTTATACATAATATAAATCCTAACACGGTTTTTATATGCACATGAAAAACATGTGACTTGGACAAGATTTGAACTCGCACCTTCGGGATACTAGCTCTACCTGTTGAGCTACCAAAACCACAGGGATTGGAAACGAGTCAAATCTCTTTTAAAACTACGTATGGACGAGAGATTCTCGCCACAATAGCAGTTACAGGATGGAACAACCACGATCACAGAGAACAAACCAATTCCACCAGTTAGATCTGCTGAAATGTCTAAAATAACTCCGAGTAAGCCAATTCCATTATTTAGATCTTCTAAACAATTTTTGCCACCGGAATAAAAAGCTTCAGCTAATGAAAGAAGAGCAGTTTCATTGGAAAGTTTAAACGATCAACCATTGAGAAGCGACGAACAACCTCTTACATAACAAGACAGGCAGAAGAAAATATTTTGTTTGAAAGATTTTTTTCCTGTGGATACCACGAAGCAAAAAGATGTGAAATCTTTACCTGTTATTATAGGAACAGTAAGAGCAGTTTCTTTATAAAATATTACCCAAACATTGCCTGGCGCGGGAAAAAGTTCTGCAGCAAAGAAATCAATCTCCAATTTTTACAGAGAAACACCATATGAGTATGCCTCTTTTTAAATGTCTGGAAAATATGATCGTCAAATTGATGAGGATACCCAGTAATAATAATAATAATAATGGACTCCGTCGATTTCGACGTATGAGGGTCCCACAAAGTGGAACATCCTCGTCACTTATAGTGAAGGCAGATGGAATACTAAAGACTCGGCAAAATTCCTTCCATAAAATTACGCCTGATGTGTACTTTCAGAAAAACTTGACTGTCTTATTCACGAAGGCACTTGCCCATATGTGGACGAAGCGGGGATAACATTGCTGAATGACAAATACTTACGCCTGAAAATTCTTAAGTACTTTTGGAAATAGATTATTTGTGTCATGTCATTTGTATTATTGTCAGTCACTCGATGCATCACTAGACGCAACACTTATAGTTTGTCTTAGAGGACTCGACACAATCCACTCTAAAACACAAGCAGTAAACTCCGTGACTCACAAGTGTTCTAATATTAGAATATTACATAATTTACATCGCCTAAGACATCGATAATGATGAAGATTTCATGATAGGGAACTGAAACTAAAATCATAATAAAAGTAGACTGCTCACAATGCCCATTATTGTGTACAGCTATTTGACTCTTTTGAATATTTGTCGGCGTACTGTTCAAAGTACAAAAGACACAAAAGTGCTTCCGTGACCTTGCTTTGTGCTTCGTTTCGCCACTTGAAATTTACGAAAGCAAAACTATTCTTATCACAAGACAAATTAAAGGATGTCGTTTAGCATTTATAAGTCGACATTGACTTCTTGTCAATTCCAAAATAAGGCTTCCGCAAAAGCACATGGATCACGCTTATTTATGAACTCTACTAAAAAGTGTCGAGTAGCATTTTTGGTGTTTTTTAAAATTGCTTTGAATTCAACAGAAAGATTCTTAAATCATTTTGACAAGCAAGCAACTCTTGTAGGCGAATGCTATATGAATTAAAATGTCATTTGGCTCACAGAACTTCGTTTTTTTATTATGTATATCCTCACAAATACGAGTTTCTTTTGCTGTCAGTTCGTCGGACGGATACGATTTGCAAAGAGGCATTGACGACGAGTTTAGGAACATCGAATGCGATTCAAAACAAAGCAGATGCACTATGGAGCAATGTGAAAGGCGAAATGCTAAATGTTCGGACAATTCCTGCCGTGTATGCCGATGTCCTAACCGTGGCACATTTCTCGTTTTTCCTGATCTGGTCGGAAAATGTTCTAAAGACGAAGACCTTGTGAAAGCATTTGGTAAGAAAAATATGGTCAAACTGTTTTATTCCATAAATCATCCATGCATGTTATTAAATATATGTCTAGTCAAATGCTATCAAAAGGCGAAATTAGATCACAATTACGAATCCAATTTTGTCAGTTAGGGAATGTACAAAGCTAGAAGAATTTTTGTAAAAAGAGAGAAATTTCACCGGATTTGTAAATAAACAAATGGAATACTTGATTTACATAAATCGACAAGGAATCATAAGCTTGTTTATCGACCAACTAAATCAAACTGTAGAGTGTTAAATAGTTACTATTCGTCTAGCAATGGCTAATTTTTTTGAAAATTTCATCCCTGTAAAACGGCACTAGCGAACGCACTCTGGAGTAAGATATTTACAGCACTGACAACACCAGTTATTGTTAGTTAACCTCAGCCCACACGGTATCACTTTCAATAGCGCCGACAGTCAGTGACAAACCCTTGGAAACGACGAGGATTCAATTTTGTCGAGGCTATGGTCACTTTTATGATAACAAACGTATTTTTGGCTTCTATAAAAAATATGTACCTTTTCCCTTTCAAACATCGAGAGTTTTTTGGGCCTTGCTGCACCTTTTCCCTTTCAAATATCGAGAGTTTTTTGGCCCTGCCCACACCCTAGAGGCAATATCTATCCGCTTTTCTTCTATTTTACTTAAATGTCTCGTGATTCGTACTTGCTGTCTGATAAGACTTTCAATATGTGGTAAAACATAAACATAAAATTAACAAAAATTAACATAAAATGGATTTCCATTTTGTATATCCAATGTGATGTTTGATGTCGCAATAGTAATGACAGCGCATTTATCAGTTCTCAATGAAAAGATTCCAGGACTTTGTCTCTGGACGAATGTTTGATTGAATCTTTAATTGATGTTTGCTATAATCAAATAATCAAATATGTAAGAAATGTAAAATACAATCACATGATCACAAAAAACAAACATGCTGGGCTGAAAAAGTTACACTGTTTTAATGAGATATTACATGGGGGTATAGATTTCAATTTTCAAGGCAATTATCATGTTTATAAATAGATATTTGGATAAGTCAAAACTTGGTCCGATCTGTTGTTGGTCCCCGAAATGTCGTTAAACCATTAATAAAACAATTTAATCGTTATGCAGAGTAATCTGAAGAATAATCTAAACGCAATTGAATTATCTTTCGTTTCTTTTGAAATTTTATTACTCTACTTACATTGTATGCACTATATGCATATTTTTTGAACGGTGCATGAAATCATTATCATTTGTAAATTTGCATGCATTTAAATATAAATCACCAAAACGCATTGTCTTTACGGTATGGAAAAATTAACAAAATGATACGTTGACACTTCAATAGACTTTCGTATTTTTGATTATTCTGCTTAATTCTGACCTATAGATTGTGTTTTCAGCAATAGTTAAAGCAAGTATTAATATAGCTATAGGCTTTCTATAGAGAAGAAAGTAAAATTTCTATTCATCACTGTGATTATATGATATCAAGGACTCAAATATTGTGTAAAGCAAAGCAAGTTGAAAATACTTTGTTTTAAGTTGGAGGGTACATAAAAATAGCATATAAAGAAATGGAAAAGATGTACGTAAATTGGTGTTTCCGCCGACACGTGTCATGTATGAGGTTTTGAAAATTGTAGTCTGATAATTTTCCGCGGGTTTTTGATACTTCCCTTAGCCAGAGGCCTAACTTAAAAGTTAATTGGGGGGGTTGGAGGTGCATATTCACCTATTCCGTTGTGCCCTACTGATTTCTTTTGAAAGTGAATTGAATTTCAAAAGAAATCAGTAGGGCACAACTGAATATATGAATACACCCCCAATTAACGTTCTAGTTACGTCTCTGCCCTTAGCTTAATAGAACCTTTATTTAGAAATGACATGATCGAGAACTCTGAAAAACTCTTTGTGGTTTACATAAAAATTTATGACGTAATAGCTACGTGCAGTAAGGGATCTTGGCAAAAGTTCCTCACGTAAATCAACAAGTATTGTTGCGTTATGTTGAGTCCATGTGTAAGTAATGTTTTTGACAGTAATAACGCGTATAATTTATGACGTATCATTACACACTAAAGTTTCATATAATTCATCCGACCACATGGAATAACGACGGAGCTCTTTAAGTTATTATTTATTGAAATATTTTTTGTTCCTTTTAGGATGCTATCATTTTGAAAAGCTAGTCGCGCATCTGAATAGAAAGTCATGCAAGAAGAGTTGTTTTCGTTTTTATTTCCCTGAATTGACAGGCGAAAATGCTTGTTATCTAAATTGGTCAGAGTCAAAAGTAATGTTTCAGAATGATCAAGAATGGCACTCTATTTCGAGCTATCTAAACGAAACGCAGAACTCTATTACAAGCATCCCTTATGGAAAATCTATGATTAAACTAAAGGTAAGGTTTTTGAAGTTGTAATTGTGCCTATAGAAATCTAACAATGCAAACAATGTCCGATCAAGTCTCGACGCAGGGAATTTGATATCCTCATGGTAAGCTCTTGCAAATGATTAAGGGAGGAGCCTATTCCAGTGGTGTCGTAACATGGAGTAACAGAGGGAAGGGGTAGAAATCAACATAGGTGCCAAATAGTTTGAGCAATGAAATTGTATTGTTGGGAAAGATGCATTTGAAATAATTCAGTCATTTCGGCTGATAACTGATAAGGAGATACGCATTTATAGATGAGCGCAAACAGGCGATAAATTGATTTTATAAAATTTCAATGGTTTTTTGCAAATGCTCGTAACTTGCTACCGTACACGAGATTGTTTTATTAAAAACATGATTGACACTAATATATCTTTACTTTTGTATTATGATTAAATGTAAGCACAATTTATTTTCTTTGGATATGGAGTAGATTATTACAACAGTTGGAAGTGTCACATCTGAATTAACATGCAAGGCTGTGGTATGAAACTACTGATCGTTATTGAAATAACAATTACATTGTTTGAACTTTCATCAACTTCAGAAAACAAGCTGTAGAAGAACATCTTTTGATTAATATGGGCACAACTCATGATACATATTGTGAAATTAATTGTACGTTCAGCTGACAATTCAAACATTAATTGTGCATGCATTTCAACCAAAATTTGTTTAAGTAAGATTGGTATAAAATAAAAATAAAACATGTTTTGCAAATATAATAGTCGACTGATTTTATTTTGCTACAGAATTTATATAAAATACTGAAAATACCAATACCAATACCAAGTAAAGCCAATACCCTATTAAATTAAGTACTAACTAGTTCTACCTAAATTTAAATTTTCCATATTTCTTTAGCTTCTGCATTTATGTCAAATCTTACCCCCAAAATGCAGGAAATAGCCTTTCAGAGCTTATAAAAGGTTATAAATCAAAAATTTTCCATTTTCCCTGAACATTGCTTTAAAATTTTCCCAGCATGCCACTGGCCATCTCATATTCCTCGTAGAAGCCATTGTTCCTTCCAAATCTTTTAATAACGTGCCTTACAAAGTTGAGGTCTGTGTCTTCTAAAAATAAACACTTTACATCAGGATCAAACTGTTTTTGTTGAGTGAAAGTGAAGTCATTTGTGTTACTGAGGTAAAAACTCATTTTCAGCCTCGTGCTACGGCGCAAATAGAACGTGCAATATTACTTCCATTTCGAGAACAGTTGGCTCAATTTTTATCACAAAACTAATTATAAATCGCATCATTTTTATCACAAAACTAATTATGAATTATGTATGTCATATAGATTCAAGGACATGCTGTTCAAATTTTGAGCAACTCGTTAGTGAAACTTAGTGTCTCTTGTGGAAACGGAAAAAATCGCTGCATCTTAATGAAATTTCATTCTCACGTAAGTGAAGTAGCCATAATACACAAGATTAACGCTATTATTTATCATTATACAATATGTTGAAATCTCGATTGTGATTGGCTAAGAGCATTGCAATAATTCTCAATGCCTTGCCTCCCACAACTGAGAACAACATTGAAATGATCTGTCGGAGACTGATCGGTAACTTTTAATGTTTTTTTATATGGCAACTGAAAACACAAAATGTATAATGGCGTATATAATCTTTCTCGAGATTTAAAAGAGTTTCACAAATTGATTTAGCTTAAATTATTGAGAATAATGATGAAATGACTCTATCAGGCAGAAAATTTTCAACGAGTTTTTTCTGGGAAAGACGAAAGCGATTCGTCAAAGTGCCCGTGAAACGAAAACTTTGGTATTTTAATAAAAATTTTATCGATTAATACTTTTAAAATGATAGCAGATTTCACACTCAAAATATTATGATGTTTCTAATGTCTAACTTCCACAATCAATGATGTCACAATACATACTAAAAATCTAAATTTTCAGGTATTTATGCTGAAGTGTTACTTCAATCCGACAGAGTTTTCTTCGTTGTGAAAAGTACTTTTTCAATAAAAATTAATTCCTATAATAACGTATTTACCTAATTGGAACTCACCTATTCAAATTCAAAGGTCGTACTATCTGTGTACTGGTAGATGAGGTACTACAAATTCCAAAGTTTTGAGCTTTAAATAATAAAACTCACTACAAGCTATTCCCAAAAACATAAAAACACCATCGTTCCATTGTGTGAAGCACTGACTTAAAGTGTTTATATTACGAATTTTAGCCCCCTTTTTTATTAGCTAAATTGAAAGACCTTGTTTCAGTGATTTTAAATCTGCAATTTTAATTGAAATTGGATTGCTGAAAGTGATTTTACGGACGTTCAAAGTCACGATTTTCAGCATTTTTTTTTTGCGAACTTTTTGATCGGTATGCTAATGACTTGTGACGTAGAAAGTTGAACACATATATCAACATGGCGTATTCTACTAGTAATCTTAATAAGAAACGCGGAGGAAAACGCTGTGTTGCTGGCGGACCTATTCAAATTAGTTGCGCCAATGATTCAAAAACCGAAAGAATGTCGATGCATCTGTTTCCTAAAAAAGAAACAGAGCCGCAAAGAGATAGAAAATGGGTAAATTTTGTGCGTAAACATAGACCGGGTTTTGAGGCTTCCTCTACCTCGTGTCTGTGTTCTGCCTATTTTGAAGATTCTTGTTTTGACCTTAATTTGAGCGTGCAATTCAAGCTCAAAAGAAGGTTGAAGAAAGATGCTATCCCAACCATTGACGTGGCTGGGATTCCTAAACCATTACAGGACGAAATAACCGATCGAAAGAGAAGACAAGTCAGTTTACGCTTGTTTATGTTAATTTTTCTTTTGTTATATGTAAATTCGTTATTCATATGTAGATTCGTTTTGTAGATTATTCGACATACTCTCCATAAGCCATCGCTGAAGGAAACATGTTCTCTCGATGAGGAAGTACCATCTACTAGTGATGGAGCTGAGCATGTTGAAGTATGCACTGGGGAAGCAAACGATTCGCCATTTAAAGAAGAACTACATGCAGTTGGTGAAGATATTTGTGAATCCCAATCTCCGTGTAAATCGTGCCATCGTCTTAAGAAAAAACTTACATCTTTACAAAAGACTTTAAACTGGTATAAAAAGACAAAAGCATCTTTGAAGAAAAGACCCAGAAGTTGCAAAAGGAATATCGAAGCGAAATCAGGGAAAATCGTAATACATCCGTGGTGACCAGCATTAATATAGACGATGAAATGCAGGGGAGTGCTGAAGAGCTTTTCGAAGGAGAATCATACATGGACTACTCCTCTTTCGAAGAGTCTAGTCAGAGTGAAGATTTAGATGAAGATACCACAAGTAATACAGTCAGGTATTTTATCTTATAAAGAATTAGATCTCTGTTGTATTTCATAATAATGAATTTTCTTAATCGTGTTACAGAATTGATGAAGGAGCAAGCTCGCATGAACAACCTATGTTCATGGCATTTTACATCTCATTGGTTGAGTTATTTGAAAAATTTTGCTTTAACTGCAAGGCTGAAAATCCAAAAGTACACATTAAAAACATTGGTTCGATGGCCATTGTAGAGCAAAATTGTGGTAAATGTGTTGAAAAGAACTTTATGTGGAGAAGCCAACCTATGGTTTTGGGAAGATATCCAGCTGAAAACATTATGAATAGTTTTGGTACTTTGATGTCTGGTGTCAGTATAAGTCAGGCCATGCTGATGTTCAAGCACATGAATCTCTCAGCAAATAGTGTGTCCACTTATCATGTGCATCGACGCACCTTTTTGTTTCCAGCTATTCTGAAGCATTGGGAAAGCTATCAGTCAAAGTTAATTGAAGATGTGAAAAAAAGTGATGTTTTTATTGTTTACTCTTGTGTCAAACCATTAAACTGCATGTCAACTTATATAGTGCATCCATGTATCTCCTATTTGGTTTTCATCTAGGCATATTTCCTGACCATTCTAAACTCAGCAAAGAAGGTCAACAGTCTCTACAGTGCACAAGTTAAAAGACCTTTCCATCATCGCCCCTCTGATGTTATGTAACCTTTTGTGTTACCACTTGGATATGCTTTCCGAATAAAGTGGTAAACACAAGCAGGTAAAGGCCAAGTAATCTTCCATCCATAGACCCACAAAACCATCGCATCAACCATCTGTACGCCACAGCTCTCAAGTACCTGAAGTAAATAAAAAGGTTGGACTAATTATTGTTGATGAAACAATGTTGATGATAACATTGTTTCTCATACAATTTACAATCTTAAATATTTAATGATTGTGATGCTTGGCGGCGATAAGCACGTCCATTCCTATCTCTCAATAGTGGCCCGACGTTTTCAAGGACAGCCTCATGAACTAAAGGCCCAAATTTGGCATGCTGTGCTATGCATGATATTTTCTCAATGCTGCCATCGAATGTCATTTTCTGCAAAGCTGGTCCTATTTCCTTACAGCATCTGTACTCTAATGCGCCTTTTAACAAATCGGTATGACAGCATTGACAATTACACCTGAAACGTGGGAGCATTGTGGTTTATAAAGTAACTTTATGTAAATTACAAACAGGAAAAAACAACAACTTACCATTCACCGAGTGGAATTACGCCATCACTTCGTTGTTCTAATGTCGCAGGGAGAATTCCATCGGGATCATCTGGAGTATGCACTTCATCACCATCTCCTGCGAGTGGTTCATCGTCATATGCGAAGTCGTTTAAACGACAACAAAATCACCTTCTATAATATAATATTATATTGACGGAAACAGATGTGTTGAACTATCGACGTCACAAGTATCAATATGGCGTCGTAAAAAATTCGCAAATAGTACCCGACTTTGGAGGCAAAATTAAGGAACTTATATTTATCTGTTTAAGTCCAGCGACATGTCATAGTTCTTTAAATAATCCAAGTTTTCAATTAAGCTTATAAAAAAGGGGGGCTAAAATTCGTAATATATATAAGCACTTTAAGCATTTCGACAATCTACTATGATAAAGTAATCCTATGATTTCGACTATGATGAAGTAAGCCCATGGTAGTGAGGTTACTTAGTGATAAAATGTTTACTCGAAAGCCTCTGGAGGCTAGTAAAATCCTCAAGTTATTCATGAGGTAACCTCACTAAAATGGTTTTACTTATAATTATGTTGATTCAAAATTTTGACAGATCCAATTGTCTTGGTCACGTGTTTAATGACGTCATATATTTGCAAAGTGGAGTCATATTCAACATTATTGAAAAGTAAATCAACTTTTACCTAACAATCGCGGTCTAAAAATAGGAAGCTTGCATGTGGTATATTTAAGAGTTACTTCAAATTTTATACAGCATGTACATTGAAAGTAAGTGGAACAAGTAGCTGGACCAACCTTTACGGCATTAACTTTAATCAGATTGCAGCTTTCAAATACTTTTTTGACTAAAATGGACAGGTGAGCCCACTTTTATCTCTCATTTGCCAACAGGACATATTACCAAAATTAAAACTTACCATGGTTCTAGCAAAACAAGAGTGATTTAGTGTGAATCAAATTTCACTTTTAAATCATATTTTCTTAGACGAGACAAAGAAATAATGCAAGCAAAGTATAATAAGCAAATTCTGTATAAACAAAAATATAATTGAGTGAGAAAAAATAATTATTCACCATCGTCAGAATTGCACTCCAAATCATAAATTCCATTGCAAGAATGAAGGGGACTCATTAACTTTGGGGCATTGTTTGATCTTTTGATCGATTTCTTTAATCAAGTTCTTGCAGAATAGTAAATGCTTTTATGATAATTTTCCTCGAAAGTAAGTCTTATGTTTGTGTGAATTATTGTGTCCTGTTAAAGGAGAAGTAAGAGTTATCTATGTTAATTTCTTTTTAATATTTTTTGAACGTTAATTGCGTTAAATACAATGTTTCATCATGATTGGCTACATTTGGGTCAATAAGATTCCTGAGCTCTGATGCATGTGAACAGTTTTTTGACATGCACATTGCTATATATATTTACTGCATAGTATAAAGATATGATTTCATATTGAGCATACTGTTAAGTGATTTGTAACTATGATGTCGCGTAAAAATTAGCATATTTTTCTCGTTTGACATCGATAGTCATTTTTAAAAAGTACATTGTCAAAATTAAAAGCACCTTAGTCTTTACAATCGATTAATAAAAACTAAATGATGATTTTTTTGATACACCGAGGCTAAATAACGTAAAATATTAAAGAGAATTTTATTATTGATACCTTTAGGTTAAATAATTGTAAAAATAACGTTTTTTTGTAAAGCACTGTTTGATAATTTAATTTGAATTTTTTTGATGGTATAAAAAATGAGTACTTTTAAAATTTCTATTAGAAATCCATAGATTTTATAATTGATGCACAATTATAATTAGAAAATTAATGAAGACGTCATAATATAATTTAGGAATAATTATACTTAAAACCTTAAACGTTTAGGTCATGGTTGCTACATAAATGTTAATCAGCATTAAATTTTCTTTAAATGGCATGCAACACAACCTAGCATAATAAACTTCAATATTCTGTACAAAAAGTGACGACGTCATCGATATCTATCACATAACGAAATGAGATAGCAATGTGTCTGGCAAAACTTTAAATTAATAAAAGATGGGTAACATGTGTAGCAAGCTTCGAGGTTAAAAAATAAGAATTATTGTAGTTCTTGGTCACAACACTATTAAATATATACTATGTTGCAAAAATATTTGTGTGGACGAAAGAAATTCAAATAATATGGCACAAAAATTATTGTTCTTACATATTATGAGATATTGCATTTAATTCTGTTTAAAGGACGAAAGAACGTGGGCAGCTAATAACAGTATAAACAGAAACAAGTTGACAGCAATAGCAGCCTGCCTTTCCGGTGGTATTTGCGTCTTGGTTGTGCTTGTCTGCTTGTTTTTCAAATGGAATAGAAATAGACTGAAGTAAGTTCGATAAATGACAATACATATACTATAACTGAGTAACGGTATCGACAATGTATTGCTCTTTTTTCATAGGAAATCTGCTAGCACACAAGTGAATACAGGTAATTATTGAAATTAACTAAATATGAAACTTTAAAAAGATTAGTTGCACGCTCTTTAAGGGTTACTGTGGTGAAAACATGAAGACACAAGTTTCCACATTACAGCTGTTGCTTTAGCAAATGCTAGAAAGCTTCTCAACTCAAATATTTACATCAAAGTTTTTGGCTGCCGTTAAAACGTTTTTCTTCTAAATTAAAAGTACTTTGGCTCATTGACACAGCCAGCCTGAAGTTTTGGTCCCGCCATGCAAGTTTTTTTTTGTGTTCACTCACTGCAAAAACAATAGATGGCTAAAATAAAAAAATCTAAAATTTAGATAGCTAGACCAAAACTTGCGGACTGGCTACGCTACTTCTTTGGTGTCATACAGAATCTACAACGATTGAAAATCATTAGACTTTCAACAAAGTAGCACCATCTCATGTCTGACTCACTGTGGTGTCACAAAATCCATAATTAGTGGTGGTGTGGTATTTTCATAGATGCATGTTTTGTTGTATTAAGGCCGTTGCAAACGTGTAACTTTACATTTGCCAAATGCATTAAAGATAAAAGTAAATTAAAGTTCGACGTTTGAAACGAGCCTAAGTTTTTTGAAATTAGTTGTTTTGTAGGGGCTATAATATTCATGTATGAATTTACCCGCCCTCAATTATTGAGATTGCAAGCTACTCCTAGCAAACACAATAGTTTCAATTCGACTTAAAACTTTCTGAAGTAAACTACTAAAGATCCTTTTGATTTCAGAAGTGCAAGCCTCTGCTGTATTAATATATTTTTATTTTAGATGCACAAGATGCACAAGAGACCATTGAAGAACCAGAGACTTCGGAAGAAGACATGCTGTGTATGCACCCCAATCCTTTATACAGAAAAAACCACCAACTGATTACAGCTCAAAATGATCCAGGAAAAAAAGCACAAAACGACAAAAAACGAAATGGACTACATAAAGTATTATATTCTGATAAAATATGGCCGGTTATGACTGATGATCCCATTTCTTCAACGAGCAACACCATCGTGGATAGACCCGTTAAGAGTTTTGAAAAACCACCATCAACCAAGGACTGTTCGGAGATGGAAGAATCGCTTGAAGAATTGGAGGTAAGCAATTCGATGGATAGAAAACGACGTATACTCACCAAAGCGCTGTCAAAATCACCTAGTACTCCTCTTCAAACTGCCGATTTCCCTTATGGTCAGGGTATAGACACATCGAAGGCAGTTAAACCTTATCATTACGTTACAATTGACCCATCAATGAATTACGACCGTGTAATGGAAGAGGATGTCCAGTTACTCGTGGACAATGCGAGGAGAGCCAAATTTGCTGACGAAGAGTTGCAGGATGGGATACCAACCATTTCAAACAACGGTTACGCCGTACCCCGAGGATGCAATGCCCAGTCGAATGAAGAGAGGAAAGTGGACAACAAGGACTCTTACTACAATTTTGAAGCCATACAATGCAAAGCACACTGTGAAAATCTAGAACCAAGCGAGCTCGGTTATATTGCTCCTGAAGAAATCAACGTTCCTTCTCCCAAATACAGATTTCACAAAATACTTAATGAAGCAAACGAACATTACGACCAACCTTCACCTCAAAAAGATCTGTCAGCAAAATCACGTGATCCTACGATGAAGACTCTGTTTACCGAGGGACATTATTATGGAAACAACACAAATGAACATATGACAAACGAACATTACGTCCAGCCTTCTCCCCAGAACTACCTTTCAACAGTTTCACGTGATGCTATGATAAAAACTTTGTATACTGAGGGACATTATTATGCCAATGACACATTCATTAGAGTAAACAATTCAAAAGGAGGAAAGAAGATAGACGAAGAAAATTACGTCGACATGAATTGCGCATGATCTCCTAAAGGTTCCAAATTTTATCTACGACGAGCGTTCACAACATTTGCTGACCGACTAAGCCCTGGTGGACGTTCTTATGCGACGCTCGCCATATATTGATATTTAAGGACAAAAACCAACTGAAGATATGAAATAATGTTCAGAAAACAAAATATTGTTTTTCGTGCAGGAAGTATTTTATGGCTTACACTCTATATAAACTAAGAGTGGCGTGGTCACCATGTATATTTTGGTGTTATTTTGTGTTTTATTTTTAAAATCATTATCACTTTTTTGGAAATCGTTTAGTTTTGTTGTACGTGAGTAAAAAAATTGGCATAACAAGAAAAAATTTTCGGGCTAACTACACCATATCGGGCTTTTATTTTTTTATCGATTTTTTATTTCATTAAAGCTTTAGTTGATTTTTTAGCATGGGCAGCTGAAAAGGGGGCCTTAGGGAGCTGCAGCCTCTCAAAAATTAAAATGGGAGGCTAAGCCCCACAATCAAAGAGCTATCTTCTTCAATATTTTCCCTGTAATATATGTTTTTGTTTAACAAAGGAAAATCATCAACATAGATGGACTCTTAAATACTGACAGCCATTTTCAAAGCTTGCTTCTCCTATAGACTTTCATTTATTTAAAGTAATATAACGATTAACTGCAATAGAACGGTTTTGAGCAAAAATTCATGTTTGCTAAAATTCATATAGAAATCTTCTCACGTTGCTTAAATATCATAATAAAAGATTTGGCATGATTTCTGGAAGAGAAATGAACAAGAATACAAAATTTGATAAAAATTCATTATAAAAAATATACTAGAAGTGGATAGTCCAATATGGCCGCTGCTATCAAAAGTTGGCTTCAAAATTTTCTAAGCAGCAGAATTAGGTTGCGTTATCCAGTCTTTATATATATCAGTGGGTGCAGTCTAACTCATTTCTACCAATTTGATTGGCTCCCTCAGCGGACAGCTTTTTGCGATATCTGTCCATAGGGCCAAAAGTGATATTTTTTCAATGTATTTGTTTACGAAGTGAAATGTAAATGTTCAAATATGATTTAAAAACGACGTAAATTGTTCAACGAGAAAGCAAAGTGTATTTAGATGAAAGTTATCATAGTAAGACTGAACCTTACTATCCAGACTAAATGAAGTTTGTAGAAAACAATCCAATTTTAGTGTCAAATGAAGTTGCATCGGCCATTTTACAACGCAAATTTCTTCATAATAAAAAAATAAGTAAGCTATTTACCGTTTTGATCGGTCTGTACTTAAAAATACTTTTCCGTACGGACCTCCCAGCCGGTAAATAACATATATTTATTTTTTTTATTTATGCACGAGAAACGATATTTTTAATTTCCAGAAATTTGATTGGCTTCCTGAGCGAGCAGCTTTTTACGATAACTTGCCGTGGGCAGAAGTGATATTTTTTGCAATCTAGCTATTTGTTTGCGAAGTGGAACGTAAATGCGCTTTGTCCATCACCTCTACGAAAGATTGCTGCGTAATGTACTTCTTTTGCAATTAAATAACGGAAGTTAAATTATTCACTGATTATAAGGTATAAATATAATAATTAATCATTAAGTAGTGATAAGAGATGAAATGAAAATCTGTAAAAAGTGCAACTTTTGTCATTCCTTATTTGAGGCAACATTATAACAGTTGTATTTTGTGATATTCGGTTGTTTTCACTTTTACCTACTAAAAATTCAAGCGCCACTGCTTTTCCAGTTGCTAAGTACTTTTTTATGTGTGAATGACAAAGTGAAACAAAGCAGTTTTTTTCGTCATGTGCGCACGTTTTGAGTGCGTGGGAAGTAAATATTTTCAGTGTTTATTTGTCAAAAAGCAATAAAACTCTAACTCCTGTTGATTGGAACATTTATTTTATTAAAGTGCAGGACGTCATGCCATAAGGATGGAAAATTGATATAAATATCAATTTTCTATGATAAAATAATAATTATAGAAAGAAAATTCCCGACTTTTTGTTCAGAAATATGAAATGTTTGATCGCATTAGCTGTTCTTGCGTTGCTGAAGATACAAGTACTCATAGGCACGGAAGTTGAAATCGTGCGAGGAAAGTATGACAAATTCACCAACATATTTGGCTGTAAAATATCAAAAGCAATTTGCTTTAATTCAATCTGTAACTACTGCACATGTACAAAGCATGAAACGTTTGTAATGACGCGGGGTAAAAATGGTGAGTGTGTTAAGACGGACCTCTTGTTGTATGCTACAGGTAAGTGATCTCAGACATCGGATACTTCGTAAAATGACCTTCGATATAATTAACTCCTGATACGTCAGATCTGATATTCTTGATAAAAATTCAGTGGGATAGTATACGATCGAAATCTAAGCAGAGCTTAAACGATTTTTATACATTTTCAACTTGTACGCAAGTGATGATATTCTCCGGTCGGCATTACAACTTTTCCCAAATTTGTTGTTCAAATGGAGGATGACAGCCAAAAAAATATTGTCATTGTCGACAGGCTTGCTAGAACAACGTAAAATAATGTGGGATGAGATGAAAAAACGCTGATATATTATATATATTATCATTTTTTGCTATTTCATGTTATGTGATATCGACGATGTTTCACGGTTTCAGCTAAGTTCGGCCAACCACGTACTGTATTTGTTGTTTTTTAAGGTCAAAAGGCCATCTTTCTGTAATTACTATTGGTTAACTCTCGGGTACACTTTTGTCTTCATAATTACATTGTGAATTAATTAGTTGTTATGCTTTGACTTTAAAGACGTTTTCAAAATATATAATTAAATAAGACTGCACTAGCTTTAAAGGATCTGGCTTTAAACGAAAATAAGAATGTCGAAGCATCGTTTTTTCGTATAGCATGAACTTTTTTCGTAATATAAGCGTATATATGTATACAGTATTTATTATATCAAATGTACGTCTGAGAGCATCTCGCGTATCTTACGACCAAACAACATACGTGTCCGCACATAAATCAATCACAACTTTACGACAAGTACTAACGAGCATCAAGGACAAAGAACAACCCAACGAACGACAAGGTGCAGTTTACAAAATAAACTGCTCCGAGTGCCACGCTTCCTGACAAAACACAACATTGACGGGTGTAGATAAAAAGCGGGCGCGGACGACGGACGCGGACGGCGGACGCAGACGACGGACGCGGACGGCGGACGCAGATGTAAGACGAACGTCTGTTTGTTGTGGGCGGGGATTGCAAATGATTTATTGTAGGAGTTTGACCGTGATTTAAACGAGCTTTAACTTTCAGGATATATTTTTTGACCTCATTATTTAAAGCAATTAAACATGCATATTTCAATTTCAGTCAGTCATATAGAGTGTACCGCAATGAAACCTCATTGTATTTTTTTCGTGTTTTGTCAATGGCATTTCACTCATGTTGGGTGAGCCTGTTCATATTTACTGCACTATAATGATTTCCGTCAACTTGTCATTTGGCAAGCAGTACGTATATTACAGTTTTCAACTTTAACTTCCTTTTGAAAGCTGAGGTTAGAAGCAGTTGCAAGTTAGTCAGTGCGTCAGTTACAGTCATGTTTGCTGTAGCTATATGACAACTTTTGATGAATGTTGGATCATGCCTCAAGCTAGGAAGCCATTATACATATATGTTCGATCACTTCGATGAGCATTGTAATTGACAAGCGTTGGTTTAGTCATTGACGTGACGTATAAGGTGAACCTCCATTACATTATTTCTGTGACGTTTGTCTAAAGATTTATGAAAACATCTGAACAGAACAAAACAATGACTACAAAATTGTCAACAACGATTTTCAACCCCTTGGCGAGAAGTACAAATTATTTTTAATCGTATGTGTTGAAGCGAATTGTTCGGAAAAGCGTTTTGAAAATTTCCTTAGTAGCGATTCACTTTTTAGTAAATGAGCAACATCAGCTTGTGTTTTGTGGTTTCACAAAAGCATTTTTGTGCGTTATCTGAACAGATACTCTCCGGTTTTATCAGCCATAGGATGTGAAATATTTCAAGACAGAGAACCTATCGTAATTCTTGATAAAGAGGAGTGTGCTAAACAAAAGTTTTTGTGTTTGGGTGAAAAAAAGATGATGTTGCAAAAGAAAAACGAGTGCGTAATACAACACGATAAAAGTCAATACTTATACAATGATATGTGGAAAAATTTTGTGATGAAAGACAAAAGTTTGTCAATCGATACATGGTTCTATGGAGTAACATTGAAGGTAGCATGCTTTGCTAGAGAATACCTATTTGCCGAGCCAAGGATTCGAGCTCGGAATGGAGCTTGGAATAGTTCACTGGATCAAGTCAGGAGTGTAATTTCATTTTTTCCAATCCAATGTTTCAGTGTTAAAACCAATTTTCTTTATGGACAAAAAACAACATTTTTTTGCGTTACTTCCATCGAGCAATCCACTCCTTTTTTGGTTTACAGGTCTTCAACCCTTTTATTTAAGCTTTTCGTTTATTTTTAAACCAAGAAATTCACTGCAGTACTGTAGAGTTTGTAGTATTCTGGCTGACTTGAAATTGATTATTTACATCTTAAATGACGGTATATAATTACTGCAAAATATTAGTCGATCTTTCTTTTTACCTCATTAGCAGCACTCAGTCTTTCATCGTGTTTCAAGTTCTTACTAGTTACAAGATATTTTCATTGCTATAACTAGAATGCACCATCCCACAACTTATTTGTGATAATGTGGATATTAATGCATGCCATTATGCATGCACAATTTACGTCATATATACATTTTTTTAAATTAAGCGTTTATGACGTACACATGCAGCACATAGCTTCTCTGAGTTCTATCTTGTAACGTTTTAGGTTGACTATTCAATTGCTTTCATGGGCATACGGGCCAACATTTTAAGGGGGTCGTTTGGAATATTTTCAATCTTAAATGACCTCAGTTACCCAACAGTTACCCAATTTTCCAGCAAATAATGCCCGACTGGCTTTGTCTGCCTAAAATTTAGGGGTATATTGCCTGCCGTCTCGTTTACCTATGTTTGCTTTTGATATGCAAAACGATCCGAGATTATCTAACATATCTACTTCCAAAATCAATTCTGAGTTCAACTCCAAATTGGATACCGACGTCATTTAATGATTTAAATTTCAAAATCACTTAAAAGCTCGATTCTGAGATCGAATCTTTGGCTCAGTAATAGTATATCTCATTTTGCTCAAATGGTGAAGCTTAGAGGAAGCTGTACAAATTGACTCATCTTAGATAAATCATTTGGTTTCATTTCGGAGACGTAGATTCAGTTTCATTATATGTTAATTATAATTGTATATAATTTTATTTATTTTTCATACATGTTTTTGTTTTGCTCACTTGTTCATTTTGTTTTTATGTTTTTGTTAAATTTTAATGTTCTTATTTGTGCATTTCTATTTGTATGTTTTTTTGCAATGGTTTAGTTCATCGGATCGAAAACATTTACATAGCGTTTTAAATTATCTTACGATAAATAATGTTTGGTCATAACAAATTCATCGGAATACCAATGCAATTTATTCCTTATTTAGTGGAATTTAACAAACACGCCACAAGCTTGGAAAGGTTTGATTGTCCAAATAAAGTTTCGATGCCAGCAAAGATATAGTTCTCAAGCGACAGAGCATTGCGCGATGATAAAGTATGCAGGAACCTTTAAAGGTACATCACATGTTCTTTATATCTTCTTACCAGGAATATGCGTGACCCAAAAGTTCATTAATTACTTACTACAATACAACTTTTAGACGTTCTAGCAAGTATTAAAAAATACTGAGAGATCAATGGTAATGTCGTCATCAATTGGACTGTTGCTTTTAAACTTTTGGCATGCTGCCTGTTGTATTTGCTAAAATGCTGAACATCTCTAAAATGTCAGTTCAAATTTATGAAAAAACTTATTTAAATCTAATAATATTCAAAGATATAGCTGTGCACCTGCTACAAAGATTCTCTATTTATCTTATTATTTCCGCTGTTTATCTTATATATGAATAATAAGATAAACAGCGGAAATAATAAGATAAATAGAGACTCATGGCAGCAGACATAAAAATGGTAAAGGGGACGGTAATGGAAATAACACTGGAGATGGTCACAGAAACGACCGTCAAAAAGAAAAAGAGACAAAAGAGAAAAAGGAAATCGACAGAACAAGTTCACTGAACAAAGGGAGACGTCGAACTGAAATCATTGCAAGCAGTTTATTTATTGTTATGGCGGTAGTCTTAGTCGTCAACCTTTTTTTTTACAAAAAAAGACACAGGTAAATTTTAATACATAGTAATAATGGTCAGTTTAAGATACTTATAATGTGCCAAAGCTATTACTATCTAATGTTAGATCTCTTGTACCTAAAATAGATGAGATCAGAGAATTCACTTTACGCAACAACATTCATCTCGTTTTTATCACAGAGTCATGGCTACGATCGTCAATTTCTGATGTTGTCATTTCTATCCCAGATTTTGCTGTCATTCGAAAAGACAAGCAATCAGACAGCCATGGAGGTGTATGTGCTTATGTGAAGGAAGGTATATGCAAGTACAAAGAACTGAAAGATTTGCAGTGCTGCGAAAACCATGAAATTTTATGGCTCCATTTAAGACCTAATAGATTGCCCCGTGGTTTTTCATGTATTATTGCTGCTGTTGTTTACCACCCTCCCGGTGCCGACGAAGGGTCAATACTAGATCACTTATTCACTTCATTACTACAAGCAGAAACAAAGTACCCAAATTGTGGGTTTCTCATTACGGGAGATTTCAACAGATTAGACATTAAACAAGCAGCTAACCATTTTAAATTGAAGCAGATCGTAAAAGTACCAACCAGAAAGAATGTAACCTTGGATTTGGTATTTACCAACATGCATGAATTTTACAACAAACCCGAAGCACACCCTCCTTTTGGCTTATCTGACCACAATTCTATACTAGTACCACCTAAAACTAGAGATCGAAGTACAGATAATGAGAAGAAGATCATTATGAGACGTGACTTAAGGAACAGCTAAAAAATAGCTATGAGGAAGTTCCTAGGTTCCTTTGACTGGCATGTCCTACTAAGCCCCTCCTCAAACTCTTGCGAGGATATGTGGAATATATTCTGCAAGATAATACACACAGGCTTAGACATTCTAATGCCCCTCAAAAAGACAAAAATCTGCAGGGCTGATGCACCATGGATGACTCAAAAACTGAAGTCATTGATTCTGAAAAGACAAAAGGCCTTTAACACCCAGGGTAGCGAATCAGCGTCCTTTAAATACTACCGGAATCTGGTCAACAGGGTTAGGAAAATGTGTAGATCTGATTATTATGAATCAAAGATTCAACACCTTAAGGGAGAACAACCTAAACAATGGTGGGCTGAGGTTAAACGCCTAAGTGGAATGAAAGCCCAAACCAGTGATCTAGTAAACCAAATTGACATCGATGGCTTCTCCGAACTGTCACCCCAATTACAAGCAGACCGAATAAATGCTGCATTCTTGGATCCTCTCGACGAGTATAAACTTACCAGTCCCTTGGAATACCATCATCTCGAAGGGTCGCCTGAAATACTTACAGTGAGTGTAGAACGTGTCCAGAAGGCATTAAACGCATTAAATGTACACAAAGCGTGTGGCCCAGATGGGATTCCAAACTGGTTATTGAAAGACTTTTCTGATATAGTTGGTCAACCAGTAACCTTAATAATCAATGCATCTTACAAAGAACAACAACTCCCAAAAATGTGGAAAAGTGCTAATGTTATACCGCTCCCAAAAGCCAAACCAGTTCAAGACCTTACCAAACAATTAGGACCACTATCTCTCACACCATGTCTCTCAAAGTTAGCTGAAGACTTTATAGTATCAGACTATATAAAACCGGCAGTAACCAAGGTGATCGATCCCAACCAGTATGGAGTAGTATCAAGCTCGTCAACAACAATGGCACTGATCAGTATGTTACATAATTGGACATTAGGTACAGATGGAAATGGGTCTACTGTAAGGTCGATTTTATTTGATTATCGAAAAGCATTTGATTATATAGACCATTCCATACTCGTCGACAAACTGTGTAATCTGGACATTCCAATTAGCGTAATCAATTGGATCATCAACTTTCTGAGCGACAGATTGCAACGCGTTAAATTAGCAAATGATTGTTATTCAGACTGGGGCTCTGTTCCATCTGGGGTTCCTCAAGGCACCAAACTAGGACCCTGGCTTTTTGCATTGATGATAAACGATCTAAAACACGGAGCACCATCTTTTTGGAAATTTGTCGACGACACTACTGCTTCCGAAATTGTACCTAAAGGCAGTGTGAGTCATGCACAAAATATAGCTGACGATGTAAATGATTGGTCCAAAAATAACAGAGTACAATTACATCCTGACAAGTGCAAAGAACTGAAAATATCCTTCTCAAAACAAACATCAAATTTTGACCCACTTGTTATTAACAGCAACGAGGTTGAGGTTGTTAAGTCAGCAAAATTTCTTGGAATTACGATCAGCAATGATTTGACGTGGAACATTCATATTGACAATATTATCAAAAAAGTAAATAAACGAATCTATTTTCTAATTCAATTAAAGAGAGCTAAGGTATCCCCTAAAGATCTCTCTCTCTTTTATATAACTTGTATAAGATCGGTTATGGATTATGGAGTAGTTAGTTTTTACAATTCCTTACCAAACTACTTAAAAAACGAATTCCAACGTGTAGAAAAAAGAGTGATATCAATAATATTTCCTTATAATAGTTATAAAATTGGGCTAAAAAAGCTAGATATGTCACCAATAGAGTTACTTCATGAAGATTTATGTAAACGTTATTTCCGGACAATTGAAACAAATGAACGCCATAAATTAAGAAATTTACTGCCAAACAAAAATAACTGTAAATATAGCCTGAGAAGTAAACATAAATATATAGTTCCGCTTGCTCGCACCAACAGAGCGAAGAACTCGTTCATCCTGTCCTTGTGTACATAAAGTTACACAAAAGTGGCCAGGTATGGAGTTTTTTTTGTCTCTGTTGGTGTTAGCGAGTACCATTTTTAGATACTTATTTTTAGATTTTTAGATACTTATTTTTAGATACTTATTTGTTATTATAATTTTACTAATTTAGATATTTGCAATTCAGCCGCAAGACTGCAATTAATATTTTAATAAACTACCTACCTACCTACCTTAAATGCATCGTAGAAACTAGCTACATGTCTATTCACATTCCATATCCCACTTTATGTTCCTTTTCAGTATACATATTGTATGACAAAATGCTTTTCAGCAGATATATTCATGTAATATAATCCATAATCTTGATTGATTTCAATTTAAAAAGGTAAAGTAGAATGTGCATAAATGAATATCAGCCTCAACCCCAACTATCGAGCATCCGTTATTCCTGCTTTTGTTATTCAATGTACGACTTCATAATGTATTCCTCACACGCAGAGAACATGGCAAATGGTACATGATGGCAATTATTTATTGTGTATCCTAAATTTCACGATAATGCCGAATGCACTGTTTTTACATTACTTCTTTTGGAAATCTGAGAATTTAATTTAACTACAGAACTCATCCATATTAAAGTTTGAATTTTTTGGTACTGGTCAATGTACGTGAGAGAGCGTATAGATTTTCATACTTACAGCTCAAAATGAAAGATATCGAAGTCAGGAAAACTGCATGGCTATACAATATTGGAATATATTGAGTGAGCTTGCACTGATGATTTATCATACAGAAATTTCAAAATAATGTTGTATATAAAATTAATTATTCTCAAATACTGAGCGAACTCGACTTAATATCATTTATAAAAGTCCTGTGCACCTATACTCGGTGAATCATCTTCCCAGCATGGCTTTGCACATCTGTAATTGCTGCTTCTAATATCGTTATGATTGCAGATGTTATAATGAGCTTCGTTTTCTGTCTTTCACTGTCTAGATTTACATGTTTAAACAAGACAGGAAAAGCAAGCAAAGGTAATTTTTACAAATAAGAAATACTGAGAATAAAAAGTAGGACAAATATCAGATGCCCAGATGCAGTTACATTTATACAAAAGATAAAAATGTCGTCACTTTTAAGTTTTTATTTTATTCAAAGGTTCTCATACATGAATTACACACAATGCTTAAGAGCTGCATTAGCCCCCCCTTCCTATCTCAATTCGAAGTTATTTTATCCAAAAAGACAGTTTTTTAAAAGGGTCTTATGGAAAATAACCTTTTTATTTGCCTACATGCAGTGTGCATACCAACATTTACAGTTCAACTTTACTTACTTTAATTAATTAATTATTAATGCGGTTGTTCATGAGAAGAAAGAGCAACATCCAGAAATGATAAAATCACCACCAAACCCGATTTATCAATCTTCAGAAGCATCGGCAAACCCAGTGTATCAATCTTCAGAAGTATCACCAAATCTGGTGTACCAGTCTTTTGAAGCATCACCAAATCCGGTGTACCAATCTGTAGATGCAACATCCCACCCAGTCTACCAATCTGTAGACGCAACACCTGATCTTATTTACGAATCAGTAGAACTAAACGCAGACAAAGGAAACGACGAAATTGGGAAGTACGATTACGCAAATGTAGAGAACGCATTATACGAAGGACTGGCGACAAATGCTAATGTTGAAAATTGGACATACGGAAAATATAGTTAACACAATTCAAACATGAGGATGGTTACCAAAAATCAATTTTTTGCCGCAGAAAAGTTGGCAATATGTAAACGAGTTTATGGATATCAGATTGAACAATGTTAATATCTTCATTGGTCTTGATAACTTGGGGTTGACAAATAACATGACGTACTCACTCTCAGGAAACGATGTTTGGAATTGGCTACTTTGCACTTGCACATATTATGGAGCTTTAGTAAAGACTACGAGTACAATTTACGTCATTTTGGCGCAAAAACATTGTTGGGACAAAAAAAAACACGTAGCCGTCATCAATCTGAGTACGATGTTTTGTAAAAAATTCGCAGTCGCGACTATGATGTATTTCGTACGCAAAGTGAAAGGTAAACAAACAATAAAATAGTACAAATATATTGTACATACAACTTAAAATAGTGAAGATTTTTCAGTCTAAACAGTCCTATCTTCTTGCAAAATCAGTATTACCGATTTGTTGATATCATTATTGACAAATAGAGCCGTAGCTGCTTCGAAAACTTCGTTGTTTTACACAATAAAAAAGCTTGTTCTGTTGTTTACAGCTAAAACTAAATTTTGACGAAGAGACAACGACAACAAACTTCCTCATGCCATTCTCTTACACGGTCAAACTTCGTACTCGTTGTCGTAGTCGTACTCTTGCTAAAGCTCCCTATTAAATAGAGTGACGAAGCCAACCCGATGTAACAATGTTTAACCCTAAACTGTTCTTATCATTCCAATTTCTTTAGAAAATTAAATCCATTCATTATTGAACACAAAATTGACTGAGAAAAAACGGGCGGGCTTCGCTAGCTACTGAGAACAGACATTTTGTAAAATCTTCTTGTAAATTTTTTATTGTTTGTCTTACGGATTTCTCAATCCTCCTAATAAAAGAATAAACTATCTTGCCTTGTGTATTGTGAGTATTCAAAACATGCTTTGTGTTTACAGTTTTGTCAAATGACCTTGTTACAACTTTTCTTTGCATTAGGGCCTGAATATATGGAGACGAGCTGGCCCGGATAGCGAGCTAGGCCGATGATTTCAAGGGATTGAAAGAAACTAAAACTTCAAGGTTAAGAATTCTAATTTTAAAATCTTAAATTTTAAAATCTTAATTTACAATCTTAAATTTTAAAAACACGGCATATTCAATGTTTTTCAAACTTAAAACTCACACAACACATTGTGAAAACATTGCCATGTAGGGTTGTCTTTTCTATATTCGTGACAATCCACGCACACAACACGCGTGTTTTATACCTTCAAAATATCACTCTATAGCCGTCATATTGGCTTCATTTTATCATATGGCTTTTGTATTTGAGTTATCGTTCCAGTCTTTTAATAGCGTTCACTGCTTTCAGCTTTATCAGCGAATTCGCTTGAGCACATGAAATCCTGCGTCGCTGTCAAAAATTTTAAACACGGCGTCTTTCGAAGAATCATTAATTAATATTTTTCGAAAGTACCCAGTACTCTATGATATGTCTTTAAAAGATTACAAAAATGAAAAGTTGAAATCCAATTTTTGGGACAAGATGCAGATGAAATGCGCGAGATTGGCTTTGATTACACAGGTAAATTGACTGATTACATACTGAATTTTCAATTTTCTAACTGCTGAAAGCCCTCCACTTGAAACTTTCAGTGAATATGGAAGTTATAGGAGCCCTTCACCCAGCCCTGCAAACCCAACAGGGTCAAACACTGCCACAAGAAAGTGAAAGGCAGGAAGCGAGCTTTCTTTTTACCAAAAAATTGATAGATTGTTTGGAGACATTCAAGAATAGCACTTCGAAGATGGCTGCCAAACCTCCTGATGAGTACGATCATTTTGGCATGAGTGTTGCCGAACAAATTAGGAACCTGCCTACTGCTTTTAGCAGAGCAAAAGCAAAGAAGAAAATTGAAGATGTTCTTTTTAACCTTGAATTTCCTAGTGGACAACCCTGATAGTTCATGTTATTTATAGTATACTGTGGTATAGTCTGCCCACAAGTTTGGTCATGTTATGTTAATATTTCAGTGTTCAATCACTGTAATGGAATGGAATTGTAAAAAAATGAATAATGCTGATTATGGTAAATTTATGACCAAATTTGTGGATGGGCTATGCCACTAAAATTAATTTCAAAATATTACATTCTAAGCAAAATAAATGTGTGTTTATGTGATGCCTAATAGGTGTGGAGTACATAATCTTGCTGCCATGACAATTCACTAGGAGTTCAAGCAAAAAAATTTGCAAAGTCATCCCGAACCCTTAGGTCTGCTTTTGTTTGGTTCCTAGAATTTGGAGTAAGTGTATGAAGAGCAGCTATTTCTCCTTCAGCCAGCCATATTCCATCAGTGATTTGACCATTTTTATCAACAGAATCTGTAAAGTCTGATGGTGTGTAAATGGAAACATTGCTTTGCCTTAAAAAGCTGTGGTGTACACAAATAGCTTTACTCATTTTTACTACATTTGTAGGCTCAGCATCAATTGTACTTTTGAATAACCTCCAATTTGAAACCATGATACCTGAAAAAGATTAAAACATTTTAATTTTGATCATTTTCAAGTTACATATTTGCTGAAAAAAAAGAATCATATTATGCTTACCAAATGCATTTTCTATTGTCCTTCTAGCTCTAGATAGCCTGTAATTGAAAATTTTCTTTGATATGGAATTCAGGGATTTTCCAAGGTATGGTCTCATCAGCCAGGTTTTCTGAGGGAGAGCCTCATCACCAAAAATACATTGTGGCATGCTTTTGCCGTTCTTAGTCAATGGCTTTGGTGGAGGGAGCAGTACCCTACCTAAAAAATTCATGACATTATCCAAGTTGCGGGAGTGTATGAAGTATGTTTACTCTATTTAGACCCACTGGTCTCACCATTTAGCAATGCAGACCCAAATTATGTGTTTTCAAATACTCCAGAGTCACTCCATCGTCCTGCTTCACCAACATCAACATAAATAAAACTGTATTCAGCATCATACATAGCTATGAGGACAATGGAGTGAAACTTCTTGTAGTAAAAAAACGAGGAACCAGAATTCCTTGGGGCTTGAATAGCTATATGCTTTCCATCCAGAGCACCAACACAATTAGGAAAATTCCAAACTGTGGAAAATCTTAACCAAAAGCATTGGATGTGAATATGTGACAGGTTGAATATCATTGTTGATGAGGTATAAACTTCACTAATGTGAGCAGTACTTGCCAATCCTCAATTGTTTGCCATTCTTGAAGACTACACGGTGCTTTCATATAAATTGGCATAAGAATATTCCATAGCATATCACATGTATTATAAACAATGCATCGTGCTGTGCTCAATCCATGACGATATGCAAGTGCTATAGATTGGGGAGAATTGCCAGTTGCTAAGCTACGAAAGGTGATGGCTAATTGCTCTGCTGGTGAAACTGACTGCCTTAAATGCGTGGCTTGCCTTCTCAACGAGGGACCGAGTAAACTAAATGGCAAGTCAAACGTTCTCTGATTCATTCTGAAAGACATGTAGAACTGTTCGTCATCATTTCTCAATTCTTGAACCAGATTTAAAAAGTTGCCTTGCACTCTGTGTCGCCTATTAACATCTCTCACCCAACAACGTCTCCTCTTGTTCGCCTGCGTCTTTCCTCTTGGACTAGCTCGCTCAAAACTACAGCTAACAACACTAATCCGGCGTTTGTCTCTATATTGGAAAATACCGCGTGCAGCTATTCCCGCCAAGACTGGGCTAAAAGGGATCTGGCTCTACTTTTAGATATTGTCGCTTTTAAGAAGCGACAGGCGACAGTGTGTTCCGAACAATTTTCGTGTCGCTATATCGCTACGTCGCTTTGTCGTACGACCAAGCGACAGTGATAGTGTGTCTCGGCCTTTATGTTCCATACAAGCGATAAAGCATACGAGTCTAGTCTTGATGTATAATTTAGCCCTCATTTGGTAATCTACAAGTTTGAAATTGAGGTAAGAGTTCGATTATGATTAATGATTTGCCTCAAGTATGTTCAATTCAATCAGCACTCACTCAAAAGGAACACTAATGCAAAATTAAGGAAATGTTTCTAATGTAATATTTGTTTCAGAAAATCAAATATTTGCCTTTATTGAAATGCCGATTTGAAACGTCGGCAATTTTATTTGACGTATTTTGCATTTGATTGACGTCATGCATAAATTTGACTTACCGTCACAACATTTTAAATAACAAAAGCACCACAAAAACAAGCGATTCATCTCTTGTAAATGTCCATTCGTGAATAAAATCTCTGCGTGTTAACTTAGAACAATGCAAAAGGGCCAAAGAACTATAACGTATATAACATATTAGAAATCGATAACATTTCATAAAATTGTCTTGCTGTGAAATTGTCTTGCTGAAACTAAATATAGGTCCATATAAGAATTGGGCATCTGGATCTGACTGAATTCTGTTTCAGAGGGCTTCTGTTTTTTAGGAGCATTGCGGAATTTTATGTCCATAATTCCGCAAAAGCACAAGAATCATTAATTTTTTTTAAACGAACAAAAAAGCTTTTTGAAGCAAACATGTTTCGGCATACATTTGGCCATCTTCAGTGCAAAGGGAACGATATAACACATAACTTTATGTAGATAGTGTTATGTGAAAGAAAGCGAAAGTATAGATAAGTTATACATATATGTTTACAATTGAAAAATAGCTTAAAAGTCAGATGACAAGCGTTAATTGTTGAAGGAAAAAAGTAACAAATAAAATAATATTTAATGCTATTTACATATCGAAGATAATGTTAAGGTGCTGTATTTGTTTGTTCTGATTAGGTTTACGTTTCTAATCTGGAATTTCATCCAGCACAAGGAAATTCATATGCCAAGCATGTACGTTGGATTTTAAGAAAGTGGGAATAGGATCTATGGAACGAAAGAAGTTTGATTTTTTATCATTTGTTAATCTTTCCATGTATGTAATGTGACTTATTTGCTGATAATTTGCATGTAAAAAGGTGCTTGAAATTCAAAGACGCCGATGTCTTTTATTCTTTTGTATTTGTGTTTGTAGTATATTGGGGCAATTTGTGTTCAGTTTATAAATAATGGAAGATATTGAAATTTGTATAAAAACGTTTTTTGTTCATATATCTGAAGTATTTTGTTTGTATCTTACGTATTTTTCACCTGTACGTAAAACATCATTATCATGTATATTTTTCTTATTAAGGACAAATGATTGGGCGTAAGGACTCTTACCTTTGTGTTGTGTTTGTAGCGAATCTTGATGTCAGTAGCGGATGTGGTATAGGTCAAAATAAATTTTTGCGTCTGTAAACTCATCAGTGAAACTATATTATTTAGTAGTTTATGACGAAAAGTGTTGTTCTGAAGGTATTTTAAATTTAAAGAAGCGGCTGTAAAACTATAAATACATGCAATAGTGCATGCATAAAAAACTTCTTTTACTACGTCTTACGTGTACAGCCTACACGCCACGTCACAGCTCAATGAGTTGCGTATGTGTTTAAAATATACCTACACGTAATAGGAAACCGTTAGGCACTTGCTATTGTTATTTTTCAAAAACGTTATCCACCCTTTTAATGGGTAGCTATAAATACTCATCAACACTTCGAATAGTCGAAAAATTTAGCTGAACGGAGAGATCATAGATCAAACCTGTTACCTTGAATTATCTCAACAGTAAGTACAAAATACAATATATATACAGTGCTTCTGTACTTAATCGATCTATTCCATCATTAAAGTGCGTTTTCTGGATTTCTTACCGAATTGAATTTTACCAAGCATTGATAACGTAGAATTTTATGCACGCTGGACAGCTTATGCTGGTAGTATTTGTAAATTATCTTCTGATTTGTATAGTTTTTTCTTCGAACTGTTTAAAGACATGAAGCTTAAAGGTTATGAAAAATTTAAAGTAAGCAATAGAATATAATAGATATGAAAGCGCAAAGCGTTTTTTACTTTGTATTGCTTGAAACTGAGTGAAATCACTAGAGCGGATGTATTTACGATGACTATATTACGCCACAATTAGAAGCTTAATTATGGATTTAATATGGATTTGTACAGGTTATCAGAAGGTGCTGACACTATGTGGAAAATTTTTATAATGTGCCCTTAACGTCACGAACTTTTCTTTCAAATTGACTAAATGTGTTCATTATTACGATGTCTTTGTCAAGATTAAAGATGAGACGGTGAGAGTATTGCTGGTCACAGTGGTAAAGGCAGAAAATGTTACTGTTGGCAGGATTTCTGATTTTCGTAAGTGCAAATACTCACGGTTTAATCATCAACAGTTAGCTATTTTATCTAGAAGGGCTAATTCCTGTCCAGTTATAAACATTTAAATCATGCTCCTATCAGTGTGCATAAAACTGGGCTAAAAATACTATCTTGTGGTGTGACATTTTACACAGAACAGAAACGAGCCTTGACGTATAGCAAGAGGAATAGAGTGTTTGCATATGACGTCAGGCAGCAATGTTGGTAGGTTACATCAAAGGACCGATGCTCGTGAAGTCAACATACATTCTTGTTTCTACTGTATAAGGGAAACTCTAGTAACACGATAAACGATGAAAACATCTTATATAAACTTGTTTGGAAGCAGCATATTTGTTATTTGTATATGATTACTGGGTTTATTAGAATTAAAATATACATCAAAATTACGGATGTGCCAGCAAATGAAAATATTTCTCAATTTATTAAATTTGATGGGATTGGGAATTGAAATAAAAAAATTGGCTGATTTCAGATCTGCTTTGTTTTTGATACACCTTTTACAACTTGACACCGAAAGCGGCATGAAAAATATTAATTGAATATATGCATAGACCAAAAAAATACATAATGATATGCCTTCCCAAAGAAGGAGTAAAACAAATACTCATTAGATGCTTAGATCAATGCGCATCAATATGATTAAATTATCAGCCGGATACCGAAGACAGTTGACGTTGAATTTCAAATGTTTTTTTGCAGTGGACACACCAGATCCATATGTGGTCTTAAGAGTTCGAACCAGTCCCAACCAGAAGCAAAGAACCACAACAAAATGCAACACCTGCAATCCGGTCTGGAATGAAACATTCTCGTTTTACTTGAATAACGAAAAGAAAAATGTTTTGGGTATGTTTTATCATTTCATTGTATCTCTTTAAGTGCTCGCTTAATCTATCTTTCACTGAAAATTCTGCAAATTTGTGCTCAATCATCAAATTGGTCATATGACATTAACATATTTTAGTAATTAGCTATATACCCTGTTCCATCAAAAAGAAAACTGCATTGAATTTATATTACTTTAGCAAATTATTTTCAGAATTTGCAATGGACGATAAAGACATTCTATCCGACGATCTGGTTGGCTCTAGTATTATTGAGTTGGATGAAATCACTGAAAACAAAGAAATTGTAAAATCGGTCAAAGTGAATCAGGTAAGACAAGCAACAGCTCTGCACAATTATATTCTTTTGGTTAAGCTGCTTTTTATCATTTTGTTGAGCATGCAGAACTATATTATAAAGAGCTGTAAAAACAAGCTTTTTTGAAAGTAAATATGTGAATGCTCTTAATTTTCAAGGGAATATAGTATCAATATACATAGTGTTATTTTGCTTATGCTCACACATGAATGTTTGTATTTATACAGAAAACAACTCTTGAACTAAAATTGAACATCAAAACTGAGTAAGAGAATGACGTTCAACTGTTGCCATTTGTAAGCATCCAACTAATTAACTTGCTGGGTTTTTAGCGTGAAAAAGGAACTGAGATTGAGCTACGATTTATGTGAGGAAGAAAATGAATTTCTGCGTAAGAGAACTAAGCTAATACTGGAACACATGGCCATAGTTCTTGGAGAAAAAAATGCTCCAAGAACAGAACACGAGGTTTGCTTTTCGTTTTGAATCTGAGTCATTGTATTTTTGTGTTAGAATCTATATGTAATCTTTATATACCGTAAACCTCAATTTCAGGTTCCTGTGATTGCTATCATGGGATCAGGTGGTGGCTACAGGGCTGCATGTGGATTATCAGGAGTATTTAGTGCACTTCAGGAATCGGATATACTAAATTGTACCACATATGCAGCCGGGCTCTCTGGCTCATCATGGTAAGTATAGATTGTTGGTCATTATGAGTTTGGACGAAGAGCATCATATACTTACACTGCATTATCTTCACAGTACATCATTGTGAAAGTATAAATGAATATGTTGAATCGTATTACCGTAATCATGTTGTTATTTTTTAAGGTACTTATCCACACTGTATCACAAGCCTGCCTGGCCATCAAGCATCACTTGCAACGATATGGCTGATGAATTGCGAGAAAGATTTAACACAAGTCCCTGGGATCATCTTCGCCTAAATTTTATTTCGCGTATGAGAGCAAAAGAACGACGGGGACAAATTACGAAATTAGTTGACCTGTTTGGATATTTCATTGGGGATAGCTTACTTGATGTGAGAACTTAATCATATAGATAATCATAAGCAACACAATATTTTGCAAAGAATAAAAGATTTTGCGATTGTTCAAGATTTTGCAATAAAAGAATAACTAATTTTTAGTAATAATGAAGAAAAATTATAAGTGTAAAAATGGTTGTTTTGGGATTACAGTTGCACTTGTCAAATTACCTTCCTGTAAGGCAAAATAAATCTTGCCGTTTGCTTATCAGCTTTGTTAGTTTGATAAATTGAAAATCATAAGATTCCTTATTTATGTTATTGCTGTACTTTTGCTAAAAAATTAATTGTTTTTTTATGGATACATCTATGAAACTGTCACACATAATTTGTGGCGAATTAAAGCTTTTGAAATAGAGACACATAAATCGAAATGGCATAAATTCATGTATGTATGTTAGTGTTGCAAAATTGATAAATAAGCATAGTTTTATCTTTTGCAGAATGCTGACGCTAAATTAAGCGATCAACGTAATCGAGTGAAAAATGCGTATGCTCCTTTGCCCATCACAGCCGCTGTCCGTGTGCGCTTGGATAAGCCTGCCAAAGAGTTTAGTGGTAAGTCTTTAATTCAACGGGATAGTATGGAGCGACTCTTTAGAAAACAGCATATTATAACATAACCTTTTAAAAACACGGGCGATGATTGGTCGAACGCTCGAAAAAATTGTGTTTACATAACTCTATAATGCAAGAGATCTCCGAATCGTGGCAAGAGATTTGCCAGGTGGAAATCAAACCTTTAAGATAAACATGAAATGATATAAATAACCCAACAAAAGCCTTTTAAAAGAGCCATTTCTGCGAGAAATTACAAAATAAAAGTGTGTTTTTAATCATAACAAATAAAAAGTACTTACACAAGGTATCAAACATAAGCACATAGTTGTACATTTACACGGTATTAAATTACATATAAAGAAAGTAGGAAGTTAAGAGAAAAGGGCAGAATTGAAGGGAAAATACATTAATGAAGGTGCAACATAACGAAGTTAAGGGAAATCAAGTTATCTTGGGTGTTAAGAGAGGGTTTAAGCTTGGAGTTTTGGAGATGAGATGGCTTTCGTGAACCATAAGTTCGCTATTGTCAGGGAAAGAAGAGAGAATTCTATTGATTCTCAACTCTATAGACACTGGAAAAATATTTCCTGTTTCTTAAATAGTTCGCAACAAATAGAGCTTAAATAGTGATGTATAAAATAAATTAAGTAATGATAAAAGTGCTACTTACATTACGAGATGAACGCCTGTCTCACTCAGACAGCTAAAACTGAAGACGAAACTGTCGTCAACTAATTTTTGTACTTAATGAACGTAATCATAAACAAATCGTAATCATTTCTTGATTTTTTACTCTTTAGAATGGGTTGAATTTACACCCTTTGAATATGGTTTTGCCAAGTATGGCGTGTTTGGAAACATAAAAGATTTTGGAGGGAAATTCTACAAAGGACAACTTGTGAAGGAATATAATGAGCCACCGCTGTCTTATTTGCAAGGTGAATTAAATTTTTTTTTGTAGAGAATTTCGCTTGTGATAGCCTGTGCATAACACAAAGTTCATTAACTTTAAAATTGCAGCAATATGGGGCAGCGCATTCAGCATAATTTTGAACACCCTACACAAAAAAGACAACAAGAAAGAACATGAAATTCATAGCGAAATGGGTAAGTGTGAAGAACAGTTCTCCTTTTGGTGTTTCTGTTGCATCATTTGTTTTGCTTTTTATTTCTTTTTCTAAGCCAAACATGCTTTAACGGAAGCAACAGAATGCAAAACTGAGGAAGAGGACAGTGATAACGACGACGACGATGACGAAACAGAAAATGAAAGTGAAGATGGGCCAAAGTCACCTGACGATGTATACGAAAGTACGTCTAATACGTCGTACAAAATATATTTCAAATTTGACCTATACGCCCGTATTCTTGCAGTTCACTCCCAATCACTGAATGCAACATAAAAATAGCGCTTGCACTAATCAATGACATAGTCATTTCTCTTTCGAGGGCCAGATTTTTGCTAAAATGTTTGAAATCAAGCAATGAGATGAGTTGAAATGTCGTCTTCGAATAATTATGAAGTAAATTTGAAGACTCAGTCAGTTTGTGTGAGTGTGAGTTTGAGAGAGCTCTAAGCTAATACATGGCTGTTAGTTTGTTAGACTGATTTTTGAGATGATTACTGTATTACCATTAGCAATACCAATATTATCCACGAAAGTGTCAAATTGCACAGTTTGGTGCTAGATCCTACAATGTTTAAAAATTTTGTGAATCCAAATTGCTCTTATAGGAGTTTAAGCAATACGATTTTATAAAAATAAAGTCCTTTCCTGAAAACATCTGCAGGCAATAAGAGTTGGTTATTGGAAGCGCTAAACCCACATAACTTGATGTCAACACGTCGTGGAAAAGCTGCAGTGGTTTTCAATGTTTTGCGGGGATTGGAATTCCAAAAAGATCAAAGTAATGATGAATTTTTACGAAAAATCTAATCATAAAATTATATAGAGAAGAAATTTATTGATTTTTACACGCCAATTATGCCATGTGTATTATTCATTGACAAAGATTCTATCAATTGCCAGATGATCACTATGACAAAACGACCGGAAATCATAAAACTATTTGCCTTGTTGATGCCGGCATTGCCTTTAACTCTCCATATCCAGTCCTGCTACGACCTGAGCGCAAAGTAGAAATAATTTTGTCGTTTGATTTTTCTCAACGAGACGGTGGAGATAAAGAAAAACCTTTTTCTGTGAGTCGTTAACACACTATATCTTTTAAAGAACAACCGCCCAATATCACGATAAAACATTAACACAAGATTTCCAAGCACAAAAGCCTTATGAACACATAGAAATATCACTGTATAGTAAACTGTAAATTCTCTCAGACCGACGAATTATATAACTCTAAACTTAGTTCAGACATATACACATTATCATCGCCTTCATACGTATATGTAGGTTCTAAAGAAAGCAGAAAAGTGGGCGAAGGAAAACAGGCTTCCCTTTCCTCCAATAGAAGGAAACCCATTGCTGGACAATCCCGAGATTCAAGAATGTTATGTCTTCGAAGATGTTTCAAATTTAAACTGTCCAGTTATTTTACATTTTCCAATTATAAATAAAACATTTAGAGAATTTAGCCAACCGGGTAAGTTCATATATGGATGCTTAGCTGGTGAGCAGCTGACGAGACGAAACACATTCTTTTGACATATACTATACTTTTTTTATTGTTTACAATAACCTTGTAATGTAGGTGTACTTCGTATGACACAAGAGGATAAGGAGTTTAGTAACTTCCAAATATTCGACGATCCCGATCAACCATACTCATCGTTCAAGTTTGAATACACCAAGAAACATTTTGACCGACTCCATCAACTCATGAAGTATAACACTTTGGCAAACATGGAAACCATTAAAGAAAAGATTTCTGCCAGAGTTCAATTAAACAGAAATAATACAAAAACCGAGAAGTGTTTTTGATCAACTTACTATATTATCAACTTTGTAAAATAAAATTGGGCACTAAGATACAACGGTTTCATTTGCACAGACGTAAAGACTTAATTGGCACAATCAAACAAGTATTTTGTTGTAGCTAAATTGTTAAATTATTGCGAACAATGCGATAGAAGGAAGTCGATCCGCCTCAAACTGCGAACATACTTTAAATGATGATCTGGGATATTGGGAAGGTTGTCTTTACTCATGATACTTTTAGTATAGATAAAATTAACTGCAGATATTTTTTACTGATTTTAAAATAAAGCACAAAAAACAACATTCCATTGCAAATGTTTTAACTTGATTAGCCAACCTACCTGTTATCCTCTATATTGATAGCGAGTAGTAAAACAATAGAAGAAAAGGGTGAAACAATCATATTCATGGTGCATTTTTCAAAAAAGAAACAAGGCTTCCACGTTTTCTCACGTTTTTTCTGATTTCTGACGATGTATTCGATTTTTAATTTACTTAAAGGTATTCCATAGAAACAAAGGCTGCGACTTTCACTCTTGATCAATGAATTGCGACATGTACAATATTAACTAAACATAGACACAGTCGAACCTCGTGTGTCGGCTTGAGATTGGACTGTGACGAAGCATTTGTGGCAATAACATCCTTTCTCAGAATTACGAGCAAATTTTGTATTTTTTTCGTCGGATCGCTGACAACACTACAGGTCGACTCGCATATTTATTTAGTTGAAAAATCCCGGCAATTACGTAATTCATCTTTGTATTTTGTACTAAAACAACTAAATAAGTAAAGTGATCTTTTGTAAAATGTTCATTCATACAAAACGTATCTGACAAGAAAGTTTAAACACGCAAACAAGCAATATAACATAAATTCCAATTAATAAAACTTCATAAATATATAGCTACATGGTATCTGCATGAAACACGTAGCTGTGAAATTAATCCAAAAATTAATCCAAAAGTGAAATTTATTCCTTAAAAGTTTGCATACATGCAGTGCTTGAAATCTAAAGATGTCTTTATCACTCTTTTGTAGGTGTGTTTTTGTGTAGTGTATGTTGGGGCAATATATATTGTTTTTTTTATAAATACCTCAAACTTGGATATTGCCAGATACATAATAGAGGATATTATATTTTGTATGAAAAGTTTTTTGCCGCCATATATTTATATATATTTTTGTATATCTTGCTTAAATAGCCTTTACTGCTGCATTAAATTGACAGCATCACCAGAAATTAGAGACATTTTGTGACAGCGCTCGCACTCAGCGGTTGCTCTTGTAGTAACTAATATTCAATAAGCGTGGGAGATTCACAGAGTTTTATAAGGCTCTTAAATGTATTTTTTTGTTTTTTAATCAATCTTTGGAGGAACATATGAAAATAAAATAAATATAAAGAGCACGAACATAGGTTTTGTCTTCGAAAATTACAATGTTTGACATGCTCGAGAAAAAATTTGCAAATGTATAGAGTCTCATAGCAACACATTCAACCTTATTCATTATTCTAACGAAGCAAATTTGTCGAAAGTTTAATAGCTTTTGAAAGTATTCTATCGTGGCTAAATCACAATTTAACAAACAATTCCAGTAAAGGAAACATTGGACTTCATAGTTTGAGTGTGGCACTTTGGATATGAGGACTAGATGATGCATTATTTGCCCGAGTTCGTCAACCATTTTTAGCATACTCACATAATCGCTATAGAAACATTAGCTACAAATCAACGTTTTTGTCACATGTCGGGGGAAGTGTTGGTGTTTATTTAAAGTAGCATTCTTATTAAATATACTAACCGCTGACCATATAGCAAATATGGTGATATGAAGAAAACGTGTGATATACGTATTTCTAGTGAGGTTAATATTGTTGAGCTATCTTATGTAAAACTCGTATTTTCTTAAATAAAATAAATCGTTCTGAACTATTCGCGATCCATCGACATATTTAACAGGAAGTACGTTCACTTCATTTTCTTTTATCCTTTTTAGGTAATTTATAATGTTTGGCAGCTTTACCACCTTTATCGAGTGTGGCAGCATGGTAATATGCTATATTATCATGGGTAATTTTGAATTTAAAACTTCCACCACTCTTTTACTAATAAAAAACAGACGCCACTTTGAAAAAGACAGCTTTCTTATCCGCCATTATGTCTCCATATGTTATTACTGGCCTATATTTCGGTTAATTGTGCATTAGCAAGCAAAGTAGGTAAGTATACAAGGTATTAATTCTTTTAAAATTATAAAGGAATATTGTTTCTTATAAATTGCGAATGATTGGCTTATATGGTTATATCTACATGCATTGTTTTGACCGAATAAAATTGACTCGTACTCAATTTGACGCGTGATCAGTGTTGACACTTTATAAGCAAACAGCATATAGCCTGTAGGAAACTAAAAAAATAAGAAAATAATTTACATCATGCTTATAATACAAATACAAATCTTTACGTTAATGTGCACTAAAATTGTCCAAATGTCAAATAAATTTAAGACACAGCATTGTATGAATACAATAAAGTGTTCCTGGGAAACGGGCAACTTATACTAATAAGTCTGCACGTGTCTGTTACCCGTGATCAGGGGTGAAACTAGAACGCTAATTGGGGGGGGTTAAATATTCATATATTCCGCTCTGCCCAGTTGATTTCTTTTGAAATTAACGTCACAAAAAAAAGAAATCAGCTGGGCAGAGCTGAATATATGAATATATACCCTCTCCCCAATTAACGTTCTATAGTTTTGCCCCTGCCCGTGGTCCGTGGAGGATCAGGTCGTGTGCTGTTTTTCAATCTATTTGATATCGAACTAGTTTTATGTATTGTTTGTTTTTCTGCCAAATGGAAATGTTTTTGAATGTACATAAATTGTTAAACGATTGTCTAAAGTAGACTAGATTTTGTCAATTTCAAATTTCATTCACTGCGTCGATACCATTGATCTGAAAACCCAATACTCGTTCAAATTAACGCTGCACCAGGCTGCACGTCATACATTACATAAGTATGCGTAATGGGGTGTATGCTGGTCTTGTTCATTGAGTTATATTAAGACTGTAGTGAACAATTACTATAAATTATTAGCTTGCGGCCCGAGGTCAAAAACATGGCGGATTTTGGTGGTCAAAGTCAGCGGAAAGAGGCGGGCTCATGAAATAAAAATTATGTCGCCCACCCGGATTTGACCACCACGACTGCAAGTGTAGAAAATACAAAACTATCTATTATCCAAACACAAAACACTTTTTTAAAGTTTTATTTATTAAACAATCTGCACACCTCAGTGGTATGCGGATGCCAAAATAGCGACAGAAAAGGAAACAAACATTCCATGATTCCAGTGAGTGGCATAGTATTGTTTATTGTTTAAAGTGTTCAGTAGTTTGAATATTTTGTCTTTAACACGATACTTAAAGAGTGTTTTTACTAGTAAGTTATAATTTAAGTTGTGTTGGTCAAGTCTTGCTTGTTTTTACTTCATCGCTTGCCAGACGAAACAAAGCAGCCAATTCTTATCGAGTTTTGCATCTATCTTGTATCATGATCAGGCTATAATCTCCTGATGTGAATTGAGTTTTACTTCCTAAAAATGAGGCAGAATTTGTTCATATTTTTTTTTGAAAATATGAAGGAAAATTTTAAAACCAAATTGTGTTGAAATTGAATGTATTGCCCTGCAAAATTAATGAATACTGTGATATATGCCTTATAATAAAAACAACTATATTAAACTGTTTTACTCAATTTGACTGACTGTAAATAATCATAATGGGATTGCAAAGCTGGATTTATGCAAACGGTTTTATAAGTAGCACTTAGTGTTTCTGTAAATGAAGTATTTATTGCTATAGTAAACAGGTTAAAACTTCAAAACCAAGATAAGAAAATTGTGTTAGGGTTTGTGGTAAGGTTTGTTCTTAGATTGTGCTAAGATTTGTTAAAACATGGAAATTTTTGGTGAACGATAGCTTATGATTACATCATTTATATGCTTGAAAAATTAAACATATTGCTTCATCTGACAAAATCCATACTTGGTATGATTCCAGGTGATACAAAAATTTACATGTGATGCACTGGTTGCAATGAAGTTGAATGTACGTAGAAGAAGCAAAAATAGATAGCAAAGAACTTCTTTGTGTCTTATGAAGAATTAGTAGAAATTAATAAAAAGAACACTCAAAACACATTTAAATTGCTCATGGTCAAGCAACCTAGTCAAAGAAGCAAACTCTGTATTCAACATTTGACCTTTCCAATTATGTTTAGTTAAGCTAAATTAGTTTATTTGTACAAAAAACTAGTTTAGAGAAACTTAATTTTAAGTATTTCATTAACATTTTTTATCAAGAGATAAAAGGAACTATTGGAAACGCTATAGAAGCTAAGTTGATGGCTAACACACTAACAAGTTAGATATATTTTATTGATCACTGTTTTACGAACAGATAACCGTAATCGACAAAAGACTCGAAATCACTCGCAATCTCTTTCGAATACAGTCTCTAAATACCCGTTACTCACGTGATTTTATACTACTAATGATTAACTACACAATTAGGTAATTCAAATCGTCCCAGTTCCCTACAGAAACAAATTCAAACAATGATGTAAAATACAAAGTTTCATAAAGTTGTTTATAATTTAATTCCCAATTGTTAGTTTGTATATACAAATTAGTATTGGTAGCTGTAAGTTGTTCGAGCAAAACAGAAAAGTAGTAGTACCTGAAGGCGTTAGCACTTTTGAAAAATTACATCTTGTTCTTGACATACATTAGAAAATCCCAAAATATTATAAGTAACGCTCAATAATACCTGCAGAACTAGCTAAATTTCTTCATCTACACTGCCAATTAACTATTTTTGCCTTCATGCTGCAATAGTCCCAGTGTTTTTGTCAGAGAAACAAATGTACTTTAGTTTCCAAGTTTGGAAATTCAATGGAAAGTTAATGTAGTTCTGTTCAGTAGTAGATCCAAGGTTGTGCCAAGTAGGTTACATATCAGAAATTCCATCCAACAGCATCATAGTATTTTGAATTTTTTTTCTTTTTTGTAGCTCTTTTAGTTCAACATAATTTCTTAATACGTTTTCAGTATATTTATCAGGCAACGACTACATACTTATCCATAGTATATTGAGTTGACTTTAATATCTCGTAGGACAAAAACAAACATTTCCTTGCTATTTTTGGGGCATTTTAACAAAAATTTTCCTTTTGAGCAAGAGAAATAGTTGCAACAAACTGTTTTCAAACAGTCAAACACACAGTAGCATAAAAT